TTGGCTGAGATCATCACAGCTGATGATTTCAGCCATGGAGGCGGGGCCCACAAACAGGGAGAGCACTGTGGCAAGGGAGAAACGCTAACTAAAATATCTTCTTACTCCACACAGAGGGGGTAACCTAACCAGTGAGCAAGTCACTATAATGCTAAAACGTTACTAAACATGTTTGTATTCCTAACGCTATAGTTTTCCTTTTAACTTCTAAAATGAATATTTCCTTGTAGTAGGAGAAATTATTAAAAATGGAACCTTATCCATCATCGACAGGTCATTCCATTACTTATGACAGGAAGAGGGTTGTGGTTGTATTTACTGCAAATGCTCGCTGTTTGATGGAAGGCTGATGAAGAATAAGATAGTTCTAAAGTAAAGGTCATGTAATAATAAATGTCATAGACTATGATCAGAAAAGGTTACGGGTTAAATAGTGATTGTTCACTGTAATAACTTGGTGTGTGTTTCCTCAGCTGAATGAGTCTTATATATATATCTATATTCTTGGGTAAAAGGCTCACCGTGTTAATATACGTCTATATTAACCATATATACTAATACCCAATCGGTTTATTCTTAGAGTTACGGATACATAATAAAACAACAAAGGATGTTACAGGATAATGGATGTTTAACAGCTGATGGTAAAATTGCTGAATTCCTGAACGGAGAGTTTGAGTCTTCTTAGTTAGACAGATGGACAAGAACAACCTCGGGAGCAAGCAACAGCAAGACCTCGTGGTTCTTTGTACCTTATTCTATAAAGCTATGACCATTATGACGTCATACCTTTTAATTATAACTCTAGCCATATAAGGACAAGACCCCCAATTACCGCATTCCAGAGTTCTCATGGTACAGCATAGCCAAGTACCATCTGTTCTTTTTGACCCATTAGACATCCATGTCTACTATGAATTTTAAATAGGAACATTGTAATATTCTACATTCACACATTTCTGAAGTATTGCTGTCTATATGAATGTTGTGGATATCCCTTAGATACAATAGTCCTTGACTTGTTTCTAAAAGACCATTCACGGTCCATATTTTTCAACATCCTCCATTGAAACTCTTTTTAGTCCAGGTTAGGAAACCTTTTAGCAGCACTGTGCCAAAACGAGAAGTGCCTTGCCGTGCCGGTCCTGTTATTATTTTTTTATTAACTTGTATGTATATTGTTGTTTGCTGCTTGCATTTTGTGTGGGTGTTCCAGCTGTTTTGCTGGGTTGTATTTGTGCATATGTGTGCTGTGTTGCAATATGTGTGTGCGTGCACAGTTTGTATATTGTAATATCTTTGCTACCCCTCAAATTCACACTGCCAGGACACACAGATGTTGTCACATACACTGCCAGACTCATACACAATGCTAAACACCAATAATGCTACACACCAGCTGCTTGTCAGTGTCATTTAAGGGACCCTATCTGTTGTCTTTCTACAATGTCTACCTGCGTTGTAAGCTTGATATGTGTTAAAGCCAGAAATTTTTATCTTAATTCAGCCCTAATTTACTGCCCAATCTACCCGTATCCTAAACGTATTATATGATAAAGACAGGAGCTGCAGTGTGCAATTAAACTAATTTCCTCTGTGGCCTACTTACTTCCCATGCCTGTCATGTCATATAAATATAGATAGAAGTACAGGCCACTGCATTACTCTCTCCAGTCTTCTCGCTTTCCAAGCTTGTTAGACAGTGTAAATAGGAAGAGTGTCCTTCCTGGATATCATGTTATATGGGGTACCTTTTACACTGTAATACCTGTACAAAATAATATGGGCAATTACCACTGGCCTGTGATAAAATGCAATAGGATTCTGGGGCAAAGAACTGAGTAATTAGCAGGAACGTATATAACATATATTGATTTTTACTGCATTATTTTATAGTGACCTCTGATTTGAAAAGTCCCTTTTCCCTATTTGTTTATGTACCATTTCATTTTAGGGGTGTGAGTTGCGGGTCAGGGGCGGCGCTATTCTGAGAAATGTTAGGTATTTTACTAGTAACATTTTATGTAACTAAAATGTAATTTAGAACACTCACAATGTATCCTATTTACACAGTGTGATTTCTAAACACTATTGTAGTTTATAGACACATTACTGGGAGTATTATTGCTGTGGAGCTCTGTGATACACTCAGACACATTACTGGGAGTATTATTGCTGTAGAGCTCTGTCATACACTCAGACACATTACTGGGAGTATTATTGCTGGGGAGCTCTGTTATACACTCAGACACATTACTGGGAGTATTATTGCTGTAGAGCTCTGTCATACACTCAGACACATTACTGGGAGTATTATTGCTGTGGAGCTCTGTGATACACTCAGACACATTACTGGGAGTATTATTGCTGTGGAGCTCTGTTATACACTCAGACACATTACTGGGAGTATTATTGCTGCGGAGCTCTGTTATACACTCAGACACATTACTGGGAGTATTATTGCTGTGGAGCTCTGTTATACACTGGCTGTTGCAGACACATTACTTACTGGGAGTATTATTGCTGTGGGGCTCTGTTATACCTCAGACACATTACTGGGAGTATTATTGCTGTAGGCTCTGTCATACACTCAGACACATTACTGGGAGTATTATTGCTGTGGAGCTCTGTTATACACTCAGACACATTACTGGGAGTATTATTGCTGCGGAGCTCTGTTATACACTCAGACACATTACTGGGAGTATTATTGCTGCGGAGCTCTGTGATACACTCAGACACATTACTGGGAGTATTATTTTTTTTTTTTTGTATTCTTTATTTTTGCGGTTATAGAATACATAGCTTTTCAGTTGGTGTCAAAGAGAAAGTGAACAAACAATTGTACCATAGTACATTTTCATGATGCAGTACATCAACACATGCAATATGTTAACCCTTTTTTTAAATAATAAAGATAATGTTTGTCTGGCTAGGTTCCCTCATATCTGCGTCATGGTAGGTGTTCTTTGGGTTAGAGGGTGCTTGCTAGGAGCGGGATGCGCCCTGGTGTTTGTCAGTATTAGGCATATTAATGGATTAAATTTCTTAAGGCGCCTGCGTTAGTGAAATGTCGCTTGGTCAGGGAAGTAGTCGGTGACCTAAGGCATATTTACGTGGTGGCTGGTGTAACTGCAGGTCATGGTAGGTCCGTCTCGGGTTGTGCTACTGGTCGCTTGTGCGCCTGTGAGTGAGAGCATTGCACGTCCCAATTAAGGGGGGGGGATTTATTCTAGGCTGGGTGTCTGGCTATATGCTTTCGGAGCCAGTTGGAAGGTAAGGGTGATATGAAACTACAGAGCACTGAAAGTAAAATTAAACATAAACTTTAGCTAGCATCACGTTAGTGTGGTCGTGGAGTTACATGGTGTAAACTGAACTTAAACAAGTGAACATGTAAGCATTGAGTCCCGGCTTGACCGCAGCCGTCACCTTCAGGCGGGGGGTTCAGAGGTGCGTGGCTCAAGTCCCTTTGGTACGAAGGGTCTGATATTGTCCACATTCCATGTTGTGCCCTGTACCGCTGGTAGAGTGTTAGTCGGCACCCCAAGAGCCTCGAGGAAGGTGGGAGCATTGGAGAGTTGTAGAAGAGAGTGTACTTTGCCTTCCCTTTCTACCAGTAGGCGATGCGGTCCCCACTTATATGGTATAGATTTGTCCCGGAGCTGCTGTGTGATTTGCTTAAAGGATCTCCTCCATGTTAGGGTATGTCTGGAATAGTCCCTGAAAAGCGCCAGGTGAGCCCCCTCGAAGGGAACCGTTGGAGAGCCTTTAGCGGCCCCCATGATCACCCCCCGGTCGGAGTCCTTTACAAATTTTATGAGCACATCACCTGGGGCTTCTTTTGGTGCTTTGCTGGCCCTGGGTAGGCGAAAGCAGGAGTCGATTCCTAGCTGTTTTGCTTGTTTAGGCAGGAGAAGAGTCGCTATAAGCCGTCTGCAGTAGTGAGGCAGTTCAGCCGCCGTGATCGTTTCGGGGATTCCTCGGACTCTCAGATTGCGAGCTTTAGTTCTGTCCTCCATGTTGGCTAATTGTGCTGTCAGTGAATTACATTGCTGTTGCAGTGAGTGTAAGGCTGTATCAGTGTTCGTTTGTGCGGTGCTGATATTTTGGACAGTTTCTTCCACTGAGTGCACCTTGCTGGTGAGCGTGGAGACTTCCCCTCGTACCTGCGCCATATCTGCCTGGAACATGGCTTGAATGTCCTTCATCAGGGCCTTTATGTCGGCTTTCGTGGCCGGAGCCGCATCTCCCAGCTCCCTGGGTGCCATGGGCTTTGTCAGTGCCGGAGCCGCTGTTTGTAGGTCGGCCAGCAGACCGTTGTCGTCCGACGAAGGAGAGGAGTAGGCCTCAGCCCGCGCCATCTTGGAAAAGTCGGGCCGCATGGCCGTGCGCAAGTAAGTCCCGATATCCTGGGAACCCGTGCTCGGATCCGCTCGGGATTTCTTTGTTTTCTTCCCCATGTCATAGGGCACACCTGGAGCTGTTTGGTACTCGACGGTGTGGGCTTTTTTCCCGATATCAGTCTTTTGTAGACGGAGCTGTGGCAATGTGCGTCTTGCTTTCTCCGGTGCTGGCTCCGCCCCCTACTGGGAGTATTATTGCTGTGGAGCTCTGTTATACACTCAGACACATTACTGGGAGTATTATTGCTGTGGAGCTCTGTTATACACTCAGACACATTGCTGGGAGTATTATTACTGTGGAGCTCTGTTATACACTCAGACACATTACTGGGAGTATTATTGCTGCGGAGCTCTGTTATACACTCAGACACATTACTGGGAGTATTATTGCTGTGGAGCTCTATGATACATTCAAACACATCAACAATATGGAGCTCCTAGAAAAGAGGGGCAGAGGGATTTAGGCCTAATATAGGGACTGCCCCTCCTAAATGGGGGGCACTTGGTAGGTATGATTTAAGTAAACAAGGCCCACTGCTGTTGCTATGGAAGCTAAATGGTCGCCAAAGAAGTGACGTATGCAGGAAGGGGCGTGGCAAATATTGGGCAAAAGCAGATGTGTAAACAAGAGACAAGAGGAGTGAAAGAGACAGCTCAGGGAAACAGCTGGTGGGAGTCCAGAGACGGCCTGGGAAGATCGAGAGACAGCACAGCTACAAGGAGACAGCTCAGGGAAAAAGCTAGGGGGGGTCAGAGACAGCCCAGGGAAGCTCTAAATAAATATATTACAGGAAACAATAGCACATGGAGGGTGGGAGGAGAATGTATTGTAAAGGAAACTAGGGAGATTATATGGCAGCACAGCACATAGGGAGGGACTGAGACTGCAGATTCAGAAAAAAAAGACAGCAAAGGAGAGAGACAGCAGAATCAGAAAATCAACACAGGAGAGAGACAGCAGAATCAGAAAATCAACACAGGAGAGAGACAGCAGAACCAGAAAATCAACACAGGAGAGACAGCAGGATCAGAAAATCAACACAGGAGAGACAGCAAAAACCAGAAAATCAACACAAGAGAGAGACAGCAGGATCAGAAAATCAACACAGGATAGACAGCAAAAACCAGAAAATCAACACAAGAGAGAGACAGCAGGATCAGAAAATCAACACAGGAGAGAGACAGCAGAACCAGAAAATCAACACAGGAGAGACCCCAATTACAGCAGAAAAAACACATAGAATAAACTCAGAGATCAGACAGCACAGGAGAGAGACTGCTGATTTAAGTGTGAGATCAGACAGCACAGGAGAGAGACTGCTGATTTAAGTGTGAGATCAGACAACACAGGAGAGAGACTGCTTATGTAAGTGTGAGATCAGACAGCACAGGAGAGAGACTGCTGATTTAAGTGTGAGATCAGACAGCACAGGAGAGAGACTGCTTATGTAAGTGTGAGATCAGACAGCACAGGAGATTAGAGCTAAGCACCCTGGTACAATAGAAGGATAACTGCTAGAAGAAGCTGTGCAAACAGATTAGGAGGGCTGTGAGGGCTAACACAGAGAGATAACACTATAGATAAGGGCAGCAATGGGGCCATAGATGAGACAGTCAGCAAAATAACAGGAAAAGGACACTGCTCCTTGGAAATACAAAATGAAACTGCTAATGCAGAGAGACGCTCACTGAAGTGATAACCCAAGAGACTGCCAGTGTCTGTAGACAACGATGGGACAGCAGAAGGTGAGATGTCTCTTTATTGACCAGACTGACTATCTCATCATTAGTCAGTTTCACGTTTTGTTCTATTCACTTTGTCTTTTATTACGATTCATTCTCTTCATATTTCTCAATTGAATAGATTTCTTTTTATCCCATTATTTTCCATTTCTCGATTTATTTTGATTTTAACGTCCTTTTTTCACTATTCCCTTGTCTTTCTCCCACATTCCTCATTGATTACTATGGGCCCTCTCCCTCCAAAACAAGTGATGGTAATAATGTACAGAATCGTATGGGAAGCTCATTCCGGTAAGGAATGGGTTAATGGAGTGTTGCTGCAGGGCTGTCAGGCTAGGAATAGGTTAATGGAGTGTTGCTGCAGGAATGTCAGGCTAGGAATGGGTTAGTGGAGTGTTGCTGCAGGGCTGTCAGGCTAGGAATGGGTTAATGGAGTGTTGCTGCAGGGCTGTCAGACTAGGAATGGGTTAATGGAGAGCTGCTGCAGGGCTGTCACGCTTGTAATGGGTTAATGGAGTGTTGCTGAAGGACTGTCAGGCTAGGAATGGGTTAATGGAGAGCTGCTGCAGGGCTGTCAGGCTTGTAATGGGTTAATGGAGTGTTGCTGCAGGACTGTCAGGCTATGAATGGGTTAATGGAGAGAGCTGCTGCAGGGCTGTCAGGCTAGGAATGGGTTAGTGGAGTGTTGCTGCAGGACTGTCAGGCTAGGAATGGGTTAGTGGAGTGTTGCTGCAGGACTGTCAGGCTAGGAATGGGTTAATGGAGTGTTGCTGCAGGACTGTCAGGCTTGTAGTGGGTTAATGGAGTGTTGCTGCAGGATTGTCAGGCTACGAATGGGTTAATGGAGAGCTGCTGCGGGGCTGTCAGGCTAGGAATGGGTTAGTGGAGTGTTGCTGCAGGACTGTCAGGCTAGGAATGGGTTAGTGGAGTGTTGCTGCAGGACTGTCAGGCTAGGAATGGGTTAGTGGAGTGTTGCTGAAGGACTGTCAGGCTAGGAATGGGTTAGTGGAGTGTTGCTGCAGGACTGTCAGGCTAGGAATGGGTTAGTGGAGTGTTGCTGCAGGACTGTCAGGCTAGGAATGGGTTAGTGGAGTGTTGCTGCAGGACTGTCAGGCTAGGAATGGGTTAGTGGAGTGTTGCTGCAGGACTGTCAGGCTAGGAATGGGTTAGTGGAGTGTTGCTGCAGGACTGTCAGGCTAGGAATGGGTTGCTGCAGGACTGTCCAGTTAGGAATGGGTTAATGGAGAGCTGCTGCAGGGCTGTCAGACTAGAAATGGGTTAATGCTGCAGGACTGTTATGCTAGGATGGGTTAATGGAGAGCTGCTGCAGTACTGTCAGGTTAGGAATGGGTTAATGGAGAGCTGCTGCAGGACTGCCAGGTTAGGAATGGGTTAATGCTGCAGGACTGTCAGGTTAGGAATGGGTTAATGCTGCAGGACTGTCAGGTTATCAATGGGTTAATGCTGCATGATTGTCAGGCTGAGAATGGGTCAATGGAGTAATATTGCACAGGGGATACGGAGATAATAAACTCCAATCTAGTGATGTTTGCATGAGTCGGGTTATATACAGGACACTATTGGGTTAATGGAGTGATGCTATGTAAAGGGTTAGTATGGGGTTATGGAAAGAAGCCTCTAGCTAGATAGAGAGTCAGGAGAAGCAAAGAATGTTTGGATGCTGTGATAATAGTGGGAGAGGGTGAGGGGTGCAGGGGATGGTAGATGGGTTTTGGAGATGAAGGAATTTAATGAGAGGGCAGGTCAGGGTTAAGAGGCCAGTTATACAGTCACACAATATGTTTAATTCAATTGGTCTTGTCACCAGTTTAATATTTGAGGGAGGTGTCACGCGTCCCTGTCACACTGAAGTCTGACATCCTCTTATCACTTCCAGTCCCAGTAACAGCTCTGTTTGTATCTATTCCTCCTGCAGGTTTTGTTAAATATGGCCAGGTTCTACCCTCTGGCACTGCACATTATCCTGATTCCCCTTCTCCTGTGGCTGGCAGACCCTACAGCCGGTTACAAGCCAATTATTGTAGTTCATGGACTGTTTGACAGTTCTGCCAACTTCAAGCACCTGCTGGAGTATATCAACAAGGTAAGAGACCGCCGGCGCAGTCTGGGTTTTGGAGATCGTAACGCTTACTGTGGATTTAAATTGATCAGAATCACTAAAATACTGTGAGAGAGGAATAAATATTAATGGTGGCTGTGGTGTGCATTGGATAAGGTAGGTGAGTGTGGTTATCTATGTTAAAAAAATAAAATAAAATAATAGGGCTGCTGACAGTGGCTATGGTACGTACCAGAGGAATAGGACATTGACTGATCAGGGTAATAATAATTGTGTCTGCCTATTGAATTCGTGGGAGTGATTCTTACTATCTGTGAATTGGGTTGCTGAGGTCTGTGTGTGATATTAAAGGTTGTGGTACGCACTGTAATGTAATGTGTGAATGACTGCCTCTGATGGTGGCTGCGTAACTGAAGTTGCGGAATGAATTCTTACAGCCCTCTTCACTTACTCTTCCCTTATATTAAATGTACTGGTTTTCTTTTAATCGTTTGCTTTGTTTTACCAGTTGTACAGCGCTGCTGAATATGTTGGTGCTTTAAATAATTGCGATTTGCGGTTATATACTGGTTGTGGCTATGGCATCTAGCAGGGTCACTGAGGTCTGTGTGAGAGAAGTGAATACAGGTTGTGGGGTGAGTTTGGCTATCTCAGATAGGATCATATTGTTTGTGAAATGAAGTTGGCTACCCAGCGAAATAATAGCCACGAAGACATTGAGGGTGATTTTATTTCACATTTGCATCTGTTTTATGTGTTATTTTCTTATATATACAAGTCTTCCAGCCTTTATACGTTTCTTCTTTGTCTGTAAGTCACCATGTAATCTGTCTTTCTGACACTTTTTACACTTATTTGCGCCTTTCTTTCCTGATAATTTTACCATTGATGACATTGACAAAGTTAAACAAATGAGTGATAATAATAGGAAAAGAATAATGTTTTTAGAATTGAAATAGATTTCTTTAAACAGAAAGGAAAAACTGTGAAATCTGCTTGTCTGTTTCCGAAAATTGGGCATTCTGACAGTGGCTTAAAAAGGCATGTTCATGCCACTATAAAAACAACAAAAAAAAGCACAGGATGAAACTGTTAGGAGGGGAGCAAACTGGAAAATGGGACTGGGGTAAAGGAAAATATTGGCTCAAACAGAAAATATGAAAGAATTTTGGCCTAAAAACAGCCATGCCACTTTACCCCTTGTGTGCAGTGAGGGGACTGACCATCTTAACTACAAGCATACAAATAGTGGTTGTGGTATACTAAGGGCAGAATGTACTTGTGGGTAGAACACGCTAATGCTGGCTGTATGCAGTGACTGCTGTCAGTAGTGTGGCTGACGTTTCCTGTGGGATAGATATAGAACATATTGACTGGTAAGTATGAGGCTGCTGGTAATATATGGAAAGGGTGATGTTGGATTGGAAAAGTTTAGAGACATTGAAGTCCAATTAATTAGTCTTGCTTGGCGCAAAGGGAAATGTAAAGTCAGAATGAAACAGGATCCTGATGCAGAAGCAGTGAGGAGGGAATCAGGAGGAAGTGTTAGGAAAAAAGGGAACTCTGAGACCAGACTTGTTTCTGTCTGTGCTTGACTTGTGGTGGTTTGGTGTCTGTGTATGTGATGCATGCGCGATGGTGGTTGTACTGGACTGAGTGAGGCTACCGCTGCCTGTATAGGTGTGTATGTAACTGTGTATGGACTTGTTTGGTTGGGAATGGCTTTGAGGGACCTGCCATTGTTTTCACTCTCTGCCTTTTCTAACCAGTCTCACCCTGGAACAAATGTCACCGTCGTGGACCTGTTTGACCACAGACAGAGTTTGGAACCTCTCTGGAAGCAGGTGGAGGGGTTTCGCAAAGTAATCTATCCCATCATGCAGAACGCAGGCAGCGATGGGGTGCACCTTCTCTGCTACTCACAGGGTAGGTACCAACTCAGACAGATCCTGCTTGTGTTCATTGTAGTAGATTATTTACATTATTGTTACTTATAGTAACACAAACCATATGATATGGGTTTTGTTTTGTATTTAATCATTGTTTTCTCTTGTGTCTCTGCCTCTCTTGATTTGTTATGTGTTGCCTCTTCCCCCCTCTGTCTCCATCTCACTCCTTCCCACCAGTTCCCATCAAGTGTCTGTCTTGCTTGACTCGTACATTCCTTTCTAATGTCTATACAGGCTGTCTTTCCTGCAGTCTCTCTGTGTCCGTGACAGTTTTCATTCCTTTCTTCCGCTCACATTTCTGTTTATTTCTCACTCACCATTGTGTATGTCACCTTTTGTAATGGCTCATTCTCATTCCTAACCCTGGAGTCACATCACATGACACAGGAATACCTGTAACACGTGGGAAAACACCTGTAATTATACGGTGACATGCACTCAGTATTATGCTGTCAGTGTTTATGCCTTTACCTGTTACTTGTCACACGTTTTCCCTGTCTTACTGTCTTACAGCGTTTCTCCAGTTTACATCCAGGATGGAGCGTAGATTTCTCATCCAGAACCATCTCTGTCTCCTTCACCCCAAATGTTCTTCTTTCCCCGTGGCTCAAATCACACGATCTCTCACACGTGGTTTTCTTTCCATAGGGGGATTGATTTGCCGTGGCCTACTGCAGACAATGCCTGATCATAATGTGGACACTTTTATATCTCTGTCCTCCCCGCAGCTAGGGCAGTATGGAGGTAATTATATGTAATATTTATTGTACGCCTAGCCTTCAGATTCCGTTTTAGCTTTCTATTAATATAGACAAAAAAGAAACAATTCTATTGTTTCACATTGGTGAATTCTTTGGGCCCCATAAATGGCAGCCAGTATAATTATTTGATTAGCAACTTAATGAGAATTTATAGTCGTCCCCCCCCCCCCCAAAAAAAAATATTTTGGGGTAATATAAGTCTCCAGCTTTCACCATGACCTCTGTCAACACCCTTGTATTTCGAAAAATATATTTTATATTTGACGCACTCTGTTTCCAGCTCCTAGACAATGGCATTGCAACCGTCTGCTCCGGCTCCTTCTCTGTCAGCGAGCATTCTGACGTCTTCTCGTCCAATGCAGTGCTCATAGAGAAGCATTGTGGACATGAGTCAAATGTTGTGTCGCACTTGTCCAATCAACTTCTTTTCGTAGGAAAAGCATGAATCCAATGTTCACCTGTGATACGTTACATATTTAAAGACGTTTGACATCCTGTTGCAATGCTTGAGGAGGTCGAACATTACATAACAGAGCCTGACTTGGCCGTCGCAATGGAAGCTTCTTCTAGTGGCTGTCAGGAAGATGTTTCTCCTTGCAATTTAAACATTGACGTATCTACAAAACAGCACTATTTTACATTGCGGGACCAAAACGACAGGACTTCTACAGCACCCAGATCACTTCATTGAGCTGAAGTGGTTTGAGTGCCTACAGCCTTCCTTTAAAGGGAAATTATAATGCCAATAAAACAAACTAGTTTTCCTGGCAGTATAGCTTCCCCCTCTGGCAAGGCCACCTACACCCACCCCAAAACCCCTGTGATGCAGAAGGGGTAATAACCCCTTCAGTCACTTACCTGGTTCCAGCGCCACTGCCCCTCAGCACTGGCACAGCTCCTCCCCCACCGATGTCCGCCAGCAGGGGGAAACCTAATGCGCATGTACTGCAATGGCTGCGCTCTCTTATTATTTAATGATTATTTAATGATTTCCTATGGGGAAAATCTGAAGCTGGAGGTCTTCATGCAGAGCGTGAGGACGTTCAGTGTAAGAAAATGTCCGTTTCAGTTCCGGAAGTCCCTCTAGTGGCTAGCTGGTAGACGGCTACTAGAGGTGGAGTTAACCCTCGGTGGTAATTATTGCAGTTTATAAAAACTGCAATAATTACCACTGCAGGGTAAAGAGTGATGGGAGTTTGCGCCCAGACCACTTCAATGAGCTAAAGTGGTCTGGCTGCCTACAGTGTCCCTTTAAGGATTTATACATCAATAGGGCTTTTTGTTACCTCCAGGACTTGTAATATGTTTTCTATAGTGGGAAGGTATTGAATGAACATCTTAAATAGACATTTGTAGATTTGTATTTGTATATATTTTTTTTACTTGTAATGCCTGGGTATGCTTTATAATGTCCATCCTATCAGAGAGATGACTGCTTTCTGATTTCTAGTCATTTTCCAGACTATCTATAACTGGAACATTACACAGAGTGAGGGCCTGCTCCCTACGTGTGCTGGGGATGGTTGAATGTGTTAGCATTATTTACGGGAGCTAATTCATCGGGGTACTGATCGCACAATGAAAGGGTGATAGCAGGCCTCCCTGTTCCCCTGAATGTGCGAATAGCTGGGACACCAAGGAATCGATAATTACACTATTCTTGACTAAGAAAATATTTTTGTTCTTTGTTTTTTATTTGTACAATTTTTAAATATATATTCTATATTTTTCAATGAGTGAAACGTGTGTATCATTTATTTAAATGAATATAAGTAGATAGAAATGTAAAAATGTTTTGTGGAATTGTGAATTGAAATCTGAATTTTCGTTAAAGAGGTCAAATTAGCCAAATAGGGAATTCTGATTTAAAAAAATTTTTTGTTGTTGTAAAATCTATTTTCGTTTCACTCCAAGTCTCCAACTATTTTGGACAGGATGTACCACTGGAAGGAACGCTGTGTTTAAGAACACAGAGGTGCTATGTTTACCATAAAGTCACAATTGGACCACTGATGATAAGAGTATCCTGTCATGGGTCATATTACCAAACTCTAAGGTGCTTATTTAAAAAAATATGAACAACTGAACTGCAAAAGTTCAGCTAATTTTATATAAGAGATTTTATTCCAACTAAATGCCTTTCCCTGGCTTACCACCATTCACTGTTTGGTGAATGGTGATAACTTCTTATCACTTGTGATCGCTTTCATGGGAGATATTTGCATTGAATTTGTGGAATTTCAGTCCGTTGCTGTTAGTTGTCACAATGCAGAGTCAGCATTATTTTACCAAAGCCGTGATCAGGGGAGGATTTGGAGTGATAACCCCCCAGGATCACATCCCTGAGAGATTGTGTGCATTTTAACAGCTGTCTAAATAGAGTTATCTGTAGTGTGTTTGGTCCATTTGGCTCTGGATATTTGTTAACACACTGCTTTAGTTTTTATTTAATGAGGATTTGTCACCTAAAAGTAACCATGATGTGCTTCACCCCGGTACATTTATATATTGACCGTTTCCTGGGATGAAAGCAGCAGCTAAGACAAATGGAAACAGACGTCCATTTCTTTTCGGCATAATTATCAGCATCCCAATATTTGGTGGGTAACTTTTTTAATTTGTTCCCCATACAGGAATCATGAACAGTCATTCATTATCGTTAAATAACTCACTGCACAGTTTGTCTATCCGATCGAAGCCTTCGGTTTGGCCGCCCAAAATATCAGTCTCTCAGCATTCACTACCCTTCTTAGTACATAGGTCGAGACACACTGTGCTCTAATTACCTGTATAGCAGCTGACAGTAACAATTATCAGAGCTCTGTCTCTTGGGAAGAATGGGAGTTAAGGTTTGAGAGGGGGTTAACGTCCCAGTTAGATTACATAGAGCGCTTAGAGTCAAGAGGACCAAACGCTTGATGGGGATTACAATTGTGGTGTAAGGGTATTTTAAATTAATGGATGTTTAGGGTTATTGGGTTTTATGTATAGTGTTGGGTTCCATTTAGTATTGGGGTTCAGTGGTTGTTTAGAGTTGGAGTTGGGTTCCATTTAGTATTGGGGTTCAGTGGTTGTTTAGCGTTGGAGTTGGGTTCCATTTAGTATTGGGGTTCAGTGGTTGTTTAGCGTTGGAGTTGGGTTCCATTTAGTATTGTGGTTCAGTGGTTGTTTAGCGTTGGAGTTGGGTTTCATTTAGTATTGGGGTTCAGTGGTCGTTTAGCGTTGGAGTTGGGTTACATTTAGTCTTGTGGTTCAGTGGTTGTTTAGCGTTGGAGTTGGGTTCCATTTAGTATTGGGGTTCAGTGGTTGTTTAGCGTTGGAGTTGGGTTACATTTAGTCTTGGGGTACATGGGGAGTTCTAGCTGGGATTAAGGTATTGTGTTTTTTCAGGTTTAGACTTTGAGTGTTTAAATGTGGCACTGAGGAAAGTGTTTGTTCAGCTTTTGGAAGGGGTTATATTTAGGGTTTAGGATACATGGAGTCCCAGGAGTTATTTGCGTAGTATTCACATTCCTCCCAGTCACCCTGCTATGATTGTTGAGCTGTAGGAGCTGTTATTCAGCGTTTCATAACATACTCACAATGTGACTGTAATGGGAGGAATGCTGTGTGTTAGAACTGTTTACTGTATAGTCACATGTGGACTCCTGTAGTATGTAAGAGTACATTCCAGTTGTCATGTGATAGTTACAAACCCTTAGGTGCTTATTTATAAAAATATGAATTCGCAACAGAACAGTAAAATTGAGTTCTTTTTAAACCATTATTCGAGATTTTATAACCATATAATTTCTTCTCCTGGCTTATTGCTATTTACTGCTTAGCAAACAATCCTCTCATCACATGTGGCTGCTTTCATGGGAGATATTTGCATTTAATTTGTGGAATTTCAGTCGGTTGCTGTTAGTTGTGACATTGCAGAGTCAGCATTATTTATCCAAAGCTGGGATCAGGAGACGATGTCGGATGATCCCTGAAAGTAACCATACTTCACCCCAGTACATTTCCATATTGAACGTTTACTGGGGAGAAGTGGCCGCTGAGATAAATAGAAACAGACCTCCAATGCTTGTCCAGATAATTATCACACCCCAATACTTGCGGCCATCTTTTTCCTATTGTTCCCCATGCAGGAATCAGGAAAGCTCAATCAATCGCCTCAAATGGCATGCTGTGATAGCACTTCCATAAATCGTTACACAGATAGTGCGTGGTTAGATTGTAGTTTGCTCTCAGAACGAGCCATTACCTTTGAAATGACCGGCCTACCTACCATGGCTTGGCCTTCCTTTAACGGATAGTAGATTCCCTCATTGTGCTAGCAACATTTCTAGAAAAAGTGTAAAGGAGAAACAATGTTGTTGGTTTTGTTAGTGTGACCTTCCTGAACATTACTGTTTTTGCTAACTTACTGGGAGGCTTACTTGCGGGATACTGATCACATTATTTGGGGCAGCTGCACACTGTATTTGAGTCTAAACTTGTTGGAGTGGAAGCAGGTACGTATATTGTTAATCTATAGTCTTGCTGGTGACTCTGATAGGTATGTACTTCCATATACATTATCCTAAGGGAATTTTAATTTGTTATCCACACCATTTGTAAATTTCATGTTCAGTTCACAATTGCCAAGGAAGATGCAAAGTGTGCCATTAATAAAACTGAGCCACAGTCAGACCCCCTAATATTAGCTATTAATTATAAGCTGTCCATTATCCTCCAATCACAGACTCCTAAAAATCAACTGGATTAAGAATTGTCACAGCTTGGCGGTGGCTGGGAATGTGTGTCACCTGTCAGGTTCATTGAGACCCTTCCAAAACTCTAACCTCTGGTTATGGAGATCCGTGTTAATTAACATTTTCTTAGTAGGGACGGACATTGCCAAATGACAATGATAAATTTGTGTCTAAATAGGAAATTGCTAATCTTATATAATCAGATATACAGTAGATTCCTCTTCCCTTGTAGCTAAAGCATTGTTTAAACCCCATTTATTGGGCTTCTGTGATCTCCCCATTATTTTGATACAGGACATCTAATGGTGAATTAGTTTTATGAAATCCATAACACAGGGTTAAATGGTAACTTTCTGTTCCCAGCCCTTTTTATAATGTGATGCTAATACTGTGTATTCTAAAATGCCAGCCTATTCCTGGCACACTCCCAGTGCTGTAAGATTCTCACTGCACACTGCATGCTCTGACCTGTACATAAAGAGTATTCGTTTCCTATGTTGGTCTAATAGTGGTAACATCATCCAAACAAAATATTGATCCGCACAGCAGAACGATCGGCTGTGATTTAATAAGCTGAGTGCTGCTGTCCCTCCTTACACACTTACAATATAAGGGCTTTCGGAGAAACAGGGAATGGATAATCAACATTACCATTTCCTATAGCACAATCTATATAGAAAGTAGGGAAATGATGAGGGACTGATTGGATGCAACAAAACCAGACGGCGCTTATTTAAGAGCACACAATGTCACTATACTTAAAGGGATTACTGGTACATTTATTTCACAATAATAAACAATACCGGTTGCGTGTTTACATGTCTGTGACTCATAACTATTGAATAGAGTTCACAGAAGGTGAAAACGATTTTGCTGAATGTCCGATTACTCAGGCTATATAAAATTATTTTATCTTGACGTCAAGTTGTCTAATTGAGCAGCCACGTGTCAGGCATTATGGAATGTCAGATGGAGAATTCATGATATTAACATGCCTTTACGTACACCCTGTTGAAGTTACGCACTAAACTCAGAATTGTAGTCTCAAATGGCACATTTTACCAGGAAATAGATGATTGTTAGTTTGCGATTCCCTAGTCAAATCTCCACTATTCAAATTTAGTAAATTACATCATTGTTTTATTGCTTAGTGTGATGTATTTACCATAAATCCTGGTTTATGAAGGAGAAAGGACAACTCTTATCAGTCCTAGGATGGCATATTTGAGCTGAATTCTTTTTCAAATACACAGGATGTGAAAGAGACTGTTTTTTGTATGTTTTTTTTGGACCCACTTCTATTGAATTATTAATGATTGGAGGGCCTTTCTTAGTTTGGTTTATAGGATTGGTGTATTGAACACGTATGGACTGTCCATGGTAAGCAATAGTTATTAATCAGCACAGGGATATAAAGCGTTAAAGCCTCTTGACTGTATTTGCTGACGCAGCACATATATACGTATTGATCTGATATTTCTATTTTTGCAGTTAATGTATCATTGTTGAAGGGTAAATTCCACAACTTGGAGGATTGTGTTACAATTTTAGTATTTATTTTGTTATTATCTTTCACTATTTGGTATTTTTTTTTTTTGACAATCTTTATTTTAGTTTTTTTCTTTTTCCATGTTTCAACTTTGCATTAAAATGTTTAAACAAAAGAAAACATGTATCAGCTTGCGTCAAAGTATATAATGTACATAAACATAACAGGGCATAACTTGCATCGATAATACACTGTATGTAAACACTACGTGGCATAGCTTGCATCGGGAATTCAATGTATGTATAACTATGTATCAAACCTGTTCAAAGGTTTAACATTCTGGAAACATAGATTAAACTGGCAAGGGCAGTGCCCAACAATATGTCTCACTCCATATGCCTTAAAAATAGGTGTCGGTTCAGAGCTTGCATAGCAGGCTAGCACTTGACAGGCAGACCTTTAAACAACAATTGTACCAGTTATTGACCGTCTTTGTATCACGTTACTCCATCACACAGTGGTCTCATTTCCAGTAATCCTTCTCTCCCCCTCATGCCACCCCCCCATGCAATCACCACTCCAGTTTGGCACAAGTAGCTGTGTTCCTCGCCTAGTTTCGCTTGCAGTGAACTAACCAGTGTTGTATTCATATGTCATATGGTCATATTGCCGGTATCAAGTATACAGTATACTTATGCGTTGGTTTTGGGTTATTTCGTATATACTGTATACTGTCGGCATGGTTCTGTGGTTTGTGGTCTGATATCGTATATGTGACTGTAGTGTACAGCATCCATCACTAGTAGGGTCTTGCTTAGTGCCCATCACATGGTGCTCGCTTGTTATAGTAGTAGAGAAGCCTAAGACTCCTGTGTGGTAGAGAGAGTGGCAGATGCGCAGGGAACGTAGGAGGCAAGTAGTTATTCATTTTAATAATTGCTAAATTGGAATCACATTGTCGATATTGACACTTTGTTACTATTTGGTATATTATTAATCACCTAGCTGGGTCACTTTTTACGTTTATGGTGTATTACTAATTCAGATTTGGTCTGCTGTGTTTTGTGGAATGCCATGTTCTATGTATTTTTAAATTGTTCTCTGGGTTTTACTATTTTTGTATGTTCTGTTAATTATATAATTATAATATATATATTTTTTGATACCGTGACACGTTGTTTATATTGATACACATCTGCATTTAGGGGTTCTAATAATCTGATTTCTTGTGTCACGAGCTATACATGTCTTATCTCACACGCTTTCAATAACTGTGTCACAAGGAAATCATTATGTAACTGTCCGATTATATTGCAAATCGGCCTGACTGCTGTGAGAGATGTTTGTTTAACAGTATATTGGGAAGGTTTGGGGTAGTCATATTGTGTGTGTGTGTGTCAAAAAGCAGGGCAGGAAAAGGCAGAAGTTGGAGAACAATAACCCCCACAATGCTTTGCCTTATGGTCAACTCTATTCTGCTGTAATGTGTGTCATTCTGACATTGAAAGGGTTACTGCTTTAAATAGACTAAATTTCAGGCCTGGCTGCAGGAGCAGAGAAATGAATGCAAAGCAGGACTAGAAGTGTGAAATGTGACCTGACCAGATCCCGGGTGCTTAGCTAAGAAGGGAAAAGCTGGAAATAATCCTTCCTCTTACAAGGAAAACCTGCCATTGGTGTCATGTAGTAGGAGTACCATCACCGGCTAGTTAGGGGTTATCTGATGAGAGGACTGTGCTGTACAGCAGGAGTACCATCACCGGCTAGTTAGGGGTTATCTGATGACAGCACTGTGCTATACAGCAGGAGTACCATCACCGGCTAGTTAGGGGTTATCTGATGAGAGCACCATGCTGTACAGCAGGAGTACCATCACCGGCTAGTTAGGGGTTATCTGATGAGAGCACTGTACTGTACAGCAGGAGTACCATCACCGGCTAGTTAGGGGTTATCTGATGACAGCACTGTGCTATACAGCAGGAGTACCATCACCGGCTAGTTAGGGGTTATCTGATGAGAGCACCATGCTGTACAGCAGGAGTACCATCACCGGCTAGTTAGGGGTTATCTGATGAGAGCACTGTGTTATACAGCAGGAGTACCATCACTGGCTAGTTAGGGGTTATCTGATGACAGCACTGTGCTATACAGCAGGAGTACCATCACCGGCTAGTTAGGGGTTATCTGATGAGAGCACCATGCTGTACAGCAGGAGTACCATCACCGGCTAGTTAGGGGTTATCTGATGACAGCACTGTGCTATACAGCAGGAGTACCATCACCGGCTAGTTAGGGGTTATCTGATGAGAGCACCATGCTGTACAGCAGGAGTACCATCACCGGCTAGTTAGGGGTTATCTGATGAGAGCACTGTGCTATACAGCAGGAGTACCATCACCGGCTAGTTAGGGGTTATCTGATGAGAGCACTGTGCTGTCCAGCAGGAGTACCATCACCGGCTAGTTAGGGGTTATCTGATGAGAGCACTGTGCTGTACAGCAGGAGTACCATCACCGGCTATTGAATGTGCTGTGCAATTTTGGGCACCTGTTCTAAAGAAGGATATTATGGCACTAGAAAAAGTGCAGAGGCGGGCTACAAAATTAATAAAAGGAATGGAACATATCAGCTATGAAGAAAGGTTGACAAATTTAAACCTATTTAGTTTAGAAAAACATCACCTGAGAGGGGATATGATAACATTATACAAATATATTCAGGGCCGATACAAACCATTGTGTGGAAATCTATTCACAAACCGGACTTTACATAGGAGACGAGGCCATGCGTTTAGACTGGAAGAAAGAAGTTTTCGTCTAAGGCAAAGGAAAGGTTTTTTTACTGTAAGAACAATCAGGATGTGGAATTCTCTGCCTGAAGAAGTGGTTTTATCAGAATCCATACAGATGTTCAAACGGTTACTAGATGCATACTTGCAAAAACAGAATATTCAAGGATATAATCTTTCAATGTAGGGTAATCACTGCTTGATCCAAGGATGAATCTGACTGCCATTCTGGGGTCAAGAAGGAATTTTTTCCTAGCTTGGTGCAAAATTGTGCTTCAAACTGGGGTTTTTTGCCTTCTTTTGGATCAACTGCAAAAAAACAAATGTGAGGTAGGCTGAACTTGATGGACGCAAGTCTCTTTTCAGCTATGTAACTATGTAAGGAGTACCATCACCGACTAGTTTGGGCTTATCTAATGAGAGCACTGTGCTGTACAGCAGTAGTACCATCACCGGCTCGTTGGGGGTTATCTAATGAGAGCACCGTGCTGTACAATAGGAGTACCATCACTGGCTAATTAGGGGTTATCTAATGAGAGCTCTGTACTGTACAGCAGGAGTACCATCACCGACTAGTTAGGGGTTATCTAATGAGAGCACTGTGCTGTACAACAGTAGTACCATCACTGGCTAGTTTGGGGTTTTCTAATGAGAGCACTGTGCTGTACAGCAGGAGTACCATCAGCGACTAGTTAGGGGTTATCTGATGAGAGCACCATGCTGTACAGCAGGAGTAACATCACCGGCTAGTTAGGGGTTATCTGATGAGAGCACTGTGCTATACAATAGGAGTACCATCACCGACTAGTTAGGGGTTATCTGATGAGAGCACCATGCTGTCCAGCAGGAGTAACATCACTGGCTAGTTAGGGGTTATCTGGTGAGATAATAGTTCTATTCTAGTATCTAGCAGTACCAGCTAGTTAGGGCTTATCTGGTGCGATAATAGTTCTATTCTAGTATCTAGCAGTACCAGCTAGTTAGGGGTTATATAATGTGGGGGCACTTTACGTCACTTGTTTTCAATGTAGGGTAATAACTGCTTGATCCAAGGATGAATCTGACTGCCATTCTGGGGTCAAGAAGGAATTTTTTCCTAGCTTGGTGCAAAATTGTGCTTCAAACTGGGGTTTTTTGCCTTCTTTTGGATCAACTGCAAAAAAACAAATGTGAGGTAGGCTGAACTTGATGGACGCAAGTCTCTTTTCAGCTATGTAACTATGTAAGGAGTACCATCACCGACTAGTTTGGGCTTATCTAATGAGAGCACTGTGCTGTACAGCAGTAGTACCATCACCGGCTCGTTGGGGGTTATCTAATGAGAGCACCGTGCTGTACAATAGGAGTACCATCACTGGCTAATTAGGGGTTATCTAATGAGAGCTCTGTACTGTACAGCAGGAGTACCATCACCGACTAGTTAGGGGTTATCTAATGAGAGCACTGTGCTGTACAACAGTAGTACCATCACTGGCTAGTTTGGGGTTTTCTAATGAGAGCACTGTGCTGTACAGCAGGAGTACCATCAGCGACTAGTTAGGGGTTATCTGATGAGAGCACCATGCTGTACAGCAGGAGTAACATCACCGGCTAGTTAGGGGTTATCTGATGAGAGCACTGTGCTATACAATAGGAGTACCATCACCGACTAGTTAGGGGTTATCTGATGAGAGCACCATGCTGTCCAGCAGGAGTAACATCACTGGCTAGTTAGGGGTTATCTGGTGAGATAATAGTTCTATTCTAGTATCTAGCAGTACCAGCTAGTTAGGGCTTATCTGGTGCGATAATAGTTCTATTCTAGTATCTAGCAGTACCAGCTAGTTAGGGGTTATATAATGTGGGGGCACTTTACGTCACTTGTTTTCTGATGGATCATCATCTGTTGAGCTAATGTGTGTGTGTGTATAAAATAAACTGACTAGTAACTGGTGTTACTTGAGACCCCAAATGTGCATTCATCATGCAAATACCACTTGCTTCTTAGCGTACCCCACATCTGCCATGCATGAATTAGCTCTGTACGTGCAGATATTTTGTGGTTACATACAGCTTACTCCATAATGTTCTAACAGACACACCAATGTGTAGCTTCTCTCATGAAAACCTGAATCAAGCTAAGCATGCACGATAGTGGAAGTCAGAGCAGGATTAACTATAAAGCAACCTTAGGTGGCCACCTATGGTCCAGCGTTTGGACCAGGCCCCAGACCATGAATTTGCTTTTGCTCATTCACAATCCCTGTGTGAAGAATGAAGGTTACCTAACTGGTAAACCACATGGTCCTGTTCTCTGGTTGGAATAGCTCAATTCTGTTAATTTATGTAAGTAGCTTAATATTTTTATTTTTTAATGAATGTAACTACTTACAGCCACATGATCACAGCTTTTAGTGTAAATCTGACAGGTGAACTACATGTCCCTCAAGCAAGCCGTGCTGTGTAGGTCTCATGAAATGTACACAGTGCTCACATTGAAAATAACAGAAGGACCAGGATTGGCTGAGCCGTTTGACCCACTTCCTGGTCTCTGTAGCTTCCCAACTAGTACTAGGGAGACAAGAGAGATCATGGTTGTGACCATGTGTCTCCTGCAAGTTGTTATCGATGGGACATGACAGGGGTTGCCCAAAATAAACTAACAGGAATTTTTAGTAGAAAGGTCACATGAAAGCCGTGTGATTTTAGGAGGGGCAATTCTGTTCCATGAGCCTCGGACACCAAAATAGTTTAGTAACCAAGTGGCTGGCAGAGCCTTTTAACTCTTTACATGCCAATAGAGAGTTTAATGCCGATGGAATAAATAATGGCAGGCAAAAGAAGGGAATTGTCGCTTGTTGTTATTATAATGTATGTATTTAAAAACTGTATTTTATTTTCATTGATTGAGTGATTTATATTTTGTAAATGGCTATAATATGATTTTTTATATATGTCATAATGATTACTAATAGCTATTAAAATGTATTTACATATTATTGTTACTATTCTCTTATAATACTTTTTTATATGTAATAACATTTTATGGCAATACAATTTTTTTTTTTTAGTTTATTATAACCCTTTTGTGTCCACTTTTCCTTTAATTGTACTATGTGTGTCTGGTCACATATCCACTAATTAAGATTCTTTAAATGTTCTGCCCCAGACACAGATTACCTGCGTTACCTGTTCCCTTTTTATGTGAAATCCAATTTGTTTCGGTTGTGTTACACACATTACGGACAGACCTACTCAATCTGTAACTTCTGGAATGGTGAGTGACAGGGTTTGCTAGATTGGGTCAGGGTGGGCAATGTGTGCCAGGAGGCAGGGGGTACTGTGTGTATACCAGCTGGGTACACTGGTACATTTTGTGTAGAATGCTTTAACACTTGTCCCTTCGTTGCACAGACCCTCATCATCACGACCTGTACATAAATACCAGTGACTACCTCGCACCATTAAACTCTGAGCGGTTGGATCCCAATGCTACAGGTAAAATATTTCACAGCTATATTCTGTCCTTTCTCTGGCATATTAAAATAAAATATATTTAATGTTGGTGAGCATTTACACACGCACGTTTTCTCTGCAAAGGTGGAGGAGTGAACTCCTAATAGAAGATATTACATTTGTATTTTGCCATCATCCTGCTCCTTTGCTCTATGAGTGGCTACTCACACATTTTATCCATTCTTCTTTCCATTAGACTGGAAGAAAAATTTTCTGCGCCTCCGCAAACTTGTCCTCATTGGTGGCCCAGATGATGGTGTAATTACCCCTTGGCAGTCTAGGTATGAGGGAGAAGGATCTGTCACTTTTTATCTCAAGAACAATGTGAAGTGGACGTACCGAGGCTGGAGAGAAGTGGGCAAGGAGGATGTGGCCGAGCGGGTTGCAGCGCGTGTACAGTTATGGAGGATAAAAAAATAAAAGATTTGACTGACCGTGACCATGGGAAAAGCAGAGAGAGAAGAGGGGAGATAAATTGAGAAGTGAAGAGGGGTGATGGAGGGTGAATTGTAGCGCAGAGTTCAGGCGGATGATTTGGGTAAATGAGTGTTCATGTAGGGTAAGGGAGAAAGCTGATGATGGCTGAAATATGAGGTGGTGATGGAGGGTGAGTGAGAGGGAAGAGAGATGCCCGAGAGTAAAGCAGAGGAAAGGAAGGACCGACTGAGATCCACCACAAGATGAGTTTTTTTTTTTTTTTTTTAAACGTAGATCTATAAATAGAAAAGATGTCCTTTCTAACATTAAACATCATGATGTGCAGGAGCAGAATGCTTGATTGACCGCTTTAATGGCACATGTGAAACACCACCACTAATTGACCTGACATCTTCATATGGACCTGGGTGGCAGGTTGATAGAAAATATCATTCTACCTATTAAATCAAAATATCAGTTTCAGCAAATTAAATCTAAATTTCAAGATTGATGTAAAAATAGTCCAGCTATGACTATAGAGTTGGAGAATGTTTCCAAATCTGCAAGTTTTGCTCAAATCTAGAGTTCACTGAATAACCCTATAAATGATCAATTAAACTACGGCCTAAATCTGATTCTTTTGGATTAGCTTTTCAAGTTATATCAATCTGTTAGAAAATAATTTCAAATTATTTATCGTTTGAAGTCTATGGGAATTTATGTAGGTGAATCCTATAAAACGTTTTTCTTTTCTTTTTATTCTTTATTTTTCGTGTGGAAAGATAACAGACACATGTATTTAGCCACCACAGCCTCTACACAACAATCAGAATCAGTGCATATTAAGTACGAGGCATTGCTGTGTGCTATTCACACACATTTTGTATTTACAATAGGTCACATTGTTATAGTGAGGTTTTGAAATCTAATAACTGTAGGGGTGGAAGACTTCTGTCTGCCTAATACACCCCTTGTTCCGTGAAGTCGTGGGTGGAAGGGGGAGAGCAGTTACAGCTAAGTCCAATGGCTGTTCCTAATTCCAGGTCATGTGTCTTTAAGTTATGGGTGTTTGGTGTGTCTCTTGGCCCTTCTGCGTGTGGACAGGGAGAGGGTTGCGGTGATTGCGAGGTCCCTCTGTGGGTACCCCTTCTAGGACTAGGTCCGCTCTCTTTTTTATCCCTGATTGTAGCTGTTGGTGTGCACCCATGTGTGTAGTGCTCCAGGCGTCAAAAGGTGTCTTTTTTGTCCTAGTGGTAGCTGCGGGTGGTTCCTGGTCAGTGTAGCAACTATGGATTTTGTGTGTAGGTATATAGAAGTCGTTGTAGTGTGCCCTGATCAAGTTGTGCCCTTGGGGCTTTAGGCTAGATATATAAGACATTGCGGTGAGCTTGATACCAGTCAGGGTTACTATGTCGCCCTTGATGTCAGTTCCCTTTAACCCCAGGGAGGGGGAGGTGGGGTGCCGTCGGAGCTGGTGTGGTTGGCTCTGGTGGGCCGTTTTCGCACTGTAATAGCCGTCAGAGAGAGAGAGAACTATATATAACTTAATGAACAGTCTTATTAACTCAAAATATTTAAACTAATTAGACTAAAGCCTAAGAGGCCGTCGGTAAGGCAGTTCGTTCAGGTTTTGGTTTTCGGGCCCCTGCTTGTTCCTGGGGTTGCGGTTGAATCTGTGCTCGTTGTCCCTGGCCGATGATCTAGCTGTGTCGCTGAGGTCGCTGCGAGGTTCGATATTCCTAGTGCGGTCATCAGTGCTGGGCCCTCCGTGTGGTCAGTGGCCCTGTAGTGCTTGTCATCTTTAGTGATCCAGAGAGTTCCTGGGGTTGCCCATCTATAGGCATCTCCTGCGGCTTGGAGTTGTTTGGTGATTGGGTGCATACTTTTGCGCCATAATAGTGTGGCCCTGCTAAAGTCCTGAAAGAAAGAGAGTTTGCTTTCTTCAAAGTCAAGAGGGGTCTTCCCTTGTATAGCTGCCATTAGCCTCAGTTTGTCCGACATTGATTGGCATCTCAATATTATGTCCCGTGGGGCTGAGGTGGATGCTTGTGGGGATTTGGCTAAATGTAAACCCCATCGAACTGGAATGTTTTGGTTTGTCTTGTCGGTAGGAGTGTGGCCACAAGGTGTCTGGTGAAGTGTGGAAATTCTTCCAGCGGTATTGACTCAGGTACCCCTCGAATTTTGCCTGGACATTGTCGTTTGTGAGGCTTGGAGGTGTCGCACCTTCTCACCCAGTTCCTGGTAGTTCTCCCTTAGTCCCTTTACCTCCTCTTCTATCGTCTGCGTGCGCGTGGACACTGCGTGCACGTCTAGCTTAAGCAATGCCAGATCCGCTTCCCACATTTGTCTCAGGTTCTGTTGCAGGCCTGTCAGCATTGCCTGTATATCTTGTTTTGAGGCCGGTGCGCTGGCTTCTGGTGTCCACGTGTGTGGGGCGTGTTGGGGACTAGGGTATGGTCTGTCTAGCGGTTCTCCCTCCTCTGATGGTACCGGGATGTTTCGCGGGGGGTCTGTGCCTTCACTGCGCTTGGGGCCTGTAGCATTGCCCATGTCGCGCTGCGGTTTTGGGGTGTTTTGGGGCGGTTTTTGCGTTCTGCTCCCCATCTCACCTGAGCTATGTGTGCTGGGGTACCAGTGTTCTCCCGTGATGGACTGAGGCTGCCTCCCCGACATCAGGAAAAAAGGCATCGGCGGTCACAGTGGGGTTCCCTGCGGTCTGTGGCTGGATGTGTGGCCGGGATTTGTGCGGGATGCCTCCGATGTTGCCGGATTGCAGTGGAATACCTAGAAAACGTTTTTCAAACTGATTGTGATTATTTGAAAAGTTTATTAAGAAGAATTGAAAAGAGGTCTATTATCGTATTGTGTAGATGGCAAGAATGTAAACGCTGCATTCTGGGTTCACACACTGAACGTTGTCTTAATTCTATGTCATTTTCAGCCAATAGTCTAAAGATTGAGCAGATTACTGTAGATAAAAGTCTATTGATGGGCCATCAAAGTAAATACCTCCCTTACCAAAGCCTGGAGGCTAGCAAAGGATCATTGGCGGAGTGGTTTTACAACAGCTGTGGATCCTCCCTTTTAACCTTTTATATGATAAACGGGCCACACCTAGCTCTGAGATCATTCATATTTTATTAATACAAACGTACAGATATACATTTTATAGCAGCAAAAATTGTATATGTTTCTCCCTTAAAGGACCACTATGGGCACCCAGACCACTTCAGCTCAACAAAGTGGTTTGAATGCCAGGTCCCTCTAGTGTTAACCCTGCAGCTGAAAACATAGCAGTTTCATTGTGATTTTCACAATGAGAACACGGTGGACGTCCATAGGAAAGCATTGAGTAATGCTTTCCTATGGGCAGTTTGAGTGCGCGCGCGGCTCTTGCCGCGCATGCGAATTCGGTGCTGACGTCGGCAGGAGGAGAGTTCCCCAGTGCCGAGTTAGCCCGGTGTTGGAGAAAGGAAAGTGGATGAAGGGGCACCTAAAGACCCTATAGTGCCAGGAAAACAAGTTTGTTTTCCTGGCACTATAGTGGTCCTTTTAAAGGGACATTATAATCACCAAAATAACTTTAGCTTAATGAAGCAGTGATGGCGTATAGATTGTGCCCCTGCAGTCTCACTACCTCATTCTCTGCTGTTTACTAATTAAATCATTTTTTTTTTCTGTTTATGCAGTCATAACCATGACATTTCTTTATGTTTCATTATGTTTAAAAGAACACTATAGGGTCAGGAATGCAAATGTGTATTCCCAAACCCTATAGTGTTAAAAACCCGTAAATCGTGTTTAATCCTACCTTTTTCCAGTGCTTCGCAGGTCAGCCTGTGTGGCTCCGCTCCATCTGTCTCCTTGGCTGACATGATCAGAATTGACTATTTCAGCCAATCCGGTGCTTTCCCATAGGAATGCATTGGGAGGCTAATGCGCTCGCTCGGCAAAACACTGCTCTGGACAATCACCATATCCACATAGAGATGCATCGAATCAATGCATCTCTGTGAGGAATGTTCAGTGGAATGCTGGTACTGCACAGTGTGCAACACTGACCCAAAAAGCACCTGCAGTGGCCATTTGAGTGACTGCCACTGGAGGTGTCCCTAGGCAGCAATGTAAACACTGCCTTTTTTTCTGAAAAGGCAGTGTTTACATTAAAATACCTGCAAGGACATACTATACTCACCAGAACAACTAATTAAGCTGTAGTTTTGTGGCTTAGAATATCTCTTAAATTGAGAATCCACCAAATTCTAATACAATGTCTCTTTTTCCCCTGTTGAACAGTCACTTTGGATTTTATGATGAGAACGAGACCATCCTGGAGATGAAAGCACAAATGGTTCGTAATATTCTAAAATAATGGCTCACAATCTGCTCCCTCTCCCTGTGACTCCCTCCCACTATACATCGACTGGATTCTTACTCCTTTCTCTTCTGTCCGCTAGGTTTACCAGAAGGACACCTTCGGACTCCAAACACTGGATTTCCGAGGAGCTATTACCATGTACTGTGTTCCTGGCGTCTTGCACACCATGTGGCACTCTAATGAAACGGTGTTCAACGAGTGCATTGAAAAATGGCTCACCTAAGAGCTTCTGGGTAAATGTACAGCAGTCATGCTCTCAATGTGCCCTACATTCTACTCCCAGTACTTTGTAACATGACAGATGTTCCTTTCCACTCTTACATGAGCTGTACCCCCCATCTCCTGTGAAGTGCTCTGTGTTATGCCTCCTCTCCCCGCACCTTGACCCTGGTGCTGTTGTCTACATCTGTGCCTCTATGCCTTGGCACAGTCTGTCATTTTCCGGCCTGACCTGGGACGTACCTGAAATATTCAACTCTGAAGAGGAAACTTCAGGGCTTTTAATCCCTAAAATGACATTTTATGGAATATGAAAAAGTAAAACAAGGTATTGGAAAGGGGGATGATGACTTTTGGATAAGTCTGCACAATGAGGTAGCTTTGTTTTAAGTAATATTTTCCACCTTTTTGGGATTTTCTACCTCTGCGTCTCAAACATCCTTTCCAGAGAAATGAAAGGAAGAGATAGGATTTAAAAGGGGGTACCTTAGAGTCAAACAACATAGTAGTGTGGGCCAGGAAGTCGTCTAGATGCTATTTAGTTCTTACTCCACATTCGTTTCAATTGGAGGTGTCCTAATATTTTAATAATGATTTTAATCCCCCTGGTACGCCAGCTCTTTCCTGAAGGGGGGTGTGAATTCTCCCCTGTCTGCTGCAATAGAGGCCCTAACAATGCAATTGCCCTCCCAGGTACAGGTTAGTGAGGCGGGAGGGCTGGTAGTGAATTTTTTATTAAACCTTTTTAGGGATATTTATCTATTTGTAATGATGTCAGTCATTCTTCGAAGGCACAAGGGATCACGCTAACTGATTTGAAGAATAGTATTCGCTGTGTTCAGTCAGAGAGAACCTCATGTTTACAACCCGGTATATCATTCTTATAATACTGGTTATGATTTTTTATTTGTGTATGTTGTGTTGAATAAAACATTTCTGCATTAACGCTCCACAAGTGTTTTTTAATCAGGACTGCTCACAAATTCATGGAAATACAGAATTAAAATGCACTAAAAATCTAGAACTAGAATGCATTGTGAATCTAGAAAAAAAGGATGCTGTCACACAGAACCAGAATTCCCCTTACTTCTAGAGCAATGGTTCCCAACCCAGTCCTCAAGTACCCCCTACCAGTCCAGGATTTAGGGATTACCTAGTTGTGTCTAAGGTGTTTTTAGAAAAGGGGAAAAAAACCACTTTAGACACAACAGGGTAATTTTAAATCATGGACTGGTAGGGGTTACTTGAGGACTGGGTTGGGATCCACTGTTCTAGAGCAAATATGATGTCCAACCATGTACGAATATATAGCATAACCTACAGTGCAAGGAGGCCACCGCTCCCAGGATTTCTGCTTTTTCTTGCAAACCGTTGTGACGGTAGCTGTACTTCCTCTGCTGCACATACAAAATATATAAATATCGCGTGAAAGACAAATGCCAAGTGAGGATGTAATATTGAAAGATGGCGGCGGCAGTGTTATCTGGGTCAATCTAAGGTTTCTGGCTTTGTACATAAATTTACTGTGAATTGATGACATTTTAAAGGGAATTTCAAATTTTAGGCCGAAATACATGAACTGAAAACGTAACTGACTTGGGGATTTTTTAATTTTATTTTTTTACTTCTGCTATTGTGGACTAATATTTAAAATGACCTCAAACTCCATTTCAATTCCAAACAATTCACTGCTTAGTGAATAATCCCTTATAAATACAAGTATGCTTTCTTTAAATTTCACGTTTGTTTTTTAATTCTTTGTATTGAACTTTAACAGAAATATACTGTATACAAGTAGGACAGGCAATGTACACATCGATTCAGGTTCATAAATCAGAGGTCGAATAAGAAATGAAACCCTTATAGAATCAGGTAGAAATACTGATAAAACAAAGATTAAATGAACGGAGGAAACAGAAGGGGGGAAAAAAGGTAAATAAAATCCTCCTATCCCCAAAGTTCAGATACCCTTTACCCCAAGGCCGGGTGGATCAGCAAGTTACACCAAATCTTCCCGACTAGATGAGAGGGCTATTGGGGAATTGTACAGAAACGGTATCCTTGTTAATTACTTATGTATTCGTTTTTCTCTTCGTTCGTAGATAGCACAGTTTGGTTTCCAGTATCCAGTGAACAGGTTTAGCACCGCTAATTAAACTTGTGATTAACTTATTTTGTTTGCATTGGCAAGTCCTTCTATTGACCTGCACAGCAGAGATATCCATGGATCCAATATTATTGGCTTATTAACCGCCATAGACGGTCATGTAGCCAACCATCTCTAGCGGGGAGTAAGCCACCATTAATGAAAGAAATTGTGGCCAATCACATTGTCTCTGGCACCGCTGTAAAGCACTAACCTTCATTGGATAGAGTCTGCAGGTGGTGAGCTTTCAATGTGACATGGCCTTATACACTTGCTCTTTAAGTGTAACACAGATTGAGGCGTTCCATTTTCTGAACCAATATTTTCCTACCAGTGAGTCATATATGGGAAGGAGCCTGAAGACGAAGTAAGTTATGGTGTGTTTATCCTCTTAAAGGCCTCACCGTCCTGAACAGTAAGCTACATATTACTGTCACTATGTGTTTGGAAACCTGAGCTAGATGTAAAGGTCATGTAGATACAGATCCAAAATAGAATAGATATCTAGAACAAAATAGACTTTGGGTTATAGCTTACAGAATGCATTGCAATTCATTTTTGTTTTTTTTATGGCCAATCACCTTTCCTGTTATTTATTAAACGCCAGCATATTGACCCGAGTTGCACTGTGAACAAATAAATAAAATCATATTGATAAGCAGACTAGTGGGAGGGGACGGTGGCCCTGCTCCAAGGAGCTTACAATCTAGAAGGCGTGTATCCAGAATGGTGGAGAGCTTTTATCTATAACTGTATGTAAAGTGAAAGATGACTAGACCTAAAATAAAATGTGAACAGTGTGAAACCAGCTATAAAGAGGCCCCCTATTGGTGGATAGGGGAGTCTACTTGGCCCCAAACACTATTTAAATACCTTACCCCACTGTGCATGGGTGAGGGAAAGGAGAGGACCTCTGTAATAGACACCTGCTCCCCCAAATGTGTTCATCCATCCTTGGGGATAGGGTTAAATATATGGTTATATATCATAAATCTGTTTATAATTCATTAGTCCAAACCAGATACAATGCTGGTGTCATAGGAGTTTGGCTATTTGTTTTTATTGAAAATATATTCAACCTGCAAATATTGTCATTAGATATTGCAAAAATAATAAATAAAATTAAAGAAAATTGATGTAACCCTGGAGTTTCACACAGACCATATCCTGGCTTAATGAAAGTCTGGCCATGGTTACACAGGGGGAAGGAAGGAGTTAATGCTGGTTTTTTAGGTGGTGTGGGTCCCACACCTGTCTGAGTAGGCGGGGGATTCCTTGGGACGGTTCAAACCATTCTCACGTGGGTGAGAGCCGAGGTGTAAGGATTATACCAAGTCAGCACAGCCTGTGACACAGTCATTACAGCTGGATTAACCCCTTCCCTGCCTGGGAGATCTGACAGTGCCAGTCACATAGCTCAGTCAGCCTGGGCTGGGTTTTCTCTCCCAGAGACCCTGCAGCAAGGCACAAGTAATCCCTGTCAGACCCTAAACTGATACAGTAACAATTCTCACAACTGCACTGTAGCAATGTATCACTGCATTAACCCTTTAATACCCAGGCATGTTTCATCACTCCCATCCCATCCCCCTTTGATTACTGCAAATGTTAGATCATCGGCATTCAAAGGGTTAACTGACAGGCTCCTAAACCTGTGTCCCACCAGCTCCTTCAGGGGTCCTACAACCTGATGATTCTTTGTTAACTAGTCTCTGCAGAGGGGGTTAATCCAGCCCAGGTATGTTTGCAGTACACACCTCACTCCTCCCTCTCTGAAGAGCAGGAGCTGAGAGCTTCCTGGACAGAGGTGAGCTGGCAGGATCTTCTCCCCTCTCTGGGGTCATCCAGGGGTAGGTGTTTGTATAATCCATCTGGCTTTCTGGGGGCAATGATTAAGGGGGTTAGGGAGAGGGGTGTCCCTAAAACTGCTGCCATGTGAGGGGGAGGACATGGGGCAGGGAGGAATTACACAGGGCAGATCTGGGGGTAGTTGCAGAGAAGGGGTTACTGGGCAGAGAGGGTTAGAGAGTGCAGGGACCTGGGTACTCCAAGAGTGGCAGCAAGTAGCCCAGGGGACAGTGTTAGATGCAACACAGGAAGGAATCCCTGGGGAAGTGACAGGAGAGGGGGGGGCTGGAGGATTAAGGATTGTGACAGCTACATGTTTAAATGGACGTTGGCAGAGGGGGCACACGGAGGGTGGTATAGTGCAAGGCAGGGGGCAGACAGACACAGTCCCAGAACTGACATAACAAACACAGGCACCAAAACTGCAGGGCACAAAGTTATTGTAAAATCCAGAGAAGTGACCCAGGTCAGGGGTACAAGGTTCAGGATCCAAAATCCAAATCTGGGAGAGGGAATGGTTCAGGATATATGGCAGCTTCAACTCCAGAAACATTAGCATTTATCAGCTGCCATGTTTGTGAACCAGAGCCCTCCTTCAAAATATAGTGTACATACAGAACCAGGCACTTCACAGAACTGGAATACTTTGTAAAACCAGGGATTAGAATACATTATAGATACAGAACCCTGGACTAGAATACATTATAGATACAGAACCCTGGACTAGAATACGTTATAGATACAGAACCCTGGACTAGAATACTTTATAGACACAGAACCCTGGACTAGAATACATTATAGACACAGAACCCTGGACTAGAATACATTATAGATACAGAACCCTGGACTAGAATACTTTATAGATACAGAATCCTGGACTAGAATACATTATAGATACAGAACCCTGGACTAGAATACATTATAGATACAGAACCCTGGACTAGAATATGTTATAGATACAGAACCCTGGACTAGAATACATTATAGATACAGAACCCTGGACTAGAATACATTATAGACACAGAACCCTGGACTAGAATACTTTATAGACACAGAACCCTGGACTAGAATACATTATAGACACAGAACCCTGGACTAGAATACATTATAGATACAGAACCCTGGACTAGAATACTTTATAGATACAGAATCCTGGACTAGAATACATTATAGATACAGAACCCTGGACTAGAATACATTATAGATACAGAACCCTGGCCTAGAATACATTATAGATACAGAACCCTGGACTAGAATACATTATAGATACAGAACCCTGGACTAGAATACATTATAGATACAGAACCCTGGACTAGAATACATTATAGACACAGAACCCTGGACTAGAATACATTATAGACACAGAACCCTGGACTAGAATACATTATAGACACAGAACCCTGGACTAGAATACATTATAGACACAGAACCCTGGACTAGAATACATTATAGATACAGAACCCTGGACTAGAATACATTATAGATACAGAACCCTGGACTAGAATACATTATAGATACAGAACCCTGGACTAGAATACATTATAGATACAGAACCCTGGACTAGAATACATTATAGATACAGAACCCTGGACTAGAATACATTATAGATACAGAACCCTGGACTAGAATACATTATAGATACAGAACCCTGGACTAGAATACTTTATAGATACAGAACCCTGGACTAGAATACTTTATAGACACAGAACCCTGGACTAGAATACTTTATAGATACAGAATCCTGGACTAGAATACATTATAGACACAGAACCCTGGACTAGAATACATTATAGATACAGAACCCTGGACTAGAATACATTATAGATACAGAACCCTGGACTAGAATACATTATAGACACAGAACCCTGGACTAGAATACATTATAGACACAGAACCCTGGACTAGAATACATTATAGACACAGAACCCTGGACTAGAATACATTATAGACACAGAACCCTGGACTAGAATACATTATAGACACAGAACCCTGGACTAGAATACATTATAGATACAGAACCCTGGACTAGAATACATTATAGACACAGAACCCTGGACTAGAATATGTTATAGATACAGAACCCTGGCCTAGAATACATTATAGATACAGAACCCTGGACTAGAATACTTTATAGATACAGAACCCTGGACTAGAATACATTATAGACACAGAACCCTGGACTAGAATACATTATAGATACAGAACCCTGGACTAGAATACATTATAGACACAGAATCCTGGACTAGAATACATTATAGATACAGAACCCTGGACTAGAATACTTTATAGATACAGAACCCTGGACTAGAATACTTTATAGATACAGAACCCTGGACTAGAATACTTTATAGACACAGAACCCTGGACTAGAATACTTTATAGATACAGAATCCTGGACTAGAATACATTATAGACACAGAATCCTGGACTAGAATACATTATAGATACAGAACCCTGGACTAGAATACATTATATACACAGAACCCTGGACTAGAATACATTATAGATACAGAACCCTGGACTAGAATACTTTATAGATACAGAACCCTGGACTAGAGTACATTATAGATACAGAACCCTGGACTAGAATACATTATAGACACAGGACCCTGGACTAGAATACATTATAGACACAGACCCTGGACTAGAATACATTATAGATACAGAATACCCCTGGACTAGAATACTTTATAGACACAGAACCCTGGACTAGAATACTTTATAGACACAGAACCCTGGACTAGAATACTTTATAGACACAGGACTCTGGACTAGAATACTTTATAGATACAGGACCCTGGACTAGAATACATTATAGATACAGAACCCTGGACTAGAATACTTTATAGATACAGAACCCTGGACTAGAATACTTTATAGATACAGAACCCTGGACTAGAATACTTTATAGATACAGAACCCTGGACTAGAATACATTATAGATACAGAACCCTGGACTAGAATACTTTATAGATACAGAACCCTGGACTAGAATACTTTATAGATACAGAACCCTGGACTAGAATACTTTATAGATACAGAACCCTGGACTAGAATACTTTATAGATACAGAACCCTGGACTAGAATACATTATAGATACAGAACCCTGGACTAGAATACATTATAGACACAGAACCCTGGACTAGAATACTTTATAGACACAGAACCCTGGACTAGAATATTTTATAGATACAGAACCAGACATTGGAATACTTTTGTAAAACCCTGGACTAGAATAGTCTGTAAAACAAGAGACCAGAATATTTTGTGCATACAGAACCAGGCACTAGAATGCTTTGTAAATAATCAGGGACTGGAATCATTTGCAAAAACAGAACCATGGGGGCAAGAATACATTGTAGATACAATGCAATTTCAGAATTAGTGGGGCTTGAACGGATCTTTCTATAGTCCCCATAGTTTTCATAATATCGTCCTCTAGTTGCATTACCCCCCACACACTTTTTTTTTTTTTGCTGTCCAGCACATAAAGTATTTTGACAATCATACCCCTACAATTCTTCTTGAATGATTGCAGACTCCAGGTTGTGGTTGTTATAAAGACGCTTTGTTTTTGGATGGTTTAATTGATGATCTGTTCACAGGAAACCGCTCACTGCAAACACAGCTTTTCGTGTTTGTTTTAAAAAATTTTTACAATATTTATTTTCTTTCTCGCCCCTTTCTCTGTGCCCATGACAGCCATGTCTGATCTCTGCCGTCTCTGCTCCTCTCCTCTCCGTGGTTCACGCCGCAAGTGGCTGTTTGGTGGCTCTGGCTCCGACTCCCTCCCTGTGCTGTTTTCTCGTGTTTTGGGTTCTCCTGTTACACGTACCCAGTCAGGATCCTCCCACCGACACAGCAGAGGCAGAGACAAACCAGAAGATTGTGAATTTATCTGTGGCAAGTGCTGTCATTCGCTCAATGTGTATCATCGATATGATCAGGTAATGTCTCGAATGCGCCATCTTTATGAGCAACGTTCTGCCCGCCTTCTCAATGAGCGAGAAAAGCTCTCCTATACCCTTCGCAGAATCCATGCCAAGGCCTGGAACCTCCCTCTTCCTGATTATCAAGAGTACATTAATGAGTGCAAGACACCTACCTATGGTTCATATTGTGATCTTCGCTCTTTAGGACGGCATGGATCCCGACACGGTTCAATTTCTCCCGGGTACCAGAATTTATGCCCTGATTCTCCATTCCCTGATCAAGAGATCTCTTTCAATGGCTCATTTCGATCTCTTTCTGGGTCTCAGTCAAAGTCCTACCAGCAACTGCTGGACAAAGACCGCTTATCGTGGGAGCATGAGAGTTGGTGGGAAGATAGGGGAGATACTTGCTTTCGATGCATCAAGGGAGACAAGTGTCACTCCTGCTCATCATGGAGGGTTCCAGATGCAAATTACGAGACGGTATGCACTGTGCCTCGGCGTAAGAAGCATAGCAGGGGAGAAGAAGGACTATGTTGCAGCGCCGGTCTACTGCGTAGCAAATCACTGGGTAGCGTTGGTGGTGGTAGCAGCAGAGGTTCCCTTTTGTCATTCTCCACGTCCTCGCTAGAGGCTCTGTCTATAACAGGAGAGGAAGAAGCTGGAGTGTTTTCAGAGCCTCATTCACCCGTGACATCACCACCTCCCTCTTCTCTCTCTACTAAGCCTATGGTGGTGGAGGAGGCATTAAAGAGCCTGAAGGAGATAAAGTATAGCGCCGTGATCAGTCCACGCCACAGCATGATACCTGTGAAGAGAAGGGGACCATTAGGATCAGGAGCAGAAGATGGAAGAAGAAAGATGGAAGAAGAGAGTAAAATAGAAGTACCGTTGGTTGAAATAACAGAAGATTATGACACGTTCATGGGAATTGGATCAGAGGTAGGTTGGCTCAAATTCTTTAACTCCTGTATTTGCTAGTTCCTACTGACTTTAAAACTGGCCTATGATTAGATTTTTATTGACGATAAACTGATTTCAAATGTTGGAATTGTGGAAATTTAATGTTTTTCATCTTTGCCATTTTGGCTTGAAGCTTAGAATTCCTTTCTCAGTTGACCTTCTAATATAGCCGTTATCCATAGAGGTAGTCCTGTGTTTTGCAGTTCTTCCACTTTCTCCTTACTATTGATCATATTTTGTTATTGGTTTATTCTCACTGTCCCCCCTTCTTTTTTTCTTTCGTGTCCTTTCCTCTATTCTCTTTCCTTTTTTTTTTCTCTCTCTCTCTCTTCCATTCATTATTGATCTGTCTTTTCTCCGCCTTTTATATAGACCTCTTTGATTTTCTATTTTATTCAAAAACTCCACTCTCTGGTCTTTCCCATTTTTTTTCTACCTCTCCTCTCGGACACTCCTCACTTGTGCAATCTCTATCCTTCTTCCCCAAACTCACCACATTCTCCTGTCGGTCCATCATATCACACTGTAGATCTGCCAGACGCATGTCAGTCGGATTCAGGAAACACTGAAGTGGTTACAGACCCAGCTACAGGCAGCCCATCCCAATGAGGACACAAATGGGCGAAAGGTAACCGCTGGAATAACTCCTCTCTATCTACTGCCCTTTAACCCTTTGAGGTTTATGGAGAAGCTGTCAGCCTTTTCTTAAAGGAGTCTTTTGATAAACTATAGGCTGTATGGCCATCATGAGTGTGTGTTAGAGGGTTGGAAACAATCTGCTCAATAGAGGGCAATAGATTTGGCTATCCCCTAATATGTTCAGTTATTATTTAATGGAGATCACTATAGTTTCTGTCTCCTAGGATCAGCTCACGGACCAGCAGGATCTAGTTCGGGAACTGATGAAGAGCTTGCAATTCAAGGAAGGGGTCCTCGAGGTAAGTACAGGAGTGCTGTAAATAGACTGACATCGCTCAGCTGATCGAGTTCCCGGTCCAATATCCTGTATTTTGATTCATAGCCTGGTCAGTTCAAACTTTCATTCTTCCTAGGTCAATATAGTGAATATCAGTAAGTTGGATAATAATATTATAATCTCAGGATTTACTTGGAGTACTAACAAGTTACATTTATTATTTTACTATATGCAATATATATTTCTCACTGGAATTTCACCTTCAGGACTGCCTGACCTTGCTGTTGACACTGCCGGTGGCCTCGGACGCCCCTGGTGACACTGTGATGACCTTCATTGAGAAGTTAAATGAGAGAGAACAGGCATTAAAGGTAACAGCAGTAATGATGTAATTATGCAAAATGTCAAATTTTTAAAATTTGCATATTTCTTTAATGCTGTATATTTCAAAAACTGTTTGGGTCTGCACCCAAAGACTCTTTCCACCATAACCACTATAAGCTGTGAGGGTTATGATGCCCCCTTTAAGTTCATGCTGTATTTAAAAAAAAAAAAAAAAAAAAAAAATGAACTGAAACTTGACATATTTATTCTTATTTTGTGCTCGTTATGAAGAATTAGATTTTTTTTTACTTTTATTTACCGAAGAGGCTGTATCAAGCAGGAAGAGGCCATTGGTTTGTATCACTCTGGATGTTCATGGTAACTGACCAGTAGTTGCAGCCAAGCTGAATTTTGATTGGCTGAAAACTCCAGGTAGTGAATCAAACTCAGTTGGGTGTTCATGTAGGTCAGTTAACTCCCTAATTTTCCCCACCTCTAGGGTACACCAAAATTGGAGAGCTTATTGGAGAAATTAAATCATAACAGGCCAAATATCCAACTTGTGAAAATAAATATCTGAATTTGTCACTGAGCTATTCATTCAGATTAAACATTTATATAAAAGGGACACTATAGTCCCCAAAACAACTTTAGCATAATGAAGCCGTTTTAGTGTATAGATCATGCCCTGCAGTCTCACTCCTCAATTCTCTGCCATTTAGGAGTCAAATCACTTTTGTTTCTGTTTATACACGCCTAGCCACACCACCTCTGGCTGTGACACACACAGCTTGCATGAAAAAAGTTTCATATTCACTCAGATCTTACTGCATAGTTTGTTTACTTTAGACGTTTCTGTAAATTGAACTTTAATTACACACCGGAGGAGGGACATGTAGGCTCCAGCAGGCTATTAATTTAGATAAGGAGATATTAAATCGTAAATTAAACATTCTGTGCTAAAAAGGAAGTTTAAAAATTAGATTTTTCTTAACAGGAAATATGTAGAGAAGCCGTATAAGTCACAGCTAGGGGAGGGGTGGCTAGGCTGCATTAACAAAGTGATTGAACTCTTGAATGGCAGAGAACTGAGCAGTGAGACTGCAGGGGCATGGTATATACACTAAAACGACTTCAGTAAGTTAAGGTTGTTTTGGTGAGATTTGTAGTGTCCATTTCAGGCATTACTGATCTTTAACCCACACGTGTCTGTTATGAGCAGAAGGAATGGAGTGATTTGGCTGAGAACAAGCAGAATAGAGACGCTGAAACCAAGCGGCTGCGGCTGGAACTGGCCCAAAGGCAAGAGGACCTGGAACGACTGGCCCGGATCCTGCGTGAGAACCAAGATACAATCACAGTGAGTGGGTTCTATGGTCAGAGGTTAGATAGGAAGTAGGAATGTGAACCTTTAACCCCTTAAGGACACATGACATGTGTGACATGTCATGATTCCCTTTTATTCCAGAAGCTTGGTCCTTAAGGGGTTAAAGGTGCGTGGAAGAAATTACTATAAAAAAAAAAAAAAAAAAGAACAGGATTAGTAGTGGAATAGCAGAGATGGGCCAGATAAAAGGATGTAGTATTAGAGCTGGGTGTTACAGGAATAGCAGAATGTGCCAGGTAGTGTGGGTGCAGTGTTGGAGCTGGTATTAGTATGGGAATAGTAGTGTATGGCTGCAGGAATAGCAGAGTATAGCTGTGACAGGGTGGATGTAGTGTTGGAGCTTGTGTTAGTGCAGGATTTGTGGCTGGTAGGATGCACGTGCTTGGTGAAGGACACGGTTGTGTAAGAATAACTGAAGAAGTTTCAGTGAATTGTCTACTCACCCCCCCAGGCTCTGCGTGATCACCTGGGAGAGAAGGATTTCACTATCCAGCAATTGGAGGTGGCATTAGATTCTGCTGTGCGGTCAGCTGCCTCTCAGGATGCCCTACGCCTCTCTGCACTGCGGGAAAAAGACGCCCTGATCTCCTCAATGCAGGGAGTGCTGAGCAGCAGTAATCAGGATGTGGAGGTAAGTACCTGATGTAGTACTGACTGTAATGTTAAATGAACAGCAAGCTTTCAACTTTCTTTATCTTCTTCTCGATGTTCCTATATGGACTATCCTTCTCTATTCCCAGGCCCTGGCAGATTCTCTACTTTCCCAAGGCTTGGATGACCTCGGTGGGTCCATCCCTGGCACCTCATCCTCTAGCCCGCTCATCACCCAGCTGCAGGAGAAGGGACGGCTCTTGTCCCAGGCCCAGACTGACAATCAGAAGCAGAGTGTGCAACATCAGAAGGACATCCAGGATCTGCTCAATGCTCTGAATGAAAGCCAGACTCTCCTCCAGGTTAGTCTCACTCGCAGAATGAAACCTCCCTCCAGGTTAGTCTCACTCGCAGAATGAAACCTCCCTCCAGGTTAGTCTCACTCGCAGAATGAAACCTCCCTCCAGGTTAGTCTCACTCGCAGAATGAAACCTCTCTCCAGGTTAGTCTCACTCGCAGAATGAAACCTCCCTCCAGGTTAGTCTCACTCGCAGAATGAAACCTCCCTCCAGGTTAGTCTCACTCGCAGAATGAAACCTCCCTCCAGGTTAGTCTCACTCGCAGAATGAAACCTCCCTCCAGGTTAGTCCCACTCGCAGAATGAAACCTCCCTCCAGGTTAGTCCCACTCGCAGAATGAAACCTCCCTCCAGGTTAGTCTCCCTCGCAGAATGAAACCTCCCTCCAGGTTAGTCTCACTCGCAGAATGAAACCTCCCTCCAGGTTAGTCTCACTCGCAGAATGAAACCTCCCTCCAGGTTAGTCTCACTCGCAGAATGAAACCTCCCTCCAGGTTAGTCTCCCTCGCAGAATGAAACCTCCCTCCAGGTTAGTCTCACTCGCAGAATGAAACCTCCCTCCAGGTTAGTCTCCCTCGCAGAATGAAACCTCCCTCCAGGTTAGTCTCACTCGCAGAATGACAGTCAGACCTCCCTCCTGTTATGACCAGTATACAGTATAGCTGAGGTAAGGGTTACTGCAGAACCCAGAGAAAATCAAAATACAAACTTTTCCTGTTGTGCTGCTGACACCTCCCTCTGCAGCTCCAAGCAGAAAATAGAAAAAATGAGGGCAGCGCAAACAATTGGAATGTGCTACAAAAAGAGTTATTTACAAGGATGTAAAGTATAAAGATTTTGGGTTCTCCTCCAAGGACATGCATTGATAAAGGGGATAACCCGAAACGGTTCTACTTTACGTCCTTGTGAATAAATCTTTTTGTAGCACATTTGCAATTGTTTGCGCTGCCCTCATTTTTTTTTTCTTCTATGTTTGTAAACCTTCCTCCAGGTTAGTCTCACTCAAATGAAAGTCTCTTTATTTTTTTTTTATTTTTTTTTGTGTGCCTGTTGTAACTATATTTGATGTGTTCTGCATTTTGCAATGTTTTTGGTGCTTTATGAACAGATACCAATAATTTCACTTGTCTGAGTTACTGGCTGGGAATGTGTAATACCTTATGTAGACGAAAATGTGCAGATTTCCCATAATGCACTTGACTAGAGCATCATATATTTAGTGGTTAGTTTTTCCCATATTCTAGCCATTTCTTTGTGAATTCTATGAAAATTTGGAAGGGTTCACTGTGTGATTTAACACATTCCAGGAGCAGCTGCGATACTGTAAGGGGCGGCTTCAGGCCGGGGAGCTGGAACAGAAGAGGCTGCGTGAGGCTCTGCGCGGGCAGGAGGCAGAGCTCAGGACGGAGAAGCAGAGACACACTGCCGACATGTATCAAGCTCACACAGAGCTGGTCCAGCTCCACGGAGCCACCCAAGAGCGAGATAAGATTACTCAGGTGATACAAGCACTCGCAGAGCATTTCTCCCTGTTAACCCCTACCATGCCAGGCTTGTCAGTGCACTCTAATCTTCCATTAATCATTAATAGACTAGAGCTCTCACAGATCATCTGTCCAGGAGAAACAGCTCTGTTAATCCTCCTACCAAGAAATGTCACAATGTTCACACATTCCATGACAGAATCTGTGACAGGCTCATTCATTTTTCTTTTTCCCCACAATTAGAAGCTGCTTCAGGAAGCTCAGAGCAGAGACCAGATCATCAAAAGACTGCAGGAGAGACTGAGCCAAGGCGGGGGCATGAGGGACACTCTGTGAGGGTAAGGCTGGTTTAAAATTTGCATTGCATTTTTGCGTAATATGGGAAGTGGATATTGCCTGGGCGCATGTGATAATGCAGTCTGACATTGCCTGGGGGAGGGGGGGTGGTATGAAAGGAAGCTGGCATTGCCTGGTTGGATGTGGAATGAAAGGAGGCTGGCATTGCCAGGTTGGATGTGGAATGAAAGGAGGCTGGCATTTTCCATAGAATGAGAAGACGATGCTGCCTGTATATTAGGTGTGATTCAAGGCTGGCTTTGCTGGTTATGTAGTATAATTGGAGGAGGGGTTGTCTGTATCTGGTATAATTAGAATGGAATGTTTGAATAAGTATGACAAAGAATAAAATAAGGGTTGGTATTATCTGGGTATGTAAAGGGGACTTTGAATAACCACTTCCCTTCATTCGTTCTCTCTTACAGATTTCTATTGTCACGCAATCTTCTGATTCGTATTCCACTGGGATCAAATAAAATACGTTTACATATTCATGAAGCTTTGATAATATGCCCCCCCCCACGATACCAATCGGGGGTCAATGTGCGTTTTAGTGTCAAATGGCCATCTATGCAAGGATCTTATTACCATAACATACAATATTTTATACACAATCTGGAACACGGATTCATGTTTAGGGCATGTGTCATTGTAGAGTGGGCTGTAAGTGGATACAACGTCTAAGGAATCCGTATAGAATTTTATTTTTATATGAGAATATTCATACCCTTGTATACGATAAAAATCACATTCATTTTCTTGCCAGTCTCTAAGGTTCCCTACATATTCCATCCTGCAAAGTGCATTTTCTATATTCCCCACTTAAAGATCTGTTACCCAATGGCTGGTTCTAATTTAACTTTAGCATCAGCACAGCCAGCTTAGGGTTAAATCTTACATGCAAATGTTTGTATTTTAAGACGTTTTAATAGCTTTTACCGTGTGTGTTCTGTTATTTTGCTGAATGCAGGTATGCGACAGGGTTATGGGACCAATAAAATGACTTGTGTATATTTAATTAATGCTCTAAAAACCATGCTTCCCAATGCAGTGCAAGACACAGACAGTCAGGGGTTTTCCAAATCCATTCTAACAGCGATAGCAATAACCTGTTTGAATGCCTTGAGTTGGGAACCACTGCTCTATTGCCTTCCTGCTGGGAACCAAAAAGGTTTGAGATCTGTAGTATAAATTAGACATCAAACTTCAGAGAGATGTGTCTGTGCAGGCTCTCCCATTGAAATAAACAGCATGTCTTAGTAGTGTTTGTATATATTGGGTGTTCCAAACACTACTAACACACATTCTTATAGCATTTCCATGAAGATGTAGATTGTTGATTTCTAGTCTTGGCACTGCAGCTATGATTGAAGTACCCCTACCTGGCCACTAGCTGGTGGAGCATTTTGGGAGGTTTAGTTACTTAAAGAGGAAATTAGTTTACATCCATAAAATACAGTTCTTGAGCAAAATGTTAAAAGTGGAGCTTCTGGCAGGAACATGTAAACTCCTCCATGTTACGAGCCAGAACTGATCTTTAGCCCATCCAGTGTTACAGCAATACAGCCCACGTACACTGCGGTGATTATAATCCTCGTTACTAATAATTATCTGTCACACTCTGACCACTTCATTGAAGTATTTAGATAATGGGTCAGTGTTTTATTAGAATTACGAGAAAATAGCACTATTTCATATCATTTTATTTCTGCTGTTAAATAATCAATCCTGCCTTAATTAATTACTACCTTATAGGGTGTAGGGGCTTATGCTGGGAATCTGATATTTTACATACTGCCCATGGAAATGGGCACAGCCAGGGTACTGCCAAATACCCTCTGCTTGTTACTGCCACACGTGCTCAGTAGTACTGCCACTGTTTATTAGGGTGTAACCTCATGAATGAATGTTTCTGGGATTTAATTAACTATGCCAATAAATATAGGAATTTAATTACTTACATTGTGTCATCTGTGGATATAGTGTAACCGTCAGAGTAATTTGCTGAACTTGGAATATATGTGGGATTAGTTTAAAATGTACAATTACCTTCCATTCTTCAAACATTTCCAGCTGAGTGAGTGACACCACGAATAATCACCAGTTAATAATTTCTACATACAAACCAGACCGGGAACATGTACAGACAGTGACTGCGTATGGGTATATACGAGGTGGAAAGATTTACAATAGGACCAAAGGAAGCCATTTATGCAACTAATATGTAAATACATTCCCTACGGTTTAAACCATTACTACACCGCTATGTCATACTCACACACACCCTTTGTGAGTTTTATTGCTGTGGAGCTCTGATACACTGAAATGCTGCACATTACTGTGAGTTTTATTGCTGTGGAGCTCTGATACACTGAAATGCTGCACATTACTGTGAAGCTTATGGCTGTAGAGCTCTGTTACGTTGTCAATGCACATTAATGGGACCTTTTACGTCTGTGGAGCTCTGATCTATGCTCCCAATTACTGTAAAGCTCTGATACAGTGTTTTCTGATGATACGCATCACTATGTACACACTGGGAGCTTTTTATTGCAGTGCTAGAGGAAAAAAAAAAAAAAAGGTTAAATGAACGTCTCTGCTCTCTACAAACGGAGTTGGCTTAACAGTAATTAAGTAAACAATACACACATTTCTAAATGATAAAAGCTGGCTACTGCCAGGATAGATTCCTTGCTGCTACCTACATTCGGATTCCTTTTCCCTCATCTCACCTTATAGCGGACAGCATCATGTGACTTCCACATTGTAATTAATATCTCTGTATGTACACAGTATGGTCAAATCAGAAAGCAGAACAATATCATTAATGAACCAGTTTATTAAACTATTATATAAATATAATTCATTTTTGTTGTATTGCTCTTCACACACATATATAAAATATATATATATACACAAACTCATTGAGTGTACAGGAAGATAAGATTTAATATCTATTTAAAATATTAATCAGTGGATAAAAATCAAAGGACTAAATTCATTTACACAGTTTATATACACTATAAAGTGCATTTTAATTAACTCTAGGGCTCATGCCTTATCTTTGGCTACGCAGAAACTTTATAAATAAGATTCCTTCAGTCTATGGCTAATTCTAGGTTAAAGATGCCTAAAAACAGAATTCACATTCTTACAGGATGCAAAGATCCAGATGAAGGCACATTTAACCAAGGTGAATGGCGGAAATGGTAACGATGTGTGTGTGGGTGTGGAAGATGGTGGAATGTTTGGGAAGAGGTCATGATTTCAGTTGCTCCCTCCACTGACCTATCTCAACCTACACCAGTCAATATTGAACCTGCCCCACACTAAAGTCGATGCGCCACCTATCCTGTCAAGAACCCACCTATTTTCTGTCCAATAAAATGGTTTAAAAATTAAAATAAGGGCTTTTGACCCCTGACCCACCAATTCTGTCATTAAACGAGATCTGACATGTACGACAGAGGGGAACTGGACATCAGATTCCAACATACTGAAACCTATGTGACAATTACTTGACAACTGTAAGTAAAATAGTGTGGTATTTATAAACCCAATGTTTGTACAAAAACATGCATAGTAAACAGAAGAAATTGAGAGGAAAACCAAACGAGAGACATGTGAAATACAAAAATGGTTTCCTTTAAACTGGAAGTGAGGTCACAGAAGAGAACACTGAGCGTTGTTCTAAGCCCTTCTCACTCTAAAGCCCTATTTTCACAGATATGTATTAAGTAACTGAAATGTAAACAATTCTACCACCATCTCTAAATAGGGCGGCTATGGCCAGCAGCAGGAAGTGACAAAAAAAAAGTATTTAAAAAAAAAAAAAAAATCAACAACCTATTGAATGCGATATGATATCTGATTATGAAGGAAGTTTGGTCACTTCACGCTCGGAGTGATGATAATGAACAGAAAGTAACATTCCAGCCAAGCCATGCATTATTTCTTTCCTTTCTTCTTCTCTTCTGACTCTGGTGGTCGATTCTTCTTATTCAGAATAGACATGAGTGATTTGGGCATGTAATATGGCTTTTCTTGAGACCCATCATTACGTTCTAAATCTTCCACTGAAAATGGAAATAAGTCCACGTCATTAAGGCCACATCATGGTGGTCATGGCATTCTCTGTATTTGGGGGAAAATCATGTGTACACTACTTCAGGAGAATGTAGCAACACGTGCCTCTCTCAACATTGTTCTTTTTGGTTATTATATATTTACTCAGAACTGTAGAACTCTTAGTTGGAAAATATAATCTTACTAGAAGACCTTATCATGGGAGAAGCTCATTCTAAGGTAATTCAACTCACTACTATACACAATGTCTACTACTGATCTAAGCCATGAGGCCATCTCTGTAAAATCCCAGTGCACGTCAGCTACGAGCTCCAACAAGATGGTCATCAGGAGTACATCGGGTCATAATTCAATACTCACAGAAACACAGGAACAAAGTGTCCACGCACATGGTATACACGCTAAAGAAGCCTTGAGCAATCATGTATGACCCAACGACTATCGTCTGGAGGGGCAAAAAAAAATATGGGGTAAAACAAAGGAAGATATGAATAAGCAACGGGCATTTTAATAGATTATTTATAATGTATCTCATTAATCTGATTGCAGAAATGATGTCAGAGTAGACCTTGAAGTGCTGTGTGCGCTCTACTGGATAGCAATCCAAAACACTTTAATAAGTAACATGCCTTATTTACAAATGTATTATAAACACTTTTTAAATAGGAACGTGTAAAAAGAAAAATTCTAAAAAGGTGTGTAGTAAAAAAAAAAAAAAAATTAATAATAATATATAGTGTATTCAAGTAGAGATTGTAGCCGTATTAGTCCAGTGATGTTGATGTAAAAAACAGATAAAATTCATATCTTGTAATACCTTCTTTTTTTATTGACTAACAATTTTTTCAAGCTTTCGGGAGAACCTCCCTTTCTCAAATCTATAGCATTTCTGAGCAAGAGGACACATAGAATTCAAAGTTGAGTTGTGATACAGGGGTTAAAGTGACATGAGTGCAGATAAGACACAGGTTTGATAGAACATAGACACCATTCTTGCAGTGGGTCGTAACTGTTTTGTGTGAAGGTCACAGAGCGAGGGGGGAGAGAAAGAAAAAAAAACAAACAAGCAAACAGTCAGAAGATGGTGCTAGAAGGGAGGAGTATTAATATTAAGAATGCATGTATATGTGAATAGGTGTATGTGTACATATATACGGGTCTATGTATGTGTAGGCACATTGGAATATGTGTAGATACATGTATTGGTGCTTGTGTGTGGATGTATGTGTAGGTGTGCATGTACATATATTTGGACATTTGGTTGTATTTATAGGTACTTGTGTACAGTGTGTATGTTTTTGTGTATACTTGTACATATACACTACTTGTGTATATGTACATGTGTGTGAGTGTGTCTGTGTATGCAGGATATAGGTCTTCATGCATATCCTGTAAATCTTGGATGGAAATTCATGCATTTTTTATATTAATACTCCCCCCTCTCCTAGCACCATTTCACTGTTTGCTTGTTTTTTTTCCCTCTCTCCCCCCCCCCCACTCTGATCTTCATACAAGATATTTACTACCCTCTGCAAGAATGGTGTCTATATTCTATCAAACCTGTGTCTTATCTACATTCATGTCGCTTTAACCCCTGTATCACAACTCAACTTTGATTTCTATGTGTCGTCTTGCTCAGAAATGCTTCAGACTTGAGAAAGGGAGGTTCTCCCAAAAGCTTGTCATTAAAAAATTATGTTAGTCCAATAAAAAGGTACGAAGATACGAAGTTTATCTATTTTTTACATACACACACACACACACACACATTATATATATATATATATATATATATATATATATATATATATATATATAACACAACGATTGCAATCCATATTGTATTGAAATTAATTTCCTAGAAAGTCTGACCAACCCAGAGGTTGCCTGGGCATCATGGAAACAACACTTACATACAGATTACAAAGGTTAGTCCTTACGGGTGTATAAATATTTATAAAAGAATAAAGTGATCTGTTAGGAATATTTGCCATTTCAGGCATTGCTTCCCTGTAGCAGAGATATTGCTCACACGAAGCTCCTCGTACACCTACACAACTTACCAAAATGGGGATCCAATAATAGTTCAGATTTGGGGGCTTGAAAGCATCATTGTCAATCTTTAACTTATTAGAAAAGAAAAAGAATGCAAGGACTCCTGAAACGGAAGAGACACGGTGAGTTTGTAGTGAACAGATATGAAAAGGGGTAAAGGAGAGAGTTAGAGAGTTAGTGGAGGGAGAATAAAGTAGAGCTGCCAAAATGAATGGATTAGAGTGGAGGAGGTACAGGTAGAAAGAGAGAAATGAGTTTGGAATATAGAGATACAGTGGAGCGGGGGCAGGAATTCAGAGAGGAAGGGGGGATAAAATGGAAGAATACAGGAGAAACAAGGCAGTACAAAGAAAAAAAAAACTGATCGATACAGAGTGAAAAATATAATGAGACAGGAAAAGGTAAAACGAGAGAGTTTAGGGAGAGCAAACAAGATAAACAGAGAGAAGAATCTACGTGAGCTGTAGAAAGGTCGGACAGGCTGGGATACGGAGCCGGATATAACCTAGATTTCTTGGTTCTCACCTACTCCTCCAACTACAATCAATTTCCCAAATAGTATGAGCAAGTCGGTCACTTTATCCAGAACAACCACCCTATAGACAGACAAATGGACAAGTTTAGGACCACCTCACGCACAAAACAGCATCCCAACCTACATGCAAAATGTAATTCCTCATTAACCCAACGATACACTCAAATAGGTGATATTAGCTATGGACAATTACGGTCCTCTTCTGAAAACACAGCACATGACCCATGTTAATACACGCACGCATGCACACAGTAAATTCATGGATGTAATATGTTCACCTCACAATGTTCCTCATCAAGAGATTGAAGGCGTTTTTAGCGGAAACACAGAAATTCTTCCCGTACACCGCAATCTGAGAATGGAGAAGGGAGAATTACATCTGTAGAATAAGGAGAAGCTCTAGTTTATGGGGAATGATGAGAGGGTACGCCAAAATGTTAAGGAAAAGGGGAACACACCTTAATCCAGGTAGTACTACCATGCTATATATACACACTACACCCAGGGTTTCCTGTATCTACTTTCCGATTAAATAACAAATTAGCAAGATGTTTGCACATTATAGGGGTTATAGTCCAGCATAGTAAATTGGGTTTCTTGAAATTGAAGTAGAAACAATAATTACTTCAGTACTGCATGAATCCTCGTCTATATAAAATACTATTCACCTTAATCAAGAATTATGTATTAAGTCAGGATTGAAGCTAGTATTCATATCACACAATGCACAGAGGAGATATCTGATATAATTCCCACCCAAGTTACAGTTTATAAACAGGAGCTACCCAGTTACAGTGTATACAGGATAGTGTTGGACACATTGTGTGTTATCCAGTTACAGTGTATACAGGAGAGTGTTGGACATATTGTGTGTTATCCAGTTACAGTGTATACAGGAGAGTGTTGGACATATTGTGTGCTATCCAGTTACAGTGTATACAGAAGAGTGTTGGACACATTGTGTGTTATCCAGTTACAGTGTATACAGGAGAGTGTTGGACACATTGTGTGTTATCCAGTTACAGTGTATACAGGAGAGTGTTGGACACATTGTGTGTTATCCAGTTACAGTGTATACAGGAGAGTGTTGGACACATTGTGTGTTATCCAGTTACAGTGTATACAGGAGAGTGTTGGACACTTTGTGTGTTATCCAGTTACAGTGTATACAGGAGAGTGTTGGACACATTGTGTGTTATCCAGTTACAGTGTATACAGGAGAGTGTTGGACACATCGTGTGTTATCCAGTTACAGTGTATACAGGAGAGTGTTGGACACATTGTGTGTTCTCCAGTTACAGTGTATACAGGATAGTGTTGGACATATTGTGTGCTATCCAGTTACAGTGTATACAGGATAGTGTTGGACATATTGTGTGCTATCCAGTTACAGTGTATACAGGAGAGTGTTGGACACATTGTGTGTTCTCCAGTTACAGTGTATACGGGAGAGTGTTGGACATATTGTGTGTTCTCCAGTTACAGTGTATACGGGAGAGTGTTGGACATATTGTGTGTTCTCCAGTTACAGTGTATACGGGAGAGTGTTGGACACATAGTGTGTTCTCCAGTTACAGTGTATACAGGAGAGTGTTGGACACATTGTGTGTTATCCAGTTACAGTGTATACAGGATAGTGTTGGACACATTGTGTGTTATCCAGTTACAGTGTATACAGGAGAGTGTTGGACACATTGTGTGTTATCCAGTTACAGTGTATACAGGAGAGTGTTGGACACTTTGTGTGTTATCCAGTTACAGTGTATACAGGAGAGTGTTGGACACATTGTGTGTTATCCAGTTACAGTGTATACGGGAGAGTGTTGGACACATTGTGTGTTATCCAGTTACAGTGTATACAGGATAGTGTTGGACACATTGTGTGTTATCCAGTTAGTGTATACAGGATAGTGTTGGACATATTGTGTGTTATCCAGTTACAGTGTATACAGGAGAGTGTTGGACACCTTGTGTGTTATCCAGTTACAGTGTATACAGGATAGTGTTGGACACATTGTGTGTTATCCAGTTACAGTGTATACAGGAGAGTGTTGGACACATAGTGTGTTATCCAGTTACAGTGTATACAGGAGAGTGTTGGACACCTTGTGTGTTCTCCAGTTACAGTGTATACAGGAGAGTGTTGGACACATTGTGTGTTCTCCAGTTACAGTGTATACGGGAGAGTGTTGGACACATTGTGTGTTATCCAGTTACAGTGTATACAGGAGAGTGTTGGACACATTGTGTGTTATTCAGTTACAGTGTATACAGGATAGTGTTGGACACATTGTGTGTTATCCAGTTACAGTGTATACAGGAGAGTGTTGGACACATTGTGTGTTATCCAGTTACAGGTATACAGGATAGTGTTGGACACATGTGTGTTATCCAGTGTATACAGTTGTTGTGTGTTATCCAGTTACAGTGTATACAGGAGAGTGTTGGACACATCGTGTGTTATCCAGTTACAGTGTATACAGAGAGTGTTGGACACATTGTGTGTTCTCCAGTGTATACAGGATAGTGTTGGACATATTGTGCTATCCAGTTACAGTGTATACAGGATAGTGTTGGACATATTGTGTGCTATCCAGTTACAGTGTATGGAGAGTGTTGGATCTCCAGTTACAGTGTATACGGAGAGTGTTGGACATATTGTGTGTTCTCCAGTTACAGTGTATACCGGAGAGTGTTGACATATTGTGTGTTCTCCAGCACGGTGTATACGGAGAGTGTTGGACATAGTGTGTTCTCCAGTTACAGTGTATACAGGATAGTGTTGGACACATTGTGTGTCTCCAGTTAGTGTATACAGGATAGTGTTGGACATATTGTGTGTTATCCAGTTACAGTGTATACAGGAGAGTGTTGGACACATTGTGTGTTATCCAGTTACAGTGTATACGGGAGAGTGTTGGACATATTGTGTGTTATCCAGTTAGTGTATACAGGAGAGTGTTGGACACATTGTGTGTTATCCAGTTACAGTGTATACAGGAGAGTGTTGGACATATTGTGTGCTATCCAGTTACAGTGTATACAGGAGAGTGTTGGACACATAGTGTGCTATCCAGTTACAGTGTATACAGGAGAGTGTTGGACACATAGTGTGTTATCCAGTTACAGTGTATACAGGAGAGTGTTGGACACCTTGTGTGTTCTCCAGTTACAGTGTATACAGGAGAGTGTTGGACACATTGTGTGTTATCCAGTTACAGTGTATACAGGATAGTGTTGGACACATTGTGTGTTATCCAGTTAGTGTATACAGGATAGTGTTGGACACATTGTGTGTTATCCAGTTAGTGTATACAGGATAGTGTTGGACATATTGTGTGTTATCCAGTTACAGTGTATACAGGAGAGTGTTGGACATATTGTGTGTTATCCAGTTACAGTGTATACAGGAGAGTGTTGGACACATTGTGTGTTATCCAGTTACAGTGTATACAGGAGAGTGTTGGACATATTGTGTGTTATCCAGTTACAGTGTATACAGGATAGTGTTGGACACATTGTGTGTTATCCAGTTAGTGTATACTGTAGAGTGTTGGACACCTTGTGTGTTATCCAGTTACAGTGTATACTGTAGAGTGTTGGACACATTGTGTGTTATCCAGTTAGTGTATACAGGAGAGTGTTGGACACATTGTGTGTTATCCAGTTACAATGTATACAGGAGAGTGTTGGACACATGGTGTGTTATCCAGTTACAGTGTATACAGGAGAGTGTTGGACACCTTGTGTGTTCTCCAGTTACAGTGTATACAGGATAGTGTTGGACACATTGTGTGTTATCCAGTTACAGTGTATACAGGATAGTGTTGGACACATTGTGTGTTATCCAGTTAGTGTATAGAGGAGAGTGTTGGACACATAGTGTGTTATCCAGTTACAGTGTATACAGGAGAGTGTTGGACACATAGTGTGTTATCCAGTTACAGTGTATACAGGAGAGTGTTGGACATATTGTGTGCTATCCAGTTAAAGTGTATACAGGATAGTGTTGGACACATTGTGTGTTATCCCGTTACAGTGTATAGAGGAGAGTGTTGGACACATTGTGTGTTATCCAGTTACAGTGTATACAGGAGAGTGTTGGACACATTGTGTGTTATCCAGTTACAGTGTATACAGGAGAGTGTTGGACACATAGTGTGTTATCCAGTTACAGTGTATACAGGAGAGTGTTGGACACATTGTGTGTTATCCAGTTGCAGTGTATACAGGAGAGTGTTGGACACATTGTGTGTTATCCAGTTACAGTGTATACAGGAGAGTGTTGGACACATCGTGTGTTATCCAGTTACAGTGTATACAGGAGAGTGTTGGACACATTGTGTGTTCTCCAGTTACAGTGTATACAGGATAGTGTTGGACATATTGTGTGCTATCCAGTTACAGTGTATACAGGAGAGTGTTGGACACATTGTGTGTTCTCCAGTTACAGTGTATACGGGAGAGTGTTGGACACATAGTGTGTTATCCAGTTACAGTGTATACAGGATAGTGTTGGACACATTGTGTGTTATCCAGTTACAGTGTATACAGGAGAGTGTTGGACACATCGTGTGTTATCCAGTTACAGTGTATACAGGAGAGTGTTGGACACATTGTGTGTTCTCCAGTTACAGTGTATACAGGATAGTGTTGGACATATTGTGTGTTATCCAGTTACAGTGTATACAGGAGAGTGTTGGACACATTGTGTGTTCTCCAGTTACAGTGTATACAGAGGAAGAACCCCAGTATGCTGCATACATTTGAGTATAGTGTACACAGATGAATTTTCACCAATATACATTGACTAGTCCCCTTAATAAAGTGTACACAGTATATTTCCAGAAGAAGAGTTACCATTATATATGCATTGCGGTTTAGGAATTTGATGAATTTCTCCAGACACCAGAAGCAGCATTTCAGGCAGCAGAGGAGGAAGCGTGTACAGGGATTATGGACGTCTGGGAAGAATAGAAAGCTCTATGAAATGAATCCATCAGTATAGGTTCAATTTCAACTAAGAATGGCAATGCATAACAGCCACTAGAATAGCTCAGATGTTGGCATTACAGATTTAATGCCCAGCAGCTTGATATCCTCCAAGATCTAACAGAGTGAGTACCTTTTGGTTTAGCACTAATAATATCTGCATATAATAAGTACTATTCAAATTCAGATGAGGTTATTGGTTGCTTCCGATCTAAATAACAAAAAAAAGCCAAAGATGATTTGGACTCCATGGATGGATGTCCTCCCAGTAAATCTTCTGGTGGTGTAGTCCCAGGGGAGGTTCTAGCTCTCGCTCGCCTTCCATGGGAATACTTTTCTGTCCCCCCTTATTATAGCTTCTTACCGATCTATTGCTTGGTTCTGGTCTTGGGGGAACCCGCCCTGTTCTAGTGGAGAGTAACAATAACTGGTAATTCTAGGAGACTTGTTTATGCTGTCTGGCTTTTGTCTTGCTAAGCAACAAAACTGAATTAAAATCATTGGCTACCACTCAACAATGGTCATTGTCAAACAGGGTGATGGCCTTCTCCCCTTGTTTGATAACATTACCTTTCAGTTTGTGGTCAAGATATTCCAGCATGATCCTGATGACTTGGATGATGGTGAGAATCAGGGCTCCAAATGCTAGTGATCCAGTGTGATATCTAAGAGAAAAGGGTATTGGATGAGAAAAAAAAAGGGGGGGTGAGAGACGTATAAAGAACAGTAATTAATACTTTAGAGTAGTCTCTGGATAAATACACACAATACTAAAAAAATTGAATCAATTCTATGTGACCCCTGGTTCGTTAGGGTCATGTAAAAGAGCAGAACTGCAAACCTGCGATAACTACCTTAAACAGGAAGCTTTATCATTGAAAAATGACATTAGGTGCTGCTCTCATTTTGCACACAATATTCCATTGGGGGGAGATTATCAAACAGACCTACAAAAAGAAATTACTCTGAAAAATGTTTCCTCTATTTATTAGAACAGCAGGTGAGCATCTCACGTTCTGACACCACTAAAACACTTGGCCAAAGTATTCCCATCCCTAAACTCATTTCCTTTCACTTCCTCAACACAAGCTCCCCCTAAGAACCCAGAATCAGGATTTACTTTGTTTATGTACATAGGAAGACACTGATAAAGCGATAGTGCATTGACAGAGCATTGGACATTATAATCAAAACTTTCTAGACTCACCTGAGTGTTCTCATGAAGGCAGCAGATACTGGGAAGAAAGGGATGTCTCTGGGTTTGTTGAAGGCCCAGTAGTAGGACGCGAATGCTCCAGCCATCACGCACTGTCCAAGAGCAATGACAAAATTCATGCACCACAGAAACCCGATGACATTGTATATCTGCAGGTTGAAGAGGTTGGTCTGGTAGAGTCCCTCAGTATTGTACTTATAGAAAATACACTGAGCTTCACTGCAGCCTGTACTGGAAGCATTGAATGTCTGTTGGAGATAAAAACACAGCTACATTTAATGAACAATGCCCCATTTATATCAACACAGTCACAGATTCTCATGTCACCAGTAACACAAACACATATGTGGTTCCAAACAGCCACACACTGACTCTCACACAAGTGGCACTCACCATAGGATCACAGGTCTTATTGCCAGTGATATTTGCACATCCTGGGAACGTTGTGTTTGCAACAGACACTATGTATAATGGAGCTCCAGACGTAGCAAGGTATCTGATGGGGGTCAGTTAAAGGGCCAATGAACCATTTTACATTAACACAACCCCTAATGTTGACATCTTGTAATATGCAGTCACTTATGTGGGGCTGACTGCCTGTTACTGTATGTGTGACTGTCTGCCTGTGAGTGTTTGCCTGTGATTGTGTGTGTGACTGTATGTGTGACTGTCAGTTTGTGACTGTGTGACAGTTTGCCTGTAACTGTGTGTGTGAATGGATTTGGCTGTGTGTTTGACCTGTCTGTGACTGTGTGTGTGACTGTCTGCCTATGACTGTGTGTAGCCTGCCTGTGCCAGTGTGTGACTGTGTGTGACACGGTCTACCTGTGACTGTGTGTGACACGGTCTACCTGTGACTGTGTGTGACACGGTCTACCTGTGACTGTGTGTGACACGGTCTACCTGTGACTGTGTGTGACACGGTCTACCTGTGACTGTGTGTGACACGGTCTACCTGTGACTGTAACTGTTACAGTCTGCCTGTAATTGTGCATGCTACTGCCTGTAAGTATTTGTGTGTGACTATCTGCCTGTAACTGTGTGTTTGACTGTGTGCGAATGACTATGTGCCTGTGGCTGTATTTGACAGTATATGTGTATAACTGTGTGCATCTGACTGTCTTTGCCCTGCAGTGAGCCGGCAGCTGGAATATGACGTCATCCCGGCATCAGCATCATTACAGTGCACGCAAGGGACCTGTGCAGGAAGAGCACAGAGATCCCAACAGCAACCACTTACCACCAGCCCTCCACTCTAGCCTTCCTAGAGCAAGGTAGGAAGGTGGGGTGGACCTCTTATTAAATGTGTGTATGTAGCAAGCAAATACGGGAGTTATCTGATAAACAAAGATCGAAGTTTAAAGGTGTCAGCCAGCCCACAACAAGAAATCTGAGTGGCTTATGTGAATTCTATGCAAATTTGTTGCCGGATGCCAGCTGGCATCAGACAGCCAATGGGAGCATATTACCCCATCCCCTAGTGAAATGTTTTAGTGCCCCACCAATTTTGACTGTGGAATTTTATGTGCCCCCACCCCCACATGTATTGTTCCTAGTGTCGCCACTGTGTCTGCATGTGTGTCAGTGTATCTGTGTGTCTATGTATCTGCATGAGTATATAAGTATCTGCATGTGTGTCAGTGTGTATATGTGCATACATCTCAGAATCTCACCAACACTACACACAAATACACCCCTTCATTTTAACGTCAACACTACATACAAACCCCACCATTCAATATAACCACACCACTGCATTCAAAAACCACACTACACACAAATGAATGCTTGCATTCAAATGCCAACACTACATACAAACACATCTCTACATTTACTCAAACATACTCCATACACAAACATGCTAACAATCAAAAACACAAACACTGCTCAGTGCTAAGTGCATTCAAAAAAATTGTGATTGTTTTTTACATTTTAAAGTGGGGGAGGGTGACAAAAATAGGACCCGCCGGGTGCCAAATGCTCTAGGTACGCCTCTGTGTGAAGGTATCCCTAGGCTGTAAACAAGTGTTTACTGCAAAAAGCCAGAAGGGAATGATTATACTCACCATAACAAAAACAATAAGTTGTAGTTGTTCTGTTGACTATAAGCCAAGCTTGACTCCACAAACCCCTTTTCTCTAGACAGTGAATTGCAAATCTTTGTTCCCTATGGACTAATTATACATCCCGTCCCCCCCAATTGTGATCATTTGATTGCATCTCTCTATTAAGTCTCATCACTTGCAAAATATGCCCAGATTTCTTCCATGAGGTCTGACTTGGTAAAAAGCCCCAGAGGGTCTGGCTCCATCAATGTTAAAGGATACAAGGCAGTTATCCCCCAGTATGTTATACAGACCAACAGGAGGACGAAAGTCACGACAGGGTAAAAAAGAGAGGACATTATGTGACCAATAGCCCTGTGGAGAGAGAGAACATGCTTATTATAGATTTTCTCCTCCTTCTACACAAGAGGTAAGTTCCACACGCCCTCACTCACTTGCTGGCTTCTTTAATCAGAGCGATTGCAATGAGAATCCGCTTCCTGAGGAACAGTAGAAGTAAGAGAAGGATCACCTCCACCACAATTAGTATGATCACTGCAGACGAGAGAGAGAGACAAGTCACTAGGGCAATGAAAGGTTGCAAGTTGTAAGAAAATCAGTGCAGTTGTATCATTTTTTTTGTCAGTCTATTTTTATTGAGACATAAGTATAACAGATGAAGACAGTATAAAAGTGACAATCTCAAGATATATATCAAGATAGGACACATAATATATATGTAATTATGTAATCTCAAACTTCAGTTATTATAAAATGCACTTTATTTTTATTTTTTTTATAGATATTGGAAAAAAATATATATATATATATGCAAAATACATCCCCAGTGCCTCTGAAGGGATTATAAAGAGACTAATGGTTAATAGCGGTTGTTAGTCTAACACGGAGCATTAGTGTGGTGATGGCCAGCCATGTAGGAAGTATTAGAGAGTAGGGTAATATTCACTGATAGCCGGCTATGTAGGAAGTATTAGAGAGTAGGGTAATATTCACTGATAGCCGGCTATGTAGGAAGTATTAGAGAGTAGGGTAATATTCACTGATAGCCGGCCATGTAGGAAGTAATAGAGAGTAGGGTCATACTCACTGATAGCCGGCCATGTAGGAAGTATTAGAGAGTAGGGTAATACTCACTGATAGCCGGCTATGTAGGAAGTAATAGAGAGTAGGGTCATACTCACTGATAGTCGGCTATGTAGGAAGTAATAGAGAGTAGGGTCATACTCACTGATAGTCGGCTATGTAGGAAGTATTAGACAGAAGGGTAATACTCACTGATAGCCGGCTATGTAGGAAGTAATAGAGAGTAGGGTCATACTCACTGATAGCCGGCTATGTAGGAAGTATTAGAGAGTAAGTTAAAATTCACTGATAGCCAGCTATGTAGAAAGTATTAGAGAGTAAGGTAAAATTCACTGATAGCCGGCTATGTAGGAAGTATTAGAGAGTAAGTTAATACTCACTGATCGCCAGCCTTGTAGGAAGTATTAGAGAGTAGGGTAATACTCCCTGATAGCCGGCCATGTAGGAAGTATTAGAGAGTAGGGTAATACTCACTGATAGCCGGCCATGTAGGAAGTATTAGAGAGTAGGGTAATACTCCCTGATAGCCGGCTATGTAGGAAGTATTAGAGAGTAAGTTAATATTCACTGATAGCCGGCTATGTAGGAAGTATTAGAGAGTAAGTTAATATTCACCGATAGCCGGCTATGTAGGAAGTATTAGAGAGTAAGTTAATACTCACTGATCGCCAGCCATGTAGGAAGTATTAGAGAGTAGGGTAATACTCCCTGATAGCCGGCCATGTAGGAAGTATTAGAGAGTAGGGTAATACTCCCTGATAGCCGGCCATGTAGGAAGTATTAGAGAGTAGGGTAATACTCCCTGATAGCCAGCCATGTAGGAAGTATTAGAGCAGGGCTGTCTACAACTCCCATGAGTCTTTTAATGAAATAGATAGCCAGGGAATCATGGGAGTTGTAGTTCAGCAACATCTGAGGGGCTGCAGGTTGGACAGCCATGTATTAGAGAGTAAGTTAATATTCACTGATAGCCAGCCATGTAGGAAGTATTAGAGAGTAAGTTAATATTCACTGATAGCTGGGTATGTAGGAAGTATTAGAGAGTAAGTGAATATTCACTGATAGCTGGCCATGTAGGAAGTATTAGAGAGTAAGTGAATATTCACTGATAGCTGGCCATGTATGAAGTATTAGAGAGTAAGTGAATATTCACTGATAGCTGGCCATGTAGGAAGTATTAGAGAGTAAGTGAATATTCACTGATAGCCAGCCATGTAGGAAGTATTAGAGAGTAAGTTAATATTCACTGATAGCCGGCTATGTAGGAAGTATTAGAGAGTAAGTGAATATTCACTGATAGCCAGCTATGTAGGAAGTATTAGAGAGTAAGTTAATATTCACTGATAGCCGGCCATGTAGGAAGTATTAGAGAGTAAGTGAATATTCACTGATAGCCGGCCATGTAGGAAGTATTAGAGAGTAAGTGAATATTCACTGATAGCTGGCCATGTAGGAAGTATTAGAGAGTAAGTGAATATTCACTGATAGCCGGGTATGTAGGAAGTATTAGAGAGTAAGTTAATATTCACTGATAGCCGGCCATGTAGGAAGTATTAGAGAGTAGGGTCATACTCACTAATAGCCAGCCATGTCTCCTTCACATTGAAGTAAACACCTATGTTCACAGTAAAACCAACATTCTGGATTGTACTTCCACTTTTATTCAGCGCATCGTACTCTGTGTAACAGTGATATATCCCTAGGAGAAGGAATGAAAACATTAATCAATGACGTTTGCTTCAATCTCTGATACACTTAGACACAGAGTGAGATTATTGTACATCCAGGTTTTATAGGAAATATTGGTGGGTGATTTATAGTAAAGAGACAGCTTGGGCACAGAGGGGAGTGATGGTGATTTATAGTAAAGAGATAGCTTGGGCACAGAGGGCGAGTAAGGGTGATTTATAGTAAAGAGATAGCTTGGGCACAGGGCGAGTGATGGGTGATTTATAGTAAAGAGATAGCTTGGGCACAGAGGGGAGTGATGGGTGAGTTATAGTAAAGAGACAGCTTGGGCACAGAGGGTGAGTAATGGGTGATTTATAGTAAAGCGATAGCTTGGGCACAGAGGGTGAGTAATGGGTGATTTATAGTAAAGAGATAGCTTGGGCACAGAGGGTGAGTGACAGGTGATTTATAGTAAACAGATAGCTTGGGCACCTAGGGCGAGTGATGGGTGAGTTATAGTAAAGAGATAGCTTGGGCACAGAGGGCGAGTGATGGGTGATTTATAGTAAAGAGATAGCTTGGGCACAGAGGGTGAGTGACGAGTGATTTATAGTAAAGAGATAGCCTGGGCATCGAGGGCGAGTGACGGGTGATTTATAGTAAAGAGATAGCTTGGGCACAGAGGGCGAGTGATGGGTGATTTATAGTAAAGAGATAGCTTGGGCACAGAGGGTGAGTGACGGGTGATTTATAGTAAAGAGATAGCCTGGGCATCGAGGGCGAGTGACGGGTGATTTATAGTAAAGAGATAGCTTGGGCACAGAGGGCGAATGATGGGTGATTTATAGTAAAGAGATAGCTTGGGCACAGAGGGCGAGTGATGGGTGATTTATAGTAAAGAGATAGCTTGGGCACAGAGGGCGAGTGATGGGTGATTTATAGTAAAGAGATAGCGTGAGCATAGAGGTGAAGAGATGATTTAGATTTCAATGAAAATATTTAATTAGGCCACATAGTTCCAGGTATAGATAGAAGTACTGCAAAAATTTCTGTTAAGAGTTATACCATATGCCGTGACTCCAATGACACCAATGATGAGGACCCAGACTAGGATCCCAGCAGTGAATCTAAGGAGGAGGAGGAACAGGAGGCTGACCAGCATAGCTATAACCAGTCCACTGGGGAGGAAGAGAGGAGAGACAGGACCACACATTCACCAATACTATTGAGAGACATGATACCAAATCTTTCACAAAAATTATGTGTCAGCTTCTAGTATAATGGAGCCATTAATGGGACCATACTGAAAATGGTGAGTAATAAAACATTATTCTGAGGATTAAAAAATACTTCCTGTAAGTCAAGAACATCTAGAAGCAAGACCGAAATATGGTCAGATCTTTTTTTTTTACTCAATTATGCCGATATACATCTTCCACTGGTGACATAATATTTTATTTCCAACCCTATGTGGAAAATGCTTTTACAGTAAGATAAATGGATGATAATCATTATATTACATGATAACAATGAGTATCTTGGATACAAAGTGGAAAAACATAGGTTAGAACTTAGCGGACACTCACACAAGGATCCAAATCCAGGACTTTGCAAAATCCTCAAATATTTTCTTCCCCAAGTTTTGCAAGTTGAAGGTGTTCGCTATGGCACTGAAATAGGAAAAAAAGGAGAGAAAGAAATTCTAAAAATGACCAGCAAAATAACTTGAAAAAACAGACTGGAAAAAAAAAATTAATAATGGAAAGACAATAATGGACACCAATCATAAAACAAAATGTAAGAGGGGCGTGTCCTGACTACCGATGGAGTAAGACGCACTACTCCTAAGCTCCTAGGCCCCAACCTGGTAAACCCCGGCAAATAGCGCCATAAACAGCCAAAAAAGATGGGGAAAAGCAAGAGGACAAACACAGCTGGTAACTCCGGTGTCACGCCGGCGAAATATAACCCCGGCCCGATGGACGAATACTTACAGGCATCCCAGGGCCCGCGAGGCCTGGACGGCCCCGCCACGCCGACGCCGTCCTCTCCGACCTCAAGCATGGCGCTCTCGGACCAGACTCCTCCGGCGACCCCTACGCTGACCCAAATATCTGCAGACCTGGCAACTATAACTAATAACATGCTCACCCGCAAAGATAAGTCAGACATGGTCGCGGAATTGAAGGCCGTTATCCGGGAGGAGATCACGGCGGTCCGCAGGGACCTCTCGGCCCTGGAACAACGCATAGGTAGCTTGGAGGAAGACCGCCTCCAGCACACCCAAACAATGCAAGCGGCTGAACTGGCTACGGGGCGGCAGGGAAACATTCTCCTGGACATCCGCCGCCAAGTGGAGGACCTCGACAACAGAGGTCGTCGCAAAAACATAAGGGTCCGAGGCCTCCCAGAAACTGAGGGAGAAATCCCCCAAGAAGTCCTAACAGGCCTGTTCACACACCTCATGGGCAGTGAGGCTCCTGGTGACTTCGGTCTGGAAAGGGCCCACAGAGCCCTGCGGGCACCTAGAAGGGACGGCCTCCCACGCGACATCATCTGCTCCCTAGAATCCTTCCAACTAAAGGAGGCCATAATGCAAGCAGCGAGGGCGCAGCAAAGGATCACATACATGGACTCCCAGGTCTCCCTCTTCCAGGACCTGTCCACTATTACCCTGGATGCCCGCCGAGCACTTAGACCACTGACACGGATGCTGCAGGAGAGAAGGGTTCCGTATAAATGGGGGTTCCCATTCAGCCTCCAAGCCCGCTCAGGCAATGTCTGGCACATAATCCGCTGGCCGAACGACGTCCCCCGCTTTCTACAAGCCGCGGGCCTACCCATGATACAGATCCCGAATTGGATCCTGGAGGGTCCCCCAGCCCGGGCCACGGGTCCGTCAGAAGTAGCTCATAACCTCCGCCCGGGACCCACCCCTCCACAACGCAGGGGAGGCCCGGAGAACTCGGAAGAATAAACCAACACCGTCCCTAAACAGCCACGGGAACTACCCCCCCTGAGCCGCTCCGGCACCGGAACCCTGCGGCCGTGGCCCTTCTCCCCTTCGGATTCCTCCCAGCCCGGGACTTTCCACGCTCCGGCCAGCCAAGGGTATGTACTCTGCCACTACACTAGTCAAGGGGCAAGGGGGGAGCCTGTCTAGGTGGGGTGGCGGGGCAGCCCGGGGGTCAGCTATAGAGGATAGTACCACCCGGTCCTACCAAAAGCCAAGCTCCTACAGCGGGGTTCCCTGCCAGGTTGGGAGGGGGGGAATTTCATGGGAGAGGGGTCTCATGGGACAAAGTGGAACTCCCCAAAGAAGGCAACCAGGCCCTCAACAGGACGAATTCCCACCTCAAACGGTTGCTAAACATAGCTGTACAACGGACAGCAGATCGAACTGTTGCCGGGAGGTCAGGGGGGGATCCGGGAGTGGGTGGTGGTGTTTGGTTAACGAGGGACACGGGTGTCACATGTTGGGAACTAGAGTGGTAGACGGGAGGGCCCACTGCTGTAAATATTCCACTAGATAAGTTAATGCCCACGGTAGCCGCAAAGAGCGCCCATCAGAGTGACACATATACGCACTAGAAGAGATACCCTGTGCGTCACACCGGGCCCAGTGCATCAGCGATCACATAGGGAGGGGCTAAGAGTGTTTATAAGTGGACCAAAGAGATGTACGGACGTCTAGGGCACGACAATGGCACAATACTCGGGAATCACGGGGGACGGGCTGACAGATGTGGAGGGGGGGGATGAGGGACACATCACGCGAACACAGAAGACAGACTGAGGGGATCAGGGACTGCTCGGCCTTTAACGTAGCAAAACAAAGACAGTAACTCAGCTGCAGGCATGACCCCCCCCCCGCACACAGTCCGTCCCTGACCTGCATGCGCATTCACTCCTGCTCCCCCACGTGCCACGCACGCTACACTTACCAGACAGTAACGAGGCAGACACACTACCACGACGCCGCACACCCCCGATATGCCCCAAGCTGGAGAAGCCCTCCAAGACGGACGGCAACGGGGCCCCCAGATGACGAGACTTGGGACCCGAATAGCGATCCTTGGGCCCGCCTAACGGAACCCAAGCCACGGGCAGACATCAAGGGCACCACTCCGGGACGATCGGACCCAAACTCAGCCCGTCTGACACCGCGCCGACAGGAGGTAACACCCCACGCCCGGCGCCACTGACTCGTGCGGACCCACCGCGCACACATGCACCAACTCTTCCCAATAACACCGCTGAACCCCGACCCAAATACGGCCATGGATGAGCAAGGGTTTCGCTCAGACAGCCACGAACACGCATAATGAAGGGGGAGACTGGGAGGGACGCACCCCCTTAACAGCACACAACAAGACACACAAACGGCCCCATAGCGACATGCGGGAGCAGAGACCCGCTACCATGCACCCCATCTTCAACACTACACAGAGAGACATAGCTAATACGAAAGTCCAATACAGGTTGGGAGCCGAAGGAGATAGTAGATGACAATTGACCACTAGACCGAACCACCCCATTGGTCAAGACGACACTGTTCCTCACTGAGACAGACCCTCCTGTAAATTATACCGGAACCTCAGGGAAGGTCAGGTAACCAACCCCCGAGAACCCCCAAAATCCGGTACAGGGTCGACGTCACACCCAAACTAACCCCGCTCACGGGTCCTACTGACCCCAGATAACCCTATCCCCCTAAAACCCGCACTCTAGACGACAGCCTTCCCCCTCGCCCCTCCTGTGCCGCTGCGGGCGGGGCCCCCCCCCTCCCAAAATGGCTGCCACCCGGGCGTTTGCCCCGGCCCAGCTGACGTATTGGTCTAACAACGTCCAGGGACTCAACTCCCCAGAAAAACGGGCCCACTTGCACCGCCGACTGTGGAGCGCTAAGGCCTCCGTCGTTTTCCTGCAAGAAACCCATCTCAAAGGTGGAGACGCACCCAAATTAGAAAACCGGCGATTCCCTTTGGGTTTCTACGCTAACCACCCCGACACCAAAAAGGCCGGAGTCGCCATTCTATTCGCCCACTCGGTGCCATTCCAAACTACACAAACTCTAGCAGACCCGAATGGGAGGTTCCTCTTCTTGAGAGGCACCATCGCAGACCATGAATACACCTTCGCGTGCTTATACGGACCAAACAGAAAGCAACACACGTTCATGCGCCAGGCGCTAGCCAAACTGGAGAAGTTCAGAGGGGGCCTACTGATAGCAGCAGGAGATCTAAACATGCCGTTGGACCCCATACGTGACACCTCGAGGGGCCAAAGTGCGATCCCCACACACTGCCTGAAAGCCACGCAACGACTCCTGCACAAGATGGGGCTAGTGGACTGCTGGAGGACGTACCACCCAGACGCCCGAGACTATACCCACTACTCCGCGGTACACGGACACTATAGTCGAATCGACTACATTTTCATGGCCCAGGAGTATCTTAACCTACTACGTAGCGCAGACATCGGCATCATGGACCACTCTGACCACGCACCGGTTCTGATCGATACACAATCCCCGCTCTTTAAACCCAGAGACAGACAGTGGAAACTTAATGAATCCATGCTGGACGACCTGGAATTTACCACAGCTATGAACCAGGCCCTAAATGACTACTTCTCGACAAATGAAAGTCCGGACATACAGCCACTGACTCTCTGGGAAGCGCATAAGTGTGTCATCCGTGGACACCTTATCACGAGCTGCACCCGCCGCAAAAAACAAAGGACGACGCAAATTGCTAACCTGACAAGCCGCATAGCTGAGCTTGAGCAAACCCATAAATCCACTTTGGATGATAACACATACCTCCGACTCACGGAAACTCGCAGAGAGCTTCGGGACATATTGACCCAAGGACTACTCCACACAGCCAGGAAAACATCCCGATACTTCTACGAACATTCGAATAAAAGTGGACGGCTGTTGGCGAAGATGCTCCAGGAAAAACGGAGAACACGACACGTCCACAAGATACACACGAAAGAAGGCGCTATCACCCGGCTTCCGGAGGGCATCCTAACGGCTTTCAAAGAATATTACAGGACGCTATACGACCAAGCACAGCACAAAACGGGAAATACAGTAGCACAACACCAGGCACGGATAGCTGCATACTTGGAAGAACATACCACCCGTAAACTGACGCCTGAACAAGAGGCCGACCTAGAACAACCCATTACAATTGAGGAATTAGCGGGAGCCTTGAAAACATCCAAACCCCACAGGGCTCCGGGACCAGACGGCCTCCCTATAGCGTATATACGCACCTTTAAGGACGTTCTCCTTCCTAGACTCCTCACCGGAATCAATTCCCTCCAAGAAGGAGGACGATTCCCTACGGACACCCTGAGGGCAACGGTCGTGATCATACCGAAGGAAGGAAAAGACCCAACTAACTGTGCCAGCTACCGTCCAATCTCCCTACTAAACGCGGACATAAAACTCTTCGCCAAAGCCATGGCCACCAGAGTAGCGCAGACGCTCCCCGACCTGATCCACCCGGACCAGGTCGGGTTCATACCCGGGAGGGAGGCTAGGGACAATACCATCCGAGCCCTTAACATCATACACGCAACAGTGGCCGGCAAACGAGACATGGTGCTTCTATCCACCGACGCCGAAAAGGCATTTGACCGGGTAGACTGGGATTACATGGCAGCGACCCTGAGTCACATGGGGTTTGGTCCACGGCTGCGAACCTGGGTAGCCGCGCTATACACCACGCCGACTGCACGCATACGTGTCAATGGAGCCCTGACCGACTCATTTGACATAAGCAATGGCACAAGGCAAGGATGCCCCCTATCCCCCCTTCTATTCGCCCTCACCCTCGAACCCTTCCTCGAAGCGGTCAGACGGCATGGAGGGATCACGGGATTTAGCATAGGCGGACAGGAACATCGAGTAGCGGCCTATGCCGACGACATGCTATTTTTCCTGGAGCAACCTAGGGTGTCGACACCGAACCTCCTGGACACATTCCGAACCTACAGCGAGGTATCCAACCTCAAGCTAAATCTGGATAAATCCGAGGCAATGCTGCTCACGAGGGACGCGACTCTCCAGCAACACATCCAAACGCAATTCCCCTTCAGAATATGCACCTCCAAATTGAGATATCTTGGCGTCTGGCTACCCGAGGACACGACGCGCATATACCAACTGAACTTCGCACCCCTTCTAGCAACCTTACAACTGGATATAAAACGGTGGACGGCCCAGTACATCTCCTGGTTTGGACGCATAAACGCGATAAAAATGAATGTCATGCCTCGCATTCTATACCTATTCCAGACATTACCAACATCTATCCCCAGAGGGTTCTTTCAAGCAATTACGACTACCATCCGACAGTTCGTCTGGAACCACAAACCATCACGCGTGAAACGGTCCACCTTAGAACGACCAAAAAGCCAGGGAGGAACGGGACTCCCGTCGATCACCACATACTACCAGGCAACCCACATACATCGACTGGTCGATTGGCACGCTAACCCGACCACTAAACAATGGGTCCACATAGAAAAACAACAAGCCCTAGGCAAAATCCCCGCCCAACTGTGGCTGGGCGAAACATCCTTTGAGAACATACGCACGGACAACCCAATGATAAACGCCACGCTGCAGGTCTGGTGCAGGGTTCGCTACAACGGGAACCTCACGACGTCCCCCAACCCGCTTACACCTATCACCAACAACCCAAAGCTGGCGGGAGGGCTTAGCCCGGCCGACCTCAGGAACTTGGGAGCCACAGACTGGGTATACATGAGCCAATGGTGTGACGGGCCGAACCTAAAAACAATAGGAGATCTACTACAAGACCGCCGACCAACTAGAATGGACGAGTTTCGATACCATCAAATAAAAACGTACGCTGCCGCTCTGAAAGGCAGGGGACACCTGCACCGTCCACTGCTCTACCTGGAACAATTATGCACAGACAGACACCACCTCCCACATGGAGTCTCGATCCTGTATACCATGCTCCAAAACAGCGGTAACAAACCACCGCTGGGGTTCACTACACGATGGGAAAGAGACGCAGATGTCATACTCACAGATAGCGAATGGGATAAAATATTCCAACTCACACACAAGGGATCCATAAGCACTAAATTCCAAGAATGTAATTACAAAATTTTGACACACTGGTACCGGACCCCTGATGTGCTACGGCACATCCACGTCTCGGTCCCAGGCGAATGCTGGCGGTGCGGCACAGAATTAGGCACCGGAATACACATTTGGTGGAAGTGCACGCACATCATACCCTTCTGGCGAATGGTCCACCGATTGATAAAAGAAATTACGGGAACAGAGATACCTTTCCAGCCACTGCCAATGTTGCTAAATCACACCCACACACCCCTGAAAGCATACAAGAGAGGCCTCGTCATACACCTGTTGACGGCTGCAAAAACACTCATTCCGACGATGTGGAAAAACCCCACAGCTCCCACATACCAACAATGGATAGACAGGGTTGAAGAGATCTATAATATGGAAAGGATGACGGCCTCCCTGCAGGGTCGCGCGGAAAAATGTTCCCTGACTTGGTTCCCGTGGATGGACTATGTATCCAAGGTGGCAGCTGGAGCAGATGCGGGGAGGAGGGGGGGGGCCGCTGCGGTGGCACATACACCCCCGGCTGGGGACCTCGCCCCCTCCGGAGCCAGTATGACCGATTAAAACCCACAAGAATGGACATAACTCACAACCCATCCCGACCCTATCCCAACCCCAGACCCTCCACCCCCGACAGAAACTAGGCATGGACAAATAAAGCAAGGACAGGAAGTATCCCGAAACACAAAAGCTGATACATACAATAGGATGGACAGAAAGAGACTCACGGTGCGCACAGACAACACCAACGCAATCTGAGCCCGCCGAGATCCCCAAGGTCTGAGATGCAACTGGCACCAACAACGGTAAACTAACCCCCGAAACTGAAGGGAACATAGAAAGATAGATTGGGTAGAAGAGGGAGGGGGGAGAGAGACACCCCAACACATGAAGGCGGAGGACGTACACAATACATTAAGATAGGTAATGCCTAGCTACTTGCCCCCAACGTCCCCCGCGCATCCTCCACGCTCCCTACCAACGGCCAGAGCACGCATACCTAAACATCAGACTAGTGGGGACTAGCCGGACAGAAAGACTGAGGGGGAGGTGGGGATACGACTCCTAGGCCTCCCACCACCTTACCAAGAGAACACCATGGGAAGGACTCCCCACACGAACCTACTAGGGACGGAGGCAGCAACCTACAGTTACGCACAAATCAACGTCCCATAAAACATAGCCCCGGGCCGATAGGTCATAATACACACGTATCTACCCGAACCCTACAACTGGGAGGCTCGTAAACACGGTGCTAGCTCTACTATCACAAGACATACGACTACCAACCTGATAAGTGCACTACACGCGACTCACAGAGGGAAATATAACTACACAAGTGGAAAGGGAGTGGAGAGGGGCGGGGGAGGGTGACACGGGGAAGAGGGAAAAGGAAAGCTGGACACAAGGCCACAACGAGAGGCGGTAACATGCTGCAGTGCAGGCTGATGATAGGTACACCTGCTGTATATAGACATACCTGCCTGGCACTAGACAGTAACTCAAGTCTTGAACATACGCCCACTTACCAGGATCACGGATTGTTTCATGCACCTGACTACAGCCCGAGCTAGTTTAATTTAAATTCCCAGAAAGCTCACAATATGAGCTGGTTGGACGCGCAGTTCTACACATATTGGCTTCTCGACGCAAGATATGCCACATAAAGGTTACTAAATGCACATTTTAGATGCGATTAATATCCAGTTGTGTTCAAGTATACTGTTTACCTTGATGAAAGCCGATACATATTGTCTATTCATGTTTAAACACATTAATGCATGATTGTAACTTGGAAGAATGAAACAAAATTGAAATAAAGAATGTCAAAAAAAAAAAAAAAATGTAAAGAAAAATGAGAGAAAATTACAGGTTAAGAAAATCACAGTAGAGGAGAGATCATGATGAGAGTTTCCCCCTCCTCCCCCCCCTCCCCCGGTATAAATAAAAATGAAGGGGATAAAGACAGAGAATAAAGAAAATGAGAGAACACAATAAAGAGAAGACTAGTAATGAAGGAAGAGAAAGTCTCTCACTTGGAGGCATTCGTAATACTAGGAAGTGTCTGGTTTCCGATCAAGCTGTTAACTGTAAAATTGTCAGGAACTTTGAGGTTGGCGTTCGGGAAACATCTGTTTAAAACTGAGAAGAAGATCGATAAATGCTGCATGTATTATTTCTGGCATTTCAATAGCTCCAACATATTCTGCAGTGCTTTACAATATATGTATTGGACAAGATATGCTACAAGTTCACAACGCTAGTGCTCCTCAACCCTTTCCACAAGGCACACCTAAAAGTCCAGGATTTAGGTATTACCCAGCTGTGTCTAAGGTATTTAAAAAAATAATAATAACAAAGAGCGAATGAAGCAAGCAGAGACTCCATCATCAAGGTGGACGCTGCCAGTTCCCACAGCTTCAGCTCAGAACACCTTGATATTTCAGCCAGGCTGGACCGCATTTTTGAAGATTTCTGGTGAAAGCTGGAATGAAGGATACACCAATACTACCCACCACAAGCAAGTCCCAACCTACCCAGCGTGCCATCCCTTCATCCACATCGGGAGCCCACGCGTTGGAGAAGGACCCAAAATGGCAGAGACACAGGCTCCATCCAGTGCCTCAGCATTCGTCAACATGGGAGAAGGAGCCCTTGCAGACCTTACCGAGAGTGTCGGAGGTGCAGCGGGGAACCCAGATCCTGTCAATCTACTAGACTCACCTGTTTCCATATGGGCTTAGGGGCCAGAAGAATGTTCCTTTGTTGCAGGACTGTGTTCGACCCACAGAGGGTGTTGGGTGAAACAGTCTCTCTGATGAGGTCCTGATCAACCTTTGATCACGAACCTTGCGCAAGTTGATATTTGCATTATATTATATTATACTCCTCTTTTTCCATACTGTTACTTGCCTTACATATTATTCTCTCCTCTCACACTACTCACTTGGAAGCCTTCCAGGGTTCACTCTGTAGTTACACTACTAGAAGTTATCTTGTTTTCACTATTAAAAAACAAAACAAAAAAGTGCTTTTTTCATGACATTTTGGGCTCCGATCTCAAGCTTGTTCATCCTCATTATGTTAAACCTCTAATTTCATTGTTAATCTATGTAAGTAATCCTGCACATCAAAAATAAAGAATGATTTAAAAAAACTAAATAAAAAACACCTGTAGACTCTAAGGTGTTTTCTTCCCATTTTATAAACACCTTAGACACACCCAGGTAATCCCTAAATCCAGGACTGTTAGGTGTGCATGGAGGACAGGGTTAAGGAGCACTGCACTCCAAACGAGTACAAGGCTGTTGCAATGTAGTATCTGGCCAGTTAGAGAGCTCACATATTGCCCATCCACTAAGGTGACAATTTTAAATCAATAATAACAAATATATAAATGCCCAATATAAAAAAGCAAAAAAAAATAAACAAGAACCAAGATTATGGTAAAAGTGTATTTATCTCAAACCGCCACTAGAGGGCAGCTTTCTCCCAATAATACCAATACTGATCCCAGATACTTGAGATCTGTATAATTAAGTTATACTCTAATGTTATGGAGCAATGAGACAATTATAAAGGGGAAACTGAAAACACACACACAGCATAAAGCACAAATACAGATAAAGTGCTCAATCCTACTGCTTGGTATGAGGAGACGCAGTTTACAGTCCAAGATTCAAGGTGCAGCAGTACTTGCCCTAGATCAGAATAATCTTTGGTAGCAGAGACCCTTGGCTTCAGCCCCGGAACCGACAACGCATTTTGTCCTGTTGCTGTCTGGACTTCCTCAGAAGATGTGGTATCCCATTGGCTTCCTTCTTTAACCCCTTAAGGACCAAACTTCTGGAATAAAAGGGAATCATGACATGTCACACATGTCATGTGTCCTTAAGGGGTTAAATATGGTACTTTCACACCCTTGCTGGTCAGCGCATGTGTGTATTTGTGTTGTCGTGCAAGACATCTTTATTAGTGCCATCTCTTGGTTGTGAGGATCCTGAAACAGCTGTATGCACTACCTGAATAACAAGGCTTGTTAATTTCCATATACAGGTAGATTTGCATATTATAAATAATGTAGGCAGGGGAGATATTTCTTGTTAATTATTGTCCTCCCAAGCCCTTTATAAATATGTTAATGTGTTATTATGAGTTCCTCTATGTTGCTCCATATGATTTGAATATTTGTATTAAATTAAGTTTGTCTCCAAAAGTTTGATGTAATGAACATATGGGCTAGTCCTGAATAATAATTAAGCAGCGTGTGTTAGTTCCTTTTGGAACTGTGTGTTGGTTTATTCAGGGATTCCAGTAATAAAGTCTTTGGACCTGTTGGTTGGCTGCTTGGTCCCTGGATCTGAGGACAAGTGAAAAAGAGCTTGGCCTGAGAGCCACACGTTTAAAGGCTGTAGCTGACAATCTAGGCAAAGGTTTGGATACCTGCCTGGGAGAGGAGCTGAAGAGGCAAAGGCTGAGGGGTCATTACCTGCCTGGAGGAAGAGAGCTGCAGCCTGGTCCAGGGTGAGGGAAGTTCTCAGTGACCCCAATCAAGTGGGGCTGAAGCATTCCTCAGTCCCTGATCTGGGTGGAGGTATTCAGTCGGAGTACTAGAGCTCCATCACATTTGGTGGTAGCAGTGGGATGGCCTCCTAGCTATTGGGGAAATACCCAAGACACCACTGGGACCCCTGCACATCTTTTTGGACTCAAGGAGATGGATAGAGCTAGCATCCATGCAGCATCCTTATCATCAGAGGAGTTTTAGAGGAGCATGTCAGAGAGATTGGCTTTCTTTGGAGCCAATCCATCAGCAGAGGTGGTGCAACTTATCTGGGATGAAGTGTCACCATATATGGACCAAGAGAGGCAGATCTGCCTTGCCAGCCAGGCCCGTGCAGTGGCAAATGGAGGAATGCAGAAATCTAGGTGCCAGACCTTGAAGTTTCAGTGGTGACTACAAAAAGCTCTCTTCCAGTATGATGGCACTGTCTCGGGAGATGAAGGCATCCAGGAGATTCAGGTTCTCCAGAGAGAATCCCTCCCAACCCCAGAACAGCAACATCAATATCAACTGGATCTGTGGATACCTTTCCTGTGAGAGCAGCCCCTAGAACAATGGGTGGTTCAACTTAAGAGGCTGGTGTGGAAACAATTGTGGGTGGACGATGGTTACCAGTCTTTACCGTGGTATGCAGTCCGGCAGTACCCGTGGCTAGCTGATGACAAACCTCCAGAGGATGAGGGCAATGATGGCCCTGGCCTAATGTAGAAGGCCTTTAAGGAGAGGACAGAGATTAAAAGCCCATTCAGTGCTCAGATTCTGGGACATCCAGGCATGAGAGACCTCCTGGATCTCGCTGAAGCAACAGACCTGAAGAGGCAGAGAGGACAATACCTGCCTGGAAGGAGAGAGCTGCAGGGGTCGCTGAGAACTTCTTCCAGGGTGATACTCAGTGACATCCAGCCATGTAGGAAGTATTAGAGAGTAGGGAAATAACCCTGGAAGATGTTCTCAGCGACCCCAGTCAAGCTTCGGTGACTAGGGCTGTCCCTTTTTTACATTTGTGTCAAGACAATTTATCTTTTTATTTTATGCTGCATGCAGATCTGCTATTAGAAGCAATTACAATTGTCTACAACTTATTTCATTTTCAGAGAAAGAGAAGATAAATGAAACTGCTCAAGGAATCCAAAGTAATTTCTTCGATTTTTCTTAAAGGTACAGTACACAAAATTTATTCTGCAGTTGTGTTCCTCTATCTTGTCTAATATCCCCCGAAACATAACAGGAAGAAGATGGGAGACCACAGCTGCTAAGGAAGACCAGAAAGCGACAGGACGAAACGCGTTGAGCTGGAAATCAAGGGCCTCTGCTACCGAAGAGCACTCAGATCTGGGACAAAGGTTTACTTGCACCTTGGATCTTGGACTGTGGACTGCGTCTTTTTCTTAACACGCAGTAGGATTGAGTCCTGTGGCATAGCCTTTTTGCACATTTATTTGTGCTTTATGCTGTGTGGGTGTTTTTATTCTCCCTTATTTGGGGGAATAAATATATGTTACTACACTATATATTTTTATATATATATATATATATATATATATATATATATATATATATATATATATATATATATATATATATATATATATATATATATATATATATATATATATAATTAGGTTATGGTGGGGAAAAATTGTGATTGAAAACCCCTTCCACCTGAAGTATGTGGATAGTTAATACAATGCTAAACAAAAATCTGCACACCAGTCAAGCCATAAGGCTTGCTTTTCCCACAGAAATCCCAAATCCGCAGTGATGTTACAACCGCAAGCCTCCATAAGCAAACAGTAACCAACCTCATGCTGAAGAGTTGCATTAACAACGAAACAGCTGTCCATGAGTGGTTCACTGGTTTTGCATCTTATCCTAAATTGTGTTCCAAGCAGTTGTATACCGCAAACACAAATTAAAAGGAATCCATGTTTAAAATGGAATGAGGCAAAAATGTGATTCTTTGTTAAACTAATTTGCATATGCCCACCCAGAATCCTTTGCGGTTGTAATATCACTGCTGATTTGGGATTTCTGTGGGAAAAGCAAGTCTTATGGCTTGACTGGTGTGCAGATTTTTGTTTAGCATTGTATTAACTATATATATATATATATATATATATATATATATATAATATATATATATAGTGTAGTAACATATAAATAGTTAAATAGTTAGCTCTGTCCATAATCACAATACCTCCACCCTTATTAGCCTGTTTCGCCACTAAATGTCATTTTCTCTTTTTAAAAGTTTTTTTCTGTCTGAGATATCCTATCAAATTACACAAATTTCCATAAGAAATATTTTATAGAACAATATTGAAGGAAAAATGTATGAAATACAAGATTGTGTTTTTTTTAATATATATATATATATATATATATATATATTATTTTTTTTTTATAGTTGTGTATATAACTAAGTATGTATTTTTAAAGCACTACTTGGTACAAGACCTATCACTAAGTAAACATCTACATGCAGACTGTAGTTTTAGGACATATTGTCCCTTTTTTACATTTGTGTCAAGACAACGTATCTTTTTATTTTATGCTGCATGCAGATCTGCTATTATATATATATATATGTCTGTTTATTTTCCCCATATGAGAATATTCATATACTGGAAGTAGGAGTTTAATATCTGTATGTGGTAAATACATTTGGATCCCCTATTGTTTTGCATATATTATTGGTTTTTGGCACCATCAGTTGTATGTAGTGCTGTCTATGTACACTTTTCCTTATTATATTGGAGGATTGGAGGGTAATACTTGTGAGTGGAAGCATTCACCAATATCACTTTGATCACCAGATAGAACATCTCATGGACTGGTAAGATAAATTAAATAAAAATGAATGACTTAATTCGCACAATTTCAGATGCTACATTCGGCACTGGATATTCAGAGATAGGTGGCTCTCAAATCAAATCTAATCTAATACGGTCTGATCTTCCTCAGTTTTATTTTTGGATGTCCAAACAGTGGTTCTTGTTATGCCCACTTTCCCAGCATCAATTCTCTGAGGATTAGGGACAAAATAAGGTATAAATTTGCTTTATAAAATAAAAATTTTCATATGACTCATTAGTTATGGAATCCAAGCTTTGCTCTTGGCCTACATCCACAACCGTTTAACATTGGTGAAGTGGATTATTAGTTACACTTGCAAATCATCAACATAGACACTAATAGTAAATCCTTACACTACCCCAAACCATAGCCTTAATACCAACAACACCACTAATAGAATCTCAAACCTTAACAAATTAAACCCAAAAGTATAATGTTATCATCAAAGATGCATAATGGCAAAGTGGGTATTAAGTACAGTAACACCATTTTTGAATTCTGCAGACATTAATAAACTACCCGTCCTTCAATCTCATACCTTATTATGTTGTCTTCAGAACCCGTAGATGGCATTATGGTATCATAGTTTAGGGTATAATAATTATATTATGTAAGCTATCTTACCATTTGCAGTCTTTCCCATATAGAAACCCTGTGAATGACTTATCTTATCGTCTATTATAAATGTTATAACCTTTTCTCTGCACCTTATTGATTCCTTTTGTTTGCCGTTTCATGTATTAAAGCAGTATTTCCTGACTAAATGAGAATTAATTCCGATATTGCTTAATGTCTTTTGCCCTTCGATACATCAGACTCTACATAGAACACAGAGTGATTGATTTTCGTGAACTCCAGAAAATTACATTACATTTTGTTTAAAATGGTTTCATCTACAGTATAGGGAGTTTACAAAATATCAATATTTAAAGGTGCAGCACAACTTTTGTAAGTTATTAGGCAAGTGTTTTAACTTTATGAAGAGTTAGAGACTCATGACACATTATGCAGTTAATGCACAGCCCAAAAACTAATTAAAAGTTTTTATATTTTAATACACATCAAATGCCTGGTGCCCTAGCACATCCAGGAGTTAATTTAACCTCCATGATCCCATGTACACATACAGCGCTAAGGAACAAATGACCAAGCCCACATTTCCCTGCACTTGCCATAGCAAAGCAAAATGTAAAAACTGATAGGATTTCCTGTATGCTGCCATAGAAACACATGTGTGTGCAAGGAGTCAAGATGGAATGATACCCAGTGTGCATTGGCGTGTTGGGGATGCTGGTAAAATGCTGGCACTAATTATTATTACAGCACCAACAAATTCTGCAATGCTTTACAATCAAACAAGTATTTGGCACACAGTATAAGAGGTACATAAAGCCCTACTCAAACAAGCTAACAATCTATAATAAACCAAAACTTGTTTTGTTCTCCCTTTCACAACTCATCCTAGTAAACACTTCAATGGCATTTACAAAGCGAGGACAAGAAGAACAATTGCCAATAAATAAAATACCTTGCTTTCTTTTACAGTAAAAGACTTGGGTAAATAAATACTCCAATAAACAGGACAGTTGCTCTGGCTATGAATAGCTTACTTTATTACATAACAAAAGAAAAAATAAAAACAGTAAAAGGCTGCGCACATTTAGTAAAGTCCAATACAAGGAGAAGAGAGAAAAGTCCAACTGGTATATTCTTACAGGTATCCTTGGTTGGTGGGGTCTTCTATTTATGTGGTGGTTTCACTCGTTTATGGAAAATAAAAAGAGGGAAAAAAAGGGACATCCAATGGTATAGTATGTAAAATTCAGATATAGACGTAAAATTGATAGTATAAAACTCACATTTACCAGAGCTAATGTCCAGCTCTGGAGTAAAGCGCATACAGCGGTTTAATCCCCGCTTATGGGATATAGGCAGGTTCTTCTCCGTGGATGGTATCCAATTAAAGAAAGAGCAGACCCACTGCTCTTTGATGATAGCTTGGGTGGATTGATCCCCACCTACGGATTTCTTTGGGTACAGGAAACTTCCAGGAATTTTTAGGTTTCTTTTAAAACCATAAAAAATTAAAATAGCAATAAAAAAAGGCCAGGGTAAAATAAGAATGATATGTGTCTATAAAAAAGATAATTGGCACAAGCAAATGACCAAAAATACTTTAATATATATAAAAACACAATTTAAATATCCATAACGCGTTTTGTCACAAAGGGACTTTATCAAATGGAATAACATGATTAACCTGGCACATAGATGTTATATAAGAGCATAATTGTTTGAATTTTGGCGCCAAAACTTAGTTTGACCAATCAGAATTAAAAACACTTATACAACTTTAAAATACATCATAACTTATTTAGCACATAGTTTTTGGTAATACAACTTCATTAAATTATATATACAATTAAAACGAAGGTTTGAAAGTGTAATTCGAGATAATTTTAAAAAATCACGTGACCGGCGGCACTTCCGCGTTTCGGAAGTTCCGCCGCTAAGCAGCATGGGTAATGAAGTTTAACCCCTTAAGGACCAAACTTCTGGAATAAAAGGGAATCATGACATGTCACACATGTCATGTGTCCTTAAGGGGTTAATGGCGGCGGACGTTTTAAAAGTCCTGAAAACGGACTGGAATAGTGTGGCAGCAATAGTTAGAATATAAAAATGAAGGGGCTAGATAAAAACGAGGAGACTGGTTAAAAATAAAGGGGCTGATAAAAATAAAAGGCTTAAAGAAGAGGTCACGTGGTTTTCGGCAATAAAAGCAGAAAAGCCTTATGGGGAATGTAGTTAATAGTAAAGAACACCAAATTAAGATAATAGCATATGGAAAAATATGACACTTATAATACTTATTACTGAGGAGTTAATTGGTTGAAAAACATAAGTTTAAACAAATCCACCTTATTGATGGAAAAAGAAAAAAAGGGAAAAGGTATCAAAATTAAAAAGGCAGATTGAATAAACGGTGATATTAAAAGGATATTATAAATAAATTGTATAAAAACCATAGTTAAAGGGACAAACATAGGAATTCATAAAAAATTATATAAATCAAAATCTGCATTAAGACCATGGGGTATAAGAGTCTGAAGTTTATACACCCATTCCATCTCTGTTTTTCCTAGTAACTTTTTTATATCACCTCCTCGCCAGGAGGTAGAGCATTTTTTTTATACCAATGCACTTTAGTAAACGAGGGTCCTTATTGTGCATAATAAAATGTTTGGATACTGTATGATTTAGGTATCCATTTTTAATATTTCTGCAATGTTCGCTCAGTCTTATCTTTAGGCACCTTGTGGTCATCCCCACATATTGGAGGCCACAGGGGCACTCGAGCAGATAAATAACATTTTTTGTATGGCAGTTTATAAAATCATAAATATCCTACACTTTTTTTGTTTGGTTTGACATAAATTTTGTAATTTTTGATGAAATGACATGATCCACAGTTTTACATACAATGCATTGTTTGCATCTAAAAAAACCTTTTGTATTAGGAAAAAATGATACCCTTTTTGAAGGAGATTTTTTTGTAAAATTTGTAGTTAGGATTGATGTAAAATTAGGTGCTCCTCTAAAAACAATGTTCGGATGAGTAGGTATAATGGAATTGAGTATCTCATCATGTTTAAGTATGTGCCAATGTTTTCTTATTATTTTTTTGACATCATTGCTTTTATTATTAAAATTAAAAATAACTGGAAGTGGTATAGTTTCTTTGTTTTCTTTGTTTTTATATATCAAAAGATCTTTTCTTTCTTTTTGTTTAACTGTATTAATAGTGATATTCAGATCTGGTTCTGAGTAATTTTTTTCAATAAATTTATTTTTTTTAAACTCTGCTTGTTCGTTAAAATCTGTGAGTTCTGAGCAATTTCTGCGAAGGCGTAAGAACTGACTTTTTGGGGCACTCTCTAACCACGGCTTATAATGACAGCTAGACCTGTCTATGGCCGTGTTAACACATACTTTTTTTAAATAAGTTTTTGTTTGAAGTTGCCCATTGTTGATAAAAATATTTAGATCTAAAAAGTTAATAGATTGTTTACTGAATTCGTGTGTGAGAATGATGCCCCTATTATTAGTATTTAAATAATTAATAAAATCAATAAGATGTTTTTCAGGTCCATCCCAAATAAAAAAAAGATCATCAATATATCTGAAATAGCAGACTAGGTTTGCCCGCCAAGTATGATTGCCCCATATGGCTTCATTCTTCCAATCAGCCATAAACAAGTTGGCGTAACTAGGGGCAAACCTAGTCCCCATAGCTGTACCTCTTTTTTGTAAATAAAAGGAGTCTAAAAAACAGAAATAGTTGTTATTTAAAATAATATTGATACCTTCTATTATAAAATCTATTTGAGTGTTAGGAATCCTAGCTTCTTGGGTTAAAATTTATTTTATAGCTTGACAACCAATATCATGAGGGATAATGGTGTAAAGGGACTGGACGTCACATGTGACTAGTATAAAATTATTTTTCCAAGTAAAATCATTTAAAAATTTTAAGAGTGACATGGAGTCTTTTAAATAGGATTTCATAAGTCTAACCGCAGGTTGGAGAAGGGTATCTATATATTGGGAAAGATTACTTAAAAGTGAACCTATCCCAGAAACGATAGGTCTTCCTGGAGGGTTTTGTTCATTTTTATGGATTTTTGGAAGAAAATAAATGACCGGGGTAATTGGATGTTTTTTATTTAAAAAATTATATTCATGTTTGTTTAAAAATTTTTGATCTAGACCCTTATTTAAAAAATTTGATAAAATAGTTTGGATATTATTGATTGGATCATTTAAAAATTGTTCGTATATATTGCCATCATTTAATTGTCTATGGGCTTCATCTACATACATTTTACTGGATTGAATGACTACTCCTCCCCCCTTGTCAGCTGGTTTAATGACAATATCGCAGTCTTTTTAAAGTTCTTTGATTGCTTGTCTTTCGCTATTCGTGAGGTTGTTAGGGTCATATTTTTTATATTTGATTTTTTCTAAATCTTTAAGAACAAGTTTTTCAAATAAAATTAAAGGAGCTGATTTAAAATGGGATGGATAAAATTTAGATCTTTCTCTCAAATGTGTGTTTAAAAAAGGACTATTTTCTGTTTCTGAGGGAAGGGATAAAGTAGAAGGGACAAGTTCTTCGTCATTTTTACTTATAAAGAATCTTTTCAGTGTAGCTTTTCTAACAAATTTATTTACATCAAGAAAAGCTTGAAATGAGTTAAAAGAGGAAGTGGGAGCAAATTTAAGACCCTTACTTAAAACGGATAATTGTGCAGCTGATAAAACTTTTTGGGAGAGGTTAAAAATGCCATTGCAGGAATTAGTGGAAGGTGTTATTATCTTTCCAATCTTTCTCTTTTGTTCCCTTCTTCCACTTCGTCTTCCTCTAGGTTTAAAGTTCTTTTTTGAGAGCGTAATGGGTATGGTGTCTGGGCTAGTGCAGGTTGGTGGGTGCGTATCTCTAAAAAATGGTCCTCATTATCAAAGTCAGAGTCGACTGATAATAGTTGATATCTGTTAGTATGATTTGGGATTGTGGGTGATTTTGAGTAATTAGAATACTCATTATGATCATTGGTATACCTGGATCTTTGTGGTTTTGGTGAAAAGTTAAAATCAGAGGAGTTGTGATATCTCGGTGATGGAGGTATAGGATTGTAATTATCGTGAGGGAATTTCCTTTGTTTATACGAGGGTAGTTGATATGTATTCCTCTTATTTTTGTATGGTGATTTAGAAGGAACGTGATTTTGGTGAAAAGACGTATGTTGGGGTCTTGTTGTGGCTGGGGATTGGTGATGGGGTCTACGTGTAGCGTAATTGCGGTATTTGGAGGGTGGTTGGTATGGTACATTGTTGTGAGAGTGAGAGTTGTTATACATGTGATAGTTAGGTCTTGAGGGGTAGTTTTCTGAAGTGTACTTCTTTTTAAGGTGGTAGGTTCTTACTTGTTTACTAGAATAGTCTGTCTTATCTCTGATGTATTTTTTAATTTTCAAATGTTTTTGGTCCACTTCAACTTTTTCAATTTTATTCTGGATTAGTACAGAATTTTGTTTGTAGGCCTTAGTTTCGGTGAATGGTAAAAGTTTGTCTCTAAGGTCGTTTATTTCAATGTCTAGAATAGACAGCTTTTTGCTCTTTTTTATTATTAATGTTTCCATTAGGCCAAATGTACATAATTCTAATTTATTGTTCCATTCTTCCATGAACTCAAGATCATCTTGGTCAGAAGTGGGCAGTTTTAAGAGTCTCAATCCACGGGGAGTAATTTGTTCATCTATATATTTTTTAAAAGTAGCAATTTCCCATTTAAGCTTGATTTCTGTGGATAAGGCTCTTTCTAATTTCATAAATAAATCTTGTTGGTTAGAATAATGGGGAGTTATTTGTATAGAGTTAATTGCTTCTGTGTTGAATACATTATTAACATCAATTGTATATTTGTTCCTGAATTCAAAATAATAAGAAAACATTGGCACATACTTAAACATGATGAGATACTCAATTCCATTATACCTACTCATCCGAACATTGTTTTTAGAGGAGCACCTAATTTTAAATCAATCCTAACTACAAATTTTACAAAAAAATCTCCTTCAAAAAGGGTATCATTTTTTCCTAATACAAAAGGTTTTTTTAGATGCAAACAATGCATTGTATGTAAAACTGTGGATCATGTCATTTCATCAAAAATTACAAAATTTATGTCAAACCAAACAAAAAAAGTGTATGATATTTATGATTTTATAAACTGCCATACAAAAAATGTTATTTATCTGCTCGAGTGCCCCTGTGGCCTCCAATATGTGGGGATGACCACAAGGTGCCTAAAGATAAGACTGAGCGAACATTGCAGAAATATTAAAAATGGATACCTAAATCATACAGTATCCAAACATTTTATTATGCACAATAAGGACCCTCGTTTACTAAAGTGCATTGGTATAAAAAAATGCTCTACCTCCTGGCGAGGAGGTGATATAAAAAAGTTACTAGGTGGGCCTTAAGGAGACGATAAAGAGGAATGGCCGACTATCATCTGCTACAAAGTACGAAACAGATGGGCTATCAAACTATATACCGGTTGCTCCTGTCACTATTTGTAAAGGCTGATGACTTTGTTCGATACATGCACACGTTCTCTACCAAAGTCAACAGGGAACCTAAAACAATAGGGCACGGTGTTTAGCGGGATACACTCTACCCAAAGAGGCGCACGATGTTGGACATGGGATGTGTCATATATCAATGCACAAGCTGCCAAAACGCGCTGTATCCCACCTTGATAAGGTAAAAGATGTTCTACATGAGATACTCCATAGTAAACATATGCATGACATCTTCAGGCTATATCTCTAGTGTCGACTATGTCACCATACTGGTACATAATATGACCCTCTCCTATATTTCTTAAAAACCAGTACAGGATGTCTAACAAGGTACCCTAGCTTTCATTTTATTAAAGAAGAAGAAGAAGAAGAAGAAAAAAAAAAAAAAAAAAAAAGCCTACAGCAACCTGACATGATACCCAACGTTTTGCAAGCATACCAGTTGCCTAGCACGACACATGCTACATTGGTAGGGGGCGAGTTACTGTACATGGTATGTCTGTCCATTGTCTACTTTTCTCTCTTAACAAACTGCAATAATTATAAAAATGGAAAATTGTGCTGTATTGTACTTGGACATGTGTTGTATGTTATGCCTATTACCGCTTACAACGGCTATCGTGGCTGAGTAAGCATGTTGTTTATTTCATGCACAATAGAAAATAAAGAATTAAAAAAAATAAAAAAAAAAAAAGTTACTAGGAAAAACAGAGATGGAATGGGTGTATAAACTTCAGACTCTTATACCCCATGGTCTTAATGCAGATTTTGATTTATATAATTTTTTATGAATTCCTATGTTTGTCCCTTTAACTATGGTTTTTATACAATTTATTTATAATATCCTTTTAATATCACCCTTTATTCAATCTGCCTTTTTAATTTTGATACCTTTTCCCTTTTTTTCTTTTTCCATCAATAAGGTGGATTTGTTTAAACTTATGTTTTTCAACCAATTAACTCCTCTGTAATAAGTATTATAAGTGTCATATTTTTCCTTATGCTATTATCTTAATTTGGTGTTCTTTACTATTAACTACATTCCCCATAAGGCTTTTCGGCTTTTATTGCCGAAAACCACGTGACCTCTTCTTTAAGCCTTTTATTTTTATCAGCCCCTTTATTTTTAACCAGTCTCCTCGTTTTTATATTCTAACTATTGCTGCCACACTATTCCAGTCCGTTTTCAGGACTTTTAAAACGTCCGCCGCCATTAAACTACATTACCCATGCTGCTTAGCGGCGGAACTTCCGAAACGCGGAAGTGCCGCCGGTCACGTGATTTTTTTAAATTATCTTGAATTACACTTTCAAACCTTCGTTTTAATTGTATATATAATTTAATGAAGTTGTATTACCAAAAACTATGTGCTAAATAAGTTATGATGTATTTTAAAGTTGTATAAGTGTTTTTAATTCTGATTGGTCAAACTAAGTTTTGGTGCCAAAATTCAAACAATTATGCTCTTATATAACATCTATGTGCCAGGTTAATCATGTTATTCCATTTGATAAAGTCCCTTTGTGACGAAACGCGTTATGGATATTTAAATTGTGTTTTTATATATATTAAAGTATTTTTGGTCATTTGCTTGTGCCAATTATCTTTTTTATAGACACATATCATTCTTATTTTACCCTGGCCTTTTTTTATTGCTATTTTAATTTTTTATGGTTTTAAAAGAAACCTAAAAATTCCTGGAAGTTTCCTGTACCCAAAGAAATCCGTAGGTGGGGATCAATCCACCCAAGCTATCATCAAAGAGCAGTGGGTCTGCTCTTTCTTTAATTGGATACCATCCACAGAGAAGAACCTGCCTATATCCCATAAGCGGGGATTAAACCGCTGTACGCGCTTTACTCCAGAGCTGGACATTAGCTCTGGTAAATGTGAGTTTTATACTATCAATTTTACGTCTATATCTGAATTTTACATACTATACCATTGGATGTCCCTTTTTTTCCCTCTTTTTATTTTCCATAAACGAGTGAAACCACCACATAAATAGAAGACCCCACCAACCAAGGATACCTGTAAGAATATACCAGTTGGACTTTTCTCTCTTCTCCTTGTATTGGACTTTACTAAATGTGCGCAGCCTTTTACTGTTTTTATTTTATTTTTTATCCTGTTTTATAGGGTTTGAGGGATTCCCTTTTTAAGGTTGCTGCCAAAGTTATTTAGCGCTGTCTCACTCCCTTTATTTATAAATAACAAGAGAAAAGCAAAGGGGCCTGGCTAGTGAATACAGCAGAGAGAATTCCATTTGAATCCTTTCGGCCTGAATATTGCAATCTGATTTTTGATTCACCATAAGTCACTATTTAGCAAATAAATCCCGCACAAATATCATCAGATGATGGTCACCTTAAAATGGTCAGTAATACCTTGAGCTACCTTTAAAACCAACAAAAACATCCTCAGGTCCTTTAGGACAGCCGTCAGATGCCACAACTCGATCGAGAAATGTTTCTTTCTAATCAACTGCTACCCTTTTCATAAACTCTTTCCTGATTGACAGCCAGACCTTCTGGTCTCATCTCTACCATTTACACACACCTTCTTAATGTTCTTTACACTAACCACCCTTCTTGCATGCTTGCATGGAATGCCAAGTTGGGGAAGTCGTTGTACCAAGAGGATAGGGCAATCATTTACATCAACAGTTCCAAAGTTACAGTACTTTGTTGATAGAAAACAACTACAGAACTCATATAGTATTTCTCTCATACTAGGTCATAACATATTTCCATCCCACGCTTCTTAAAGGGTTAATACAACCACCATGACCACTTCAGTGATTTGAAGTCATGGCGGTAGGAGTCAGTATGTGCAGTGTTTCAGCTTGAAAAATTGCACATAGTGAGATATTTGGAATTGTATGCTGTGTATTTCTTATCGTCAATTCTATACAAAAAATGATGTCTGTTGTAAACGCTCACATTACACTGACAGATATGAAAATCTTCCTCTTCCAGCAAGGGAAGCCAACGATACCCCTCCTTCCCTGTGGGCACTCTTTCCCGCCTCTCGCTGTGCAGGGTTGGTTTAAAATAAACAAACAAAAAAAAACCCTCCTCCCCACTCTTGCCAACCCAGAGTGTGCTCTGAGCCGGTGAAATGGTCCAAAGCCTAAGAATGGACCGCGCAGGGCCCCAGTTATGTGGGGTGCACAGTAGCAGCACCGTGAGCTACAGCGGGTGCTGGATACCAGATGTGTAAAACCTTTTTGCAGATTTTACTGAAAATTGAGAAAGGGGACCAGAAACTCACAAACTCTTTAATGGTTTTGAGGCTGTGGAAGCAGAATGCTCCTAAGGGCATTTATGCTCTGATAAAGGGGCAACCGGAATTGTCTGTTCAAAGCCTATGTCCTTCAACAAATTACTTGTTGGACTTTTATGTTCATGATAGCATCTTGTTGCATTATCCTCATTACTTATTTTGATTGTATGTTACTAGTATTGCATAAGCAACGGGGGAGAGAGTTAACTTTTTTTTTTTTAGGTACTACAGTAATCGAATCCTCATTTTCTTGTGGCCACTATCTTGATATGGGAGTTAGAGGGTATTTTGTTTCCATTTTCTTCTAATGATTATCAGACCACTATGTGTTTATGTGGGATTGATAATCTCATTTGCAAGAATGTTACTGCACAGACCAAATTGTAATATCAGGACATAAAAATCGGTGAAAACTTGAAAGTAATTTGTGCCTATTGTTAATGTCAACACAAACACAATACAAGATTTGTTTTACATTTATGGTAGTGCTTTGGGAATATAAATAACACAGCAACAGAACACAAGCAATACTGGTACGTCACTAAACTGGGAACTGGGAAGAATTGAGAAGAACTGCAAATTTTAGGTGAAAATAATGGAATTTAAAAAATTCTCCAATTTAGCTTTTGACTTTTATACTTAATTTAAAGTGAGAAAATATTAAATAACTGAGGCTTGCTTTCATACCACACGAGTCACCCCATTTCAGGTTTATTGAGGTTTTTAGAAGTATATTTATATCCAAGTATCAACACAAACCCGATTTAATAGAAAACTAAATTTTAAATATAAAACCAAATATGCACACACAAATCTCTGTTTTTACATAATGCCTTTTTTGTTTATATATTTATAAAGCACTGGAACAATATTCAGGAGCTGGTCCTACAGAATCCAAGTACAAATATTGGTTCAGTACGCAGAGAAGACACTGTGCGGTGGGGGGGCTGCCAGGTGTTGCACATTTTGTGAAAACCCCCCCAGGGATACCTATACAAAGGCTGTTTGCCAACACAAATTTAGCTTTTTCTATAATTATACATCTGTAAAAAAAGCCTCATTTTGGTGTAATGTTAGTTTTTAGCTACACTACAGCGATTGTTAATATGGGACATTTTAATTCAACAAAACAATGAAACAAAATTCTGTTAGTCTGTTATCTTCTGCGATAATAAGAGCCCTTGTTGGAGTAGCGATGCCCTAACCATGTTCTACTGACTCTTGGGTCACCCTGCTTCGCTGATCAGACTGTAGTGTGTACAGGTTAATGTGAATGCTGGCTCTGTATTGCTGGTACATCAAGTTACCACTGCACAATCAAGCAGAACGTGAGGGAATATTAAAGGGACACCTACCATGAAGGCATCTTCATATTCTCTATGGCACTGTAATAATGTCACATATTCTCCCAACCGAATATGCTTAGTCTAATATGGTCACATTGAGTCTTGTAGGCTTATCTTATCAAGGATTCCTCCACTTGTTTCCTTTACAGCCGCGTACAGATAAACATTATTGAGGAACTCATTTGCAGTAATAAAGTCTGTAGAGTTCCTTTCTGAACGGGTGTAAAAGACGAGGGCAAGAATATGGTGCCATGTACCACTGTACAGCGCTATGGAATTTATTAAAGAGTACTAAATGCAATGGATGAAAAAAAAAAAAAAATGATATTAGGAAATCACTCTAAATGAATAAATATAAATAAACGCATGTATATATCGGCAGTATGACATATTAAACGTAGCTCACAATTACTTTTGTGCTCACGTGATGTGATCAATGTGTACAGGTGATTAATGTACAATGATGGACATACTAATAATTATAATCACAATACTCACAGGGAGTAGAGGGAACAAGAAATGCCGGACATTTTTCCTTATCAATCAGTTCAATTATAGTCTGCAAGAAAGAAGAAAATTCAAGAAAAAAACATTTATCTGTCACCATGCTTAACATTAACATTATTATTATTGCACACACAGCGTAATTACCACAAGCACAAATTACCCCTGCAAGTTTCCTTTTTTTGTGGAATTGTCAATGTTTTGTGCGCATACTGAATGCAAAGAGATGTAGATTTTCACTTCTGTTTTTTAATATATTCCCATATGTTGGGATGGATCAGTGGAGCTTCCAACCATAGAGAACTTAAAGGATCACTGAAGTCACCCAGATCACTACATCTCAGTGAAGAGGTCTGGGTGCAGTGTCCCAGGTCCCTGGGCCCTGAAAAGGTAGTTATTGCAGTTTTCAAGAAAAACAGCCACTAGAGGGACTTCTGGGTGGGCAGATGACTTTCGGTTGCCTAACAGACGCTTGAGACCTCCTCACGCCATTCCAGCGTCACTCGCATCCCACTGGAAAGCATTGTATAATTAACAAATGGCAATTGTCAGCAGGGTAGTAAAGAAGGTGGACCTGAGCCAGTAGCAAGGGACACTGGCACTGGACCCAGGTAAGTGACAGAAGGGGTTTTTAACTCCGTCTGAATCACGGTGTGTGTGTGTGGGGGGGAGCTGAAACAGAGGGGGAAGCTATTTTGAAGCTAGTTTGTTTTCCTGGCACTATAGTTTTCCTTTAAACACAACTCTTGTGGCTGTTTCCCCAAATAAAACTCTGTCCTGGAATCAAATGCTGCTGATATAAGAGGCATCGTTGCTCTATGAGAAGCACTGTATTAGAGGAGACCGTGGAAGATGTCAGCAGGTATGCTGCGTCTGAAGTGGGCGGCTGCATGAAAGGATTCCCAATGCTGAAACCAAGGTGAGGGATGATTTTTTTTTTTTTATATTATTGGGAAGTGGGCAAAAGGGAACCTCTAATACCAAAATTATTTATTTCAGGACTATAGGTTCCCTCTAAAGAGGAATAGATAATGACAATAATGTATACATGTAATATTTTAGTTTTCAATACTGGTAGAATAATTTCAGCTTTCTATTACTTTACTATATGAGGAATATAGTATACATAGGTTATATAGATATATACAGACATATATTTCCATTGAGTTTCAGCTAATTATTCTATTACATTCTAATTAAGCTTCTACATACACCCTGCACCGCATACATAAAATGGTACACTCCTGCTACTGCTGGACATCCTTTAGAAACATACTGAATCTAAGCAAGGTCAACAACAAGGAGAGACAGGGACTTCCCAACAATTAATACGTCCATTATTTCGATTCAAGGTATCTGTGATCACAGATTCCCAACCCAGTATTCAAGGCACAAGAACAGCTCAAGATGAATGAATTTCCCATTTCTGTATGTATGCTGACAAATCCTGGAATGTTGTTATACTAAAGCAGTGGTTTGAGAACCATTGACCTATCCGATATTGCTGTACTGGACACAATAGATCTCTAGACATCGCTCCGGACATCACACCACATTATGCTATTCAGACACTGGTTACCAGATACTCACAGTTATTGTTGGATTGGTCCCTGGCAGACAAAAAGTACTATTAAACTTTAAGGGTGGCCAGTAGAAATCATTTGGACATTCTTTGACACAGATCTGGGTTAAGAAGGAAATAAACAACAGTAAAAAAACAAAAAGACGAAACAAACCCCCCCAAAAAACATGGTAATAATTAAAAGACAATAAAACAATACATGGAATTTCTATTTAGTTAGTTAGGGAAATCTCTGACTCCATAAACAATAATAAATAGGCATTTGGAAATCGTTTAATGAGCGATAAATGCATGCATCTTATGGTAGATATACTGTAAGCTTGCTTTTTTATCATTGATAGAATTCTATCTCTTGTATGTGCTTTGTCTATTCTCAAACTTTAGGCAGCACCTAATAAGTTACTCAATTCTTTGATTCTATACTATATTTTACTCATGTCAACCAAGCTTGTATATTACTATGTACAAAACGTGCAGTTTTCTCGCATGCTGTGACTGTTTATGTTGAAACGCTTGCATTTGCTCCCATGTCATTGCAAGCCTGTTTGTCATCTTCTGCACAGCAGCAAGAATGAAATAAAACAAGACAAAAAATACAATACTATAGCAACTTAGAAGAAGATTAAACTAGTATTGTGAGAATACACAGCAAAGGTATACTCTGATCGATAAAGGGCAAGATCGAAATAATGACAGATACACTGGGGTTTTTAAAACCCATAGATGCTGATTACAGAAATTTCCGACATTTTTGTTTCGAATGAAGTACCTGAGTAGTGGGACACTGGAATCCCTTCAATGTTGCAGCCAAGACATTCGTAGCAGAGATACACTTCAGTAAATTAAAATATAAGACGTACGGCTTGTCTCTGGAAAAAGAGAAAGACAATATTAGGGAAAAAGAAAGCATAAGGGGAGAAAACAAGACATGAGGGGTGAAAAGATGTGTTAGGGTACAGAAGAAATATTCTGGATGATGAATGGTGAGTGTACTCACTTATTATCTCCAACCCCGCAGTACATTCCAGTTGAATTTCGGGGATATATAACTTGGCGTGGATCCCCGTATAACCAAGCTGAGAAGAAATCGAGTAAAACAAGTTAAATATTTTGTGAAACACAAAGATCTTGATATATTCTGCATTGTATTGGGTAAGAGAGAAGTTGGCTACAGGCATAACTCAGGATCACAATTACAATCACAGTCAATTTTAATTTGTGTTTATTCGTCAAGTTTCAACACAATTACAGAGCAGTTGCGTTAAAAACAATTTGCATGTTGCATCAAGATACATCGAGTTTAGTATTGCATGTCACATCACATCTAACACATAGTGGGAATGTGTTTCAAATTGGAAATATGCACGTTAAGGACTAGCATAATGAGCATGAGATAATAAACAATAATGATACAAAAGTCAAAATAAAGAGAAACAGTTAGTCACAGAATAACAGTAATATAAACTACTGCTTTATAACATGGTATATGGTAGACGGAGCAAGTTTGTGGGTGTGAAGTGATTAGCTTAGCCCAATGCCAGGTGTGCCCTGTGTGAGATTTGGGGGATTGCGCTTTATTAAATGTGTATAACACATCGGCATCTATGGCTGCGGGTTCTTTGTGAGTAAGCCAGACTGGTGAGGGATGAAGGACTCCTGAGACCTCATAGGGGCAATATAGAAGGGGTTATGCAGTAGGTTATACTTTTACAAGAACCCTTTATTGCTCCTTACAGGGAGAAGTTTGACGATCTTTTTTGTATTGTTTGATTTGTGAGGTGTATTGGATAGAATAGAGTACGGCTTATGGTTATTATGATACAGTTAATCAGCTTCCGTCATAACCACCTCCAAGGACATAATTACATAAACATTCAAAGACAAGAATAAATAATATTTTATAAGAATAATGTATAATAAGGGGAAGGACTGGATGAAGAAAGCAAAAGAATATGAGAGTTTATTTGTAAAAGCCTAGTATTCGCTGTGAGATTTTGAATTTGATTTTATATGGTTTACTTTAAAGGACACTTTAACCCCTTAAGGACCAAACTTCTGAAATAAAAAGGAATCTTGACATGTCAGACGTGTCATGTGTCCTTAGGGGGTTAAAGCAGGGCTGTCCAACAGGTAGATCCCCAGATGTTGTGGAACTAAAGGAATGCAAAGCATCATGGGAGTTGTAGTTCCACAACATCTGAGGATCTACCTGTTGGGCAGCGCTGCTTTAAAGTAACAACTACTGCTTAATGTAGTAGTTCTGGTGAGCATAGTCAGTCCCTGCAGGCATTTTAATGTAAACACTGCCTTTTCAAAGAAAAGGCAATTATTACATTACTGTCCAGGGACACCTCCAGGAGCCATCAGACGGCTGGGTCTTCCTGGGTCAGTGCTGCAGCTGTCCACGATCCCTGTAAATCCAAATAATAATACAAATAATAGGAGTATATAACTGTATTGTATTCTCCTACTACCCACTTAACTAATCTAACTGGATATTATACACATTCCACGTATTAGTTAGCCATACACATACCACGTTCTATATACTTCAACTATGGTGAATGTGGAATCAGCATCACTGTTCTCGGAGACACACCTGCGCAAAGTCCACCTTTCAGTTTGTGGTAATAGCTCCTTCCAATACTTGATCGGGAGGATCTAAGAGTTCCAAGGCTTTCTGAACCTGCCTGCGGCCTCACAGAGGCTGCAGGTTAATCCTAGGGGGACTGCAAATTGTTGGGAACTTTACTTCATAACGGACCAGTTTGGGAGATCAAATGGTCTCCCATGATTGCCTGACAGCAGTTAGTGTTACAATGGAGCAAGTCATCTGCCTTCGCCAAAGAAAACAGTTTTCACTGCTCCCCTTATAGTCCTGCGAAATGTAAAGAGTCTGAGTGATAAGTATGAAATATAAAACAATATCCAGTCACTTTGTCTCAGTTGGGAGTACAGGATTGTGATAGGATGAGCAAAAGTAATCAATGAGCAAGGAGAAGGCAGAGATAACTTGTTCCCTTCACCGGTTATCTTTTCCCAAAGCCAGAAATTCTGGCAATCAGAAAGGAGGCTGAAAATAAGAAAATAAAAAATCCAACATGGAGAGGAATGTGGAGGGAGACAGATTGGAAGAACAAGGACAAACAAAAAGCAAGAAAAAGAATGGAAGAGCCTGTGTGGAAAGATGAGCGTATGGAAGCTGGGAAGAGTGATTGACAGAAAGCGAGATAGCATGATAACTGTTTATTATACAACACAAAATCCTATCGATAATGTATTCAGACACCCTGACATGGTTTTATCACATTAGATAAGATTTATCTTAATGAATAACACGTTATAATCTAGTAGGGAAATAGAACCTGGTGGATCATGGGTGATTGTGAATTCTGGGAGTTCCGTGTTTAGGCATTGTGTAGCGAGATGATCAGATTGTAAATGCAGCCATCTCGCTGTTTAGTGACTATTTATAGATGTGAATAGTCTCGCTATTTGACCAGTATTTGCTTACAAAAGCTTATTGCATAAGTCATTATATGGCTGTTCAGAGATAAAGCAGTCACTTTTTTTCTCTTCAAGGTAAAACCGACAAAGAAAAAAATATTAACTCAAACCATTGTGTACATTCTGTTACTCACTAAATGTTTCCATAATAACACAAAGTTAAAAAGGGTCCACCTGCCAACGCATTGGATTGGGAGTTCTCATAATACTGATTACAAATCAAAGCTTTAAGTTATTGGCAGGAGAAAGGTTTACCTAAATCGGCTAAAAGGGCAGAATGTTCATGTGGGGAGGGAGAATCAACATGGACAATCAATGGCATGAGGGAAGAATAGAGGATTGTTAAAGGGGAGATCGAATGAATAGAGTACAGAAGCACAATGCAGAAAGAGGTAGAGACCTGTGGATTGAGGAGACAGAGGTTAAGACACCAGGGAACTGGTGGAACTACAGATAAGAGAACTGGAAACTTTAATTAATGATGCTTATGGACGGACAGTAGAAGACCCGAGGATGGAGGTAGACTACGGGTTAGAGACTAAGTGGTGAGAAAGACAAGGTGCATTAGGGAAACAATGAAACTTGTCTTAGATATAAAAGACGTTTGGACAGAAAGAAATAGACGTGACTGAGAAGATTCAGCCTGAGATGTAAAGGAGACAAAATCTCCAAGTGTTATCACGTGGCCGGACCCAATTTACCTGATGTGATTATGTGTATATTAAGTGATTAACAGACATTGTATACGCAGTAGTGCTAGTAGAGGTTACAAAGCAGAAACATTTGATCTGCATGTTAATTACTAAAGTGAGAAGTCAAAGTGAATTGAAGTTTCAGGCCAGAGTAGTTGGACGGAAAGCGTAGCTGAATTTCTCTGGTTCTGCTATTTTGACCTTGAATTTAGAAATCACTTTAAATTCACGTTGGATTTTCCCTTTAGTAAATAACCCTGTTATAATCTCTCCCTAATCAACCAACCATTCTGTGACATGTTGTAACATTTACAATAAATGTAAATAAAGATCAGACTGTGAGACAGGTACTGATAGCCACTAGCCTGCTGGTGGCATTTACTTAAATCTGATCATCCCGCTACATGACACTAATACAGAGCACACAGGATTTGCATTCGCTTGTAATCCCTGCCAGTAGATCACGTTACCTTTGCTGTGTATCACCTGTCACACGCTATGAATTGTCATTGATTTAAGATAAATCTTATCTAAGGCGATAAAACAGGTCAGTGAGGCTTTCTATAGATTATCTCTAAGATTTCTCATCTTAAATTAAGGAATTCACACAATTGATAAGATAGCAGAGTGTCCGTTATCAGAGGCTACTGCCTGATGAGTCCATATGTGAGGATATGACTACAGAAACAAAGAACACGGGAATGTTAGCTAAAGGATAACACACTATCTATGTAATACAGTGGTTGGAGTACAGTGTTCTGTATCAGTCTAGGAAGCAGATCCTTGGCTTCTAGAACAGGGGCTGTCCGACTTTGGCCCTTTACATCAGCTATTCTACCATTTCCATCATTCACTACCAGTCCACTGACACAGAATTACTGGAAATAAAAGACAAGTCTGAGGATGACACTCCTATTCTCTGAGCACTACCTGTAAAACGGATTCATTTTCAACCATAAACAAGAAACGTATTATTAAATGACACTTCACACAGGTAGTTTATTTTATTACAGGTGTATAATGCCCCTCTCGTGGGACTTCCAGTACAATGGGTACAGTGTAAAGGAATAATACGAAATGAGATACTGTTGTTCAGTGCTAGTTACACTATTCAGAACGGTATTTAACACCCAATGAAACACAAAACACTTCAATAGCTTAGGAAATGTTTGAACCCTAGCTGGATTTAACCAGGTTGTCAGAGCTGAAACTCAATATGAACATTTGTTAAATGAAATGCATGTTCATATTGAGTATTGTGACCTTTCGTAATGCTAATCGTCATGAATTTAGCCATTTAAATCCTTCTCTCCTAGTGTCAAATCACACACTGACCCCTGAGGCTTAACTCACTAACCCATAACTCCTATCCACCCCAATCTATGTATACACCCCATCTGCAAAATTATCTACCCCTTAATTTCCACAACAGACTAATAAATAGAGAAACACAAAACAGACTGGCAGTATATATATATATACACACACTGCCAGTCTGTTTTGTGTTTCTCTATTTATTAGTCTGTTAGATCTTTATGGCATTTATACAGGAGTCAGATCTATAGTTTGTAAACTGCCCAGAGAGGAGCAGAAACGATCTTACATCTCTTGGCTGTTTAAAATCATTCCATCCGCTAATCATTCCTACAAATTGCCCGTCCACTGTACAGAGTTGAAGAGCAGGTTTGCACTTTTTGTGTAATGAAAGAAAGTCACACTTTTTACAGATACGCCCCCTGTAGGTATTGGTGGGAAATGCACTTGCGTAGCATAAATCAGATTCTTACCCATTATTCCAACTACAATATATCCCCCAATAAAAGCCATGAAGAGGACACAGCATATGATGTCCGTGCAGCTCCTGGAAAGAGAGAAGGACACTGACATTTAGCAAGAAGCATAGCAGACAAAGACAAGAGCAAACATTTAAACGTCCAACTCACTCACCGAGACTTGATGGGACCCTTGAAGGTAGGATCATGTTTGGAAGATTCTCCTGTTGGAAGAAGAAAGCAAAATAAGAGACAGGGATTATATAATGTTTAAAGCCCATCCTCCACCTAAACAGGAATGTTGGACAGGGTTTCTGAATTCCTTGAGATCATATAAATGGGATAATAATGTTGCAAGAAAATAATTTAACAATGGTTTGTGGAATTAGTTGAATAAGGAAAATAACTTCTCAGATCTTTTTAAGCAACCCTCTAGGGCTTCTCTTTCTTCAGATGATCCAGCAGCCTTAGTTTCCTCAACTCCATTCCTATAAGACCAACATTTTCATTACTGTAATAAGCACTAATTTCATCTCCACATTATTTCCACCTCCCATTATAATTGCAGTCTATCTTTCTCCCCCATTATTACTCCTCTCGTCTCTCCATTGTACCTACTTTCACCTGGCTCATTCTGTCCCTAATGCCACACTTTCAATTCATCGCACACATCCTTCTTTTCTTTATCCTTTCTGTCTCTAATACCCTCAATAATTTATCCAGCCTGCTTCTTGTACCCCTCATTTCTTTATCCAGTCGGTCTCATTTGTTTATGCTGGTGGTCTCTTGTACACTCTTTACTTTATCTAGTCTGTCTCTCGTACCTTCATTTCTTTATTCAGCCTGCCTCTCGTACTCTCAATTCCAATTCTTTATCCAGTTTGCCTCTTGTCCCCCTCATTTCTATAAACCGTCTCTCTTGTCCCACTCATTTCTTTAAACCGTCTCTCTCGTCCCCCTCATTTCTTGAAACCGTCTGTCTCTCGTATCTTTATACAGCCCATTCTCTATGCCTCTCTATTCCCCAGTCTAGTCTTTCCACATCACACATATACAATTCCCTACTTTATGTCATCTCCCCATTTAAAATCGATCATTTTCATCTTCAGAAAATTCCTTTTACCCATGTCATTAATAGTACATGCTCGTTTCTTCCTGATTCCTCTATTATGAGTCCTGGCTATCTGTGTTTTATGTGGATAATTACAGGTCGTATCTACCTGTTATCAGTTAATTACAGGAGGAAATTTCACTCCTAACCTTGAGCGCTGTTGACCTGAATAAACTGTGGTGTGGATTATTTATTAATGTTTTAGCATTTGATCAAACCATGAGTGTAAACAACTGGGCCTACGGATCCAAAACACAAACACCCTTCATTTTATCTGAATATTAAAAATGGGCAAAATGACACTGTCATCGTCCCCCAGCACTCCTGGTCATTAGACTTCAGGGCCACTTTCATGTTTAGATCTTTTCCTGCCCACAAACCCCACCTGACAAGCAGAATGAACCATGGGAAACTTGATATAAGATACACAAAGATATGAGTTATTTCTGGGTGATGCAAACAGAATGCTCTGTATACAGAGGGTGTGGTAGGTCTTGTATTACGTTCACAAAACATACGCAGGAGAAATGAATTGCCTTCGTTAGCTGAATTGTGCCGTTTCTTTAAACCCTCTGTGTATGTACTTTTTATTGCTGCATTCCTTTAAATGATATGTTCATTGATTCCCAAAACTAAATTCATTGATTCCCAATACTAGATACAGCCAGCATGTAACATCACTCATTAATAAGGTCCTAACTGCCTTACTGCAACCCTGGATCCCCAAATCCTTCTCTATGTCTGACACTATCATAATGTTTAATAAAATCAAATAAAGCAATACATGTATCCCCTCTACATGTCCCATTGGCTCACATTAATCCTATTAGCCTACATTTATACCTCCACCTCTCCCTTGGTTATATTTACTGCCGTCTCTACCTTTATTACTCTTTTACGAAACTAGGGCTTATCCATTTTCTTCACCTAATTTTTAAAACATCTATTACTACCTCTTGGCAATCACCTCTCCTTTTTAAACTTTCACTTCAGCACCCCCACTTGTTAACGTTCATTTTAATCTCTCCCACTTTCACTTGTCCTCCTTTTTATCCACCCCCTCCTTTCTTTATTTTTTCTTCTCTCCTTCCCCGTTCACACCTTTATCTCTTATCTCTGCCCCACGTCACACGGAAGCATTGGCAGAACATACAAAACATCACAACGCAGTTATGTAGTAACTTTGTATTTATAGAATCATTTCCCGAAATACAACACCCCCCTCCAGCAAGGTGCTTCTGCAGTAACGGGTTTGTGGTCAAATCCTGCACGAACAAAAGAGGACTTAATAGGAGCATATTGTTTACAATTTCCTTAGGGGGTTGGTGCAGGCATTGTAAATGGAGGGTTGACAACGCAATACTTCAAGGGCTGTTTTAAAATAGGGGTTTGTAAAATGATGCTCAGGAGCCGACATGGTTTTTTTTTAGTTTTTTTTTTTTTTTTTATGAGTGACAAGCATGTTACGCTACCTTTGCAATTAAGGCAGGTCAGGAACTAACAAGAACAAAACAGTCACCATTCCTGGAAACGAAACATTAATTAAAAGCAACAAACAGCGAGCGCCACCATGACAATGAACCCTGGAGACTCCGGGCAATCCACCGGGTTACCTGTTGTTCAGATTTAGCTTGCAGACTGCAAAGCATTCTGGGCAATCACTATGGCCTTTTCCTAGCCTTTCACACTGGCCCTGCGGTCTCTGTCTATTCCTATATGATATGCAGTGAAGGAAGGCACCTGGCACGTGTGATACTGCTCTCTGCTGCTGCCAGCTGCTTGGGCAGGGATGGAAAAACTGCCAATGATGGCCAAATATAATCAGTCACCCATACTTTACTTGAAGCATCATTTGTCTGCAATGAGCCTGTAAAACCTGATTTTCCTTGGAAAATAAATCCAATTAGAGAAAAATGTAATGCAGCAATACTAGCTCAATGATTCATGGAGCAATAATGAGGCATTTCAGAATCTTCACCGATCAACACTAGGGATTATCGGTCAGATAATGTATCTAACAAGACACTCACTTTTCTCAGAACAGCTCTATGTTCATTCTCAGTACTGAAACTATCCTGCTGCTCTGACGGTCTTAAACTCATAAACTCTATAGCAATGTTAGAGTAGCCTTGGTATCCCCAGGTCATCGTGAACTGCATTTCCCATAATACTGACTGCGCATCAAGGTAAATGTAGTTCACAAACAGATGGGGGTGCCAAGACTAGCCATCTCTGGTTATTATACATTACAATCAGATGTTTGGCTAGTAGTGTAGGGTCAGTCTAACTATATATTACATACATTTTGAATCGTCACCTGCCTGAGTCACTTGTAAATGTCAATCACGCTCCCTATTCTCTGGTACTTTCAGATAACTTGATTCTCGTACTGCCCTTTGTGTATTTGTCCCTCATCCATTTGGCTTGTGAGCTCACTTGGACAGGCTTTCTCAGAATGAGATGTTTGTCTTGCTTCCCATTGTACAGAGCTGCACAATATGTTGGTGCTATATGAATAATTGTAATTGTTTGGAAATTGCAATAAAGTGCTCTTGGAGGTCATAACATCACTTGCGTTTAATTCAGTGGCGACTGGTGAAAGATGGTGGTCCTAACTTATTGGCCTCTGCCCAATGAGATGCTATGCCCGGTCCAAAACATAAACGTATAGAAACACGTCCAGAATCTCACAGCCAAATTGACAGCCAAGGGCTCACACCAGAGTTTCCCATTCGAGCAGACTAAGCTTTTTTGAGAAGTCCATATGCTGAAAATGTGTTTGTTTTTTTTCCCCTCAAAAATATCCCAAACCTTAAAAAGATTAGTTGCTTGAACTCTCAGGAACATCAGTAAAGGGAAGGATGGAAACCACAGATAGAATCACGACATACGCAGCATGCTTTTTTTTTAACAAACATATCATTAGTCCTTACAACTCAAACAGATTTATTTTTTTTGCACAACAAAAATGGAGTGGGTGAAGGGCGCTACCCTACCTGCCCCTATGGACTAGCCTCTACTGGCTTAATTACTAAACACTGATCATGCCACGGACAGTTGACAACCAAATAGGTGGACAAAACCGACGTACTAAAATTTCTTCATAAAATGTACCATTACCTTTTCTAATCTCCTATGGTTCACTGTTTATTGATAAACCTAATTTTCAAGCCTTAGCAAACTGGATTTATAAATTAAAAAGTCTGAGCAATTTTAAATCAAAATAATGCTTAATGAGCAACTGTCGTGAAGTGTAGGCTTTATTTTAACCCCTTAAGGACACATGACATGTGTGACATGTCATGATTCCCTTTTATTCCAGAAGTTTGGTCCTTAAGGGGTTAAATAAACACACTTTTCTTACTTTTTTCCTCGTATAATAAAATATTGTCAAAATGCGTGTTTTGCTGGTTTTGCGAGTTTTTGAGCTATAAGATGTTCCCTTTCACTTTTATGAAAATGTCATAAAATGTGACACTCCGCGTCAGCAAACTCGTGAATATGACAAAACTGGACTTTAGCACAGTTCCACAATACCAGAAGATCGTTAAGGAAAATTTAACTTTCATGGCGTTTCCTGCAAATTCAGGGGCAATTGTAATTTTACAGATATTGCCAAATGTTCTGTAACAAACCTTGTGTACCCTAACCCGATTTCACCATTATGTAATAAACCACTGTATGGCATATGTTAGATTCATTATCTTACTCCTAGGCTGCCATCTTGATTGTAAAAGTTTATTATTGTCAGGCTGTAGCTATATGTATCTTAGGAATACGTTTAAATACTTTCCAGCACAATCTAGCCAAGTTTCTCTTACCCTTTTCCAGCACCATGACTCCATTGGCGATGCTAACCTCCACCCACCATGACATCACAGAGGAGGCATGGCTTCCTCCGAAATGGTCCAATCCAATTCTCCTCTGTGGGACCTAATGTGCATGTGTGGTGAGCGCACATTCAAACTTCCCCATAGGAAAGCACTGAACCAGGCAGTGCCTCTAGTGGACAGACCATCACTATTGGTGGATTTAAACCGGCAATGTAAAAATAAATAAATAAATAAAACGCTATGTTTTACATTACTGAGTTAAAAGGAAAATAACACCACACCCAGGCCACTTAATTGAGGTACAATTCTATAATTGGCATATAGACTAGCCCACATAAGGTAAAAAGACATTGCCAAGAAGGCTAGAATTATTAATTTTCTAAATTAATATGTTG